TTTTTCATTTAAGGGATGAAAATAAAAATTTAATCTTTTTCCAAATCGATGTCCTCCTCGAAGATAAACCGATTAAAAATAAAAATTTAAAAATAGTTATATGGTGGAACCACTATATATCTTTCTAATCTCCTCCTATAAATATTAAAAATATTTTACTATGATACGTTAGCCTAATTTTTTAAATTTCATTTCTCTTTGTCATATATTACAAAAGGTAAAATACTTTAAGTACGTTTTTAAACATAACTAAAAAATATAATTAAATTTGTTTACAATATTCAATTAGATTTCTATTTCTAATATCATATCCTAGTAAGGAACCTTAAGAATACCTGTAACAGGGTTGGCGAACCTAAAAATGGAATGTTGATCAAATTTCAATGGTAAGCCATTAAAATAATTATCTTAAAAAAAATTTGATCATATTTCAATATTTTAATATAAGAAATTTGAAGAAACAATTTTATAAATGTGTAATAGTAAGAAAAATCTTATATAAATTGAATAAATATTTATATACATAATAATTATGATTATTGTACTCTTATCACTACGTGAATAGATATTCATCGATACCATTATAGTGTCTTTTGCGATAATAATTGCAGTACTCAGCTGTTCAAACGTAACTAACTAGTTACCCGTCATCCAAAGCTGCTTGTATTTCATTAAAAATCATAAACTATACACCAAATATCAAAATTCTATCTTCAAAAAAACAACAGTAAACATCACATAAAAAAATATAGTATTATAAGAAACAACTAATAGTAATATAACGTTTAATACCTAATGATAATTTAAGATTCTATTTTATCAAATAAACGTGTAAAACGTGTAGTATTATTTCTTACTTATTTTATTCTTAATAAAAATACTTTTTTTTTTTTCGGCATACGAGCATATTTTAAAAATATTGATTTCAGATGTTGGCACTTGACTCGACAAAGGTTTGCCACCCCTTACCTATAGTTTTATCTGGCTTGAAGGTGGACTGAATCCACTAAAATATACGCCTTCACCAATTCCCTTAACAGAAATCTGTGTCTTTATTATGCCAGTGTTAATGCACACGCCGTGTGTTATGGATACGTGAAGAATCCTCTACTGATTTGTTTCAGAAAATTGTTTTGAAATAAAATGTTCGAGTATTCTATCAATCAGTCGTTTTTTTATCGTTCTTAAAACCATAAAATGAATGTAATTTAATTAATAAATAAAACAAGCAAATAAAATGTATTTATTTTCTTTCGGTAAACAAAAAAACAACCGCCTAATAAAACATCCCTACTTGGTTATAATGATTTTCGCGAGTAGGTACTACCGAATTTTATTTTATTTTATTAAACTATATTAATTTAAAACAATTAAAATATGCGTTTCGGTACTTGAATTGATATTGCATATAATTAACAAGGATTTAAATTTTAAGACGACCATAAATTAATATTGCAATGTACATATATATATATATATATATATGTGTGTATGTTTATATGTATATTTTTTAAATTATTTAACATGTACGGCAGTAATTTATTTATGTTATTATATGATAAACAATTACAACTGTTGGCTGTAACATTGATTTTTTTTTTTTGTTTATATAAATAGCTCAAAAATCTCTACCGCGTATACAAAAGACTAATACTCGTACATTCAGTGAAAATTTCAGGTCTTTAAAATTATTTGAAACAGAATTACAATAAAAATAAAATCGAAAATAACACAGTCGGTTATTGCGTTCATTTTCCCGTTTAAAAAAAAATACAACATAGTAAAACCAATACATTCCTCCCTACATTCATAATTGAATTATTACGTTTTCAAAATACATATTTAATTATTATATACACCTATTCAAAATATTTTTCGAAACTTTAATAAATTAATATATTAAGGTTTCCTATTGGCTAATTCTGCTCAAAATTTAAAAATTATTATAAGCCAAACAATAATAATAATTTAAAATATAAGAATTTCACGATTACAATAAATTACGATTAGTATAATAACTTTTATGATTAACTATACCATACATAAATAGTGTTAAACTTAAAGTCATAAGTTATAAGTTATAATTTGATTATTATATATATAAATATATATATGATAAAATTATGTGATTCAAATAGGAACTCAAGTGCGTGCGTTAAATTATTAACATAAAGGTTAAGATCAAAAGTATGGTTTAGATGATGTTAATTTAAAATTATTATTATAATCTTTCGTAATATCAATTTAACGAGTTCTTTAAAGAATATAATATAAAATAATACCCGATAATATACATAATAATTATGTACATCTTGAGATAGATCTATTTATAAAAAAAAAATAATTTCAATATCATAGTCTTTAACAAAGTTTCAAAATTCGTGTTATAGAATCAAACCCTAGCAGTGTAATAAATATTAAAATAAATACAATTTTTAGTTCAAAATTATTATCATACTTATAACTTAATCGGTAAAAAAGCATTTTTGTCTCCTTTTGTAAGATTTATCCACCCCATGCAGAAAGTCGAATCATACCAAACTCGTCATTCTTTCCGCCGGGGACGTTTTAGATTCTGAGTGGGACGAAGAATTTTATAGTTTTAAAAAGAAGTCTTTTTTTTTTTCATCTGTGCGCAACTTATTTACCAGAAGACTTGCTCAGATTTCTACGTGTAGCACCTTTTCTGAAAGGAAATCAGCGTGAAGAGGTTCTTAAAGAGGGTCATTTATCAATTTTTTTTCATCAATCAAATTTTTCAAGAGTTTTCTCAACAAATTTGAAAAATTTAAAAAAAATGGGAAAATTTAAGAAAAGTAGATATTAAAATATATTAAGGCCTTTTTTTTCTGTGCACAACTTTTCAACCAGCAATTTTGCTCCAATTTATAATGATACCAATTTTTCTAAAAGGAATTTTGACTGGGAAGGTACTTAAGGAGGAAGGTTATTTTTCGATTTTACAAAAGTTTTCCCAGAAAATGTAAAAAACCGAAAAAAACACGGGAAAACCGGGAAAATCGTAGGAAAACTGGGAATATTGGTACAGTTAAATAAATATTATTAAAGAAAATATATAAAGCCTACTTAATTATTTTACTATATTATTACATATATATTGTTGACTAAGCATTACTATCAACTAAACTCCTCTCAGAATCGTTTTTTCGTAAGCAATGGTTTATCGTTACTTACAGATACACATTAAATTATTTTCTATATTCTACCTTCCCAAATTTCCACCTACACCAGTGGCTGCACTCGTCCCCATTATCTTACCTTACCTTTTATTATTATTATTATTATTATTTTCTACCAGAAACTTTGCTCCAATCAAAAAACGACAAGTGACCTTTTTTTGTTGCGTTTTGAATCTAGATGGTCAGGAAAAAGTTTTATTTCTTTAATTTATTCTTTGTTTGCTATAGATAATATCATATTATATAATGTAAATTATAGTTATATATAAATTATATAACTATAATCATTTTTTTACTTTGCTGATTTCATGTATTCGGCAACGACGTTGCATATTTCATGAAATAGACAATTTTTCTGTCGATTTCATGGAATCGGTGAATTCACGAATTCGGCGTAGCATATATACAATTAAAACCATCTATTCCAAAATACCGAAACGCGAATACGTGTGCGCACAATAGTACACAAACACATCCTCTCTGTTTTGTTATTGCGCTACCTTCAGAATCAAAACGTACTTAACATATTAATATATTAATATTACTACATCTTCGTTGATATTTTAACAATGTACTATTCTATAAACACGAATACGTTAAGCGAGTTAAAATAATATAACAATGTAACCATTTGGAACTCTCAAAAGATAGTAATGGATTCTTGCGAAGTACGAAGAAAGTGAAATTTCAGATTGTCTTCAAAATGCTCTCTCAGAAATAAATAAAAATATATTTTTATCTCGAATTTAAGAAACTAAGAATCGTTTATCCTACTTATAATTATTCTCCAGTCTAAGGTCTTCTTAATTTCAACATTTTTCCGACCGCAGATGAACGTATAATCTTTCTTTCCTTTCCAATATCCTAACAGGTAAAAATTCAGATTATCTTGGTTTCCTATCTCAAATTCCCTTCAAAATTTCCTCCAGCTTCACTCGTCTCTTTGCATACCACTTCTCTCTAGTCAACTTCTTTTAAAACTCCCCAATTATCCAACTTATGCGCACTCCAATTATCGACACTTCTTTTACTCTTAATATTTAACACTATTCTCAAACTGTTTTCCAACAGCTATGGTCAAATTATAAGAAGTAGTTATAAAAAAAAAAAAATGTAAATAGGTTATTGTTGTTATATTTATGGTAATAAATCAAATATGCGAGAAGAATCGTAGTCGGTTACTAATTTAACTTAGAATAATAACCATATTAACTAAGCCCTCCATTTATTTATTTTTTCGCGACAATCCAACTGCTCCGCCAAAGACCCAATCGAGAAAATTGTATATATTTAACGAACTCTTCGAGTTATAAAAACTAATATATATGATTATTTATTTATTTTACAAAATATACAGGCTTTATATATGTAGATACTCTGAATAAAACAATTTATCACTGCTTTCAAATATTTTACATTATAATAATACTATTATTACAAGCCAATAGGCTTGCGTTGAGGTGAATTATAAACGATAAGCCCCATTTCTGTAGTATCCCAGTTTCTATATAATATATAACCTCTGTTACTCGTGTATTCGAGTATTTACTTAAAACTTATTTTAACGACTGAATAGACAATTTTTTACCAACGTTTCCATTATATTGTATTACATTTTACTAAATTATGCATTCAGTTTATTCATTGTCATCAATTGTATACCCGAGTCATAATAATAATGAGCGTATGGTAGAATATAAATGTACCTATATTGTGTATTTTAAGTTCAATTATTGTAATAATATAATATTCTACACTGGAGATTGCGAGATTAAACTATTTAATAAACACTGTCGTGGAATGTTGAATGTAAAATATGGAACTGCGTGTCTGCGTTAACAATAATAATATTTAGTTTGGTTTAATATTTATTTTCAGGATTGCAAATCTACCGAAAACAACAATGACTCTGCAATGGTTTGCTCGCTAGACGAAACAATGAATACATTTATGGAAACCTGTAATGATACCGAAATGAATGCTACATTTAATTTTAGTTTGTACGAAGTGTATAACATTTTGTTGGAGCACAAAGAAAATTCTAAATACAAACTAGACAAAAGTACAGAGGTAAATACATTTTTTAAATGTTTTTCCCGGAAAACACTTTTGACTAGTAAATAAATATTGATTTTTTTCATTCCGAACTTTAAACAATAGGAATTTTCTGCTTAGAGGTATTTTAATTAAAAATATATTTAATATATAATTTGTTGACACATTTTCTTAAAAAAATATTTGAAAACCAACAACAAATACCTACTGCATACTACATTTGTTTGTCGATTTCTGGTGATCACCCTGGCTACAAGGAAAAACATGATTATAATATCAGTTTATCGAGTTTACTACTCAGAAACGGTTTTTATACTATTGTTATTATCAATGGTTTACCTTTCCAACTTCCCATTTAGAACAATGGTCTAAACCATGGTTTCAAGGAATACTCCACTTTATAATAAATAATGAACAAAACTCATTAAGATCACATACTTATGTATATGTATTTTCGTCAAAATTTAAAATTAAAACTCTTATAAAAAAAACTACTACATTAAACTCAACTTCTTTACTTTGACCACTAAATACAACTTACATTGAACGTCATGTTAAATTTCCAAACATTTTACGTTTGACCAAACAATTTTATGCATACCAGGTGATTCATTTAAGTGGGTACATTCATTATCTCGGAAAGTATTAACTTTTTTCAGAATTTGTTTTATTAACTAATAATCCATCTATTTATGGAATTTTTACTATAAATTGTCATTTGAAAATCAAAAGTAAGTAGTGGTTTCACCCCCAAAAATAAAGGTTATAAAAAATAACATAAATATAAAATTGTAGAGCTGGTTATTCCTTAAATGTTCTAAAAAACAAATTCTGAAAAAAATTAATACTTTTAGAGATAATGAGTGTACTCATTTAAATGAATCACTTTGTATAACATAACATTCTAATATTTTTGTAATCATCAATATTATTTGTTATTATAAAACTGCACTATTTAACATTTAACAGTAAAAACGCATAATCAACTAGCAAAATCAATACCAAAAATTACCTCGAATTCGGTATTCGATACTATCTTAAGTAACGAAGGAATCAATTTACGATGTATCGAATTGCCTATCTATAAAAAGAACGCAATTACTTGAATTCCTTAAGCATAATGAATAGCGTATACCATATTGTATTATGGATATTATAATGACATACCTTGATGCTTGGTTTTTCAATTACGTGTCACGTTAAAATAATATGAACCATAACCCAAATAAAAGATTATCCTCTAGATTATTCTGAATATATTCAGGAAGTACCTACTTACCATTTCCCGTCATCTTCTATACATGTCTTCGTGTAGACACGCGAATAATCAGCTCATATTATAAGTTACTATATATTATTATAATACTCACCCATTTAAAACAATATCCCTGTTCCAAAAATAATGTCTAGTTAAAACGAGTTCAAATATGAAATTATTTTCTTTTTGTTTTGCTTGTTTCAATAGCTTTTTAAACAAAATTATTGTTACTAGTTTTATCTTTACTTTTTAAATATTCTTTAAGGGTTTATTTCAGCCCTTAAAAGATTTATAAAGATTTCTAAAGGCTTATAATGACGTTTTTAAAGCGATTTTTTTCTTTTAATGATTTTTAGTGCTATAGTCCTGAACTTTGCTCATAAAAATAAACAAATTCATGTTGAATATTTTATAATTTTTCGTTTATTTTTATGTTTTTTCAGACTTTACTGATAATTATGTACTTGAGTTTGATGATCATCGGTCTGACTGCCAACCTGATGGTAATTTACGTGGTTGCCAGACGCGCTCAAATGCACACCTCTCGGAACCTATACATTGTGAATTTGGCCATTTCCGATATGACCCTGTGCTTGGTGTGCATGCCATTCACGCTGACCGCATTGATTCGAAACCATTGGACCATGGGAATCCTGGTCTGTAAACTCGTGCCTCTCCTCCAGGGTACCAACATCATGGTTTCGGTAGGCACAATAACGGTCATAGCGATCGACCGATACTGGGCGATAGTCCGTGGGTCAGCACAAAACGAACGGCGTACGGTGTACGTGTCCATCGCCACCGTATGGTTCTTGGCAGTCTTGACTGCAACTCCAGTAGCGTATTATCAGGTGAACGACACGCGCGAGTTTAAAGGAATGATTAAATAAATTGGCCCTATACAGGGTGTCTAACAGTATTATCCTTATGCTAATAATTCTGTCAATATTAATTTTTTTTTCAATCAAATTTTGTACAAGGGATACACATACGTTGAGAAAAATTAAATTTTAATTTTGATCCCTTAACTATTGGGAAAAAAAATCACTTCAAAATTTTCAAAACAACCATTTTGTAAAAGGTATTATTCTAAAAATTTGAAAGTAACATACATTCAAATCTAATTATTAGTTTTTAGTAATAGCCGTTTTAATTTCTAGAAAATTGGTTTTAAAACAATTAATTTTCAATAGAATAACCTAACGTTACGAGATAATGAATCAGGACCATAATTAATGGAGGTTTTTAAGGGCACTTGCCCCGGGCAGTAGATGTTTGAAAACATCCGGATACCGGAATACTATATGAAAAATGTAAAACTTTTTGACCCTTGGCTTAGGAAATGTATGGAAAAAAAATATCAACTTCAAAAAATAAAGATTAATTTGTATATATATGATTTGGTTTGCAAATTAATACGTCAAGATTTCACGTGACAACATAATGGCAATGGAGCATCCAGCGAACACAAAATATTTTAGTATATAAATATAATCGTTTCAGTGGTTATATAATTTATTTTTAAACAAAATGAATAAACACTTAACAGCCAATTCAGACTGTTGTATACATGCGTTTTTTCTGAGTGTTGCAAAGAATGTATTAGTTTTACGAAGATGTTTATTTTTTTTTTTTTATGGGAACACTATTTCTACCAGAAAGCTTACTCCAATATATACTTTATAGACCTTTTTCTGAAAGAAAATTTCCTCAGGATTTTTCTCATCAAATGTGAAAAACCGAAAAAAACTGGAGAAAAACTGAAAAATTTACGAAATATATTAACAAATATTATGATTTTTTTTTTCTGTAAACAACTTTTCTACCAACAATTTTGCTTCAATTTACAATAATAGTACTTTTTCTGAAAGGAAATCTGATTAGGAAGGTACTAAGAGGATGTCGATTTTCGATTTTCTCAAGAATTTTCCAAGGAAGTATGAAAAACCAGGAAAAATGTAGGAAAAACAGGAACATTACTATGATATTAAACAAATATTATTCAAAAAAATATATAATGCCTATTTAATTATTTTACTATAACATGACGTATTTATTGTTACAAAACATCACTATCAACTGAACTCCACTCAGAATTGTTTTTAGTAAACAATGGTTTATCGCTGTTTACAGATATAATTTCCCCTGTATATATTACCTATCTAACTTCTCACAAGCAACTGTGACTACATCCACCGTGCGAAGTATGTCCGTCATTTTAGTATTTAAATTATTCATGTAACAGTGTGAAAAAATTTGATTTCAACATCTTAATAAATAAAGCATCTTAATTGCTAATAGTCCGAAGTATCGACTTTTGGTTTATAGGAACAGTATATTGAACTTTGATTTTGTTTTGATTCACTTGTTGAATTAAATAATATTGTAATGAAATTATTGTATTCCAATAGTTCTAAGTATTAATGTATTGTATAGTAATATTCTGTAATCATTACCCCATATTAAATTAAATAAATAAAATGTTATGAGATTATTATACCTATTTTTAAAACATTAAAACATTGCTATATTTAAATGTATTTTGAAATGAGTGATACATAAACAGCAGTATTTCAAACTTGTAATAAACACATTTTAGGTAAATAGTTATAACGTGCATGTTTAAAATTTTTTTTATTTTTTCCTTAACTTCTCAAATATTGGGTATTTTTAATTTGTTTACTGCTAAGAGACTCAAAAAAAAATTTGCCCCGGGCGGATGCAAAAGTCTAAATCCGGCCTGTAAGGAATTATAATTATCACGGTAATTGACTATCTTCTTTTGAATATTAATTGTTTTCACGTCTATATTCTATACATTAAAGCCACTATAACTAAGAAACTATTAATCGTATATCAATGTATGTTACAAAAAAGTTTTAGAACAATATATTTTGCAAAATGTCTATTGTAAAAATTTTAAAATGTGAACAAATAAAAGTTTATTTTTTCAGTGATTAAGGGATGAAAATAAAAATGAGATTTGTCTCTACTCTCTTAATATGTATACCCCTCGCACAAAACCAGATTGAAAACAAGTTTTAAAAATCAATATTGACAAAGTTATTAGCGTAAGGATAATACTGTAGGATACCCTATATTTTAAAATGTTTATAACGGGTAGTGGGAAATTCTAAAAGAACAGTAGACTTATGGGAGTTGGAAACCAATGTTTTCATTCTTAGTTTATATACACTCATACTCGGAGTGAAAATTTAAACTAATTTTCCGATCAATGTTGTGAAGCGTTAAGAACTCTGAAACTCGATGAATTCGGCGCGAAGTTTACACATGAGAGCGGTCAGGCAGCCTTTTCCTTATATTTCATTTTGTATTTTTTTTTTTACACATTCAGATCTTCAAATTAAATATTAGAAAAATAAAGACTAAATTTCAAAAAAGTGACCCGACCATATGTATACTTCACACTTAATTCGAATATGTTTTCAGAATTAATATCATTTCACACATCGGACTGATAAATGAACAATTTCTCTAAATTAAGAGAAAATTAAAGAAATTAATTATCGATGTACATACATAATAAATGTACAGGCCACTATAGAGTAATAGAAAACAATCGGCAATAGGTATTCAAATTAGTACCTATTTCTTTTCGTTCAGTAACAATAATAATAATATACTTTAAGTTTAAAATTTCAATTATTTTTACCTACCTATATGTTATATTATTATTATTATCATCGAATCTGTAAAATTTCACACATTTTTAAAAAGATACAGTAAAGTTACGGCGGTAAATCGAAAAACTCAATAGGTACCTAACCTAACCTTACAAAAGTTCACGAAATTTTTTTTGTCATTATATATTATACGGAGTTACGCAAGTGCGTCCTGAATAGCCCTTTTTCAATGTCCTAAATGCATCCGGAAAAAGGTATCACCCGAGTCGTCCTAATAAAAAAAGGTCAATTTGATGAAATGTGATTTAAATGCGTCCCAGTTCATTTAGAGTTACTTAGGATGCTCCAAGAGGATAAACTAGCTTAAACCTCAACAATTTTGTTTAATTTTTATATTTTGTATTGTATTTGTATTACTCTTATATTTTTCTTACACCCATTAATTTAGGATGAGTGTACTAATTTTATTTTACCAAAGTTTTGCTAAAAATGTATTATATTAAAGGCTGGTGTTAAATGCCATACTTTGAAAAAATCCAATCTCGATATGTCATTAGTTCGATATTTGTTAATATTTTCTTCGACTTAGACTTTCTTTTTGTTTTCTTGTTATTTCTGTGGCTGTTCGGATTCCTATTTGAAGTTTTTTCATTATTTCTAAAAATGTATAAATATCTGGGCAGTGTGTACTGTGTATAAAATAAAGAATTTTACTTAAAATGGAAATTTTCACATGCATTTGTTGTTCTTTCGGAACTATTTATCATTTCTGCCCACGTGAAAATAGGAAATTTTGCTTCAGAATCTATATAATTCTCTGTAATCAATAAATTCATTAGGTTTTTCAAGTTCCGGCATTATAGTTATCAAATCTTCAACAAAATATTTCTCAACATCTTCTTTATTTATTAATGGTAATCCAAATAAAATTTTTTGATTTCCAAAAATGACGGAACTATTTCATTTTATCGTTCAATAGAAGACTACACGACTACTATTATCAGAGTTGAAATAAAATTCTCTTTCCCCAATGATTAAATTAGTTTATTATATAAAATAGGTGCCTACAGCTACAGATAATGTATCATACGACTGTGGACAAACTCGGACAATTTAATTTAATTTATCGATAAGATTGCGGACGTACTCGGATTATGAAAAAGGTAAAATTGTTAAACGAGACGCACTCGGGATATCCCCATTCCCCATATTATAATAATATTACCTATACAATAATACATGATAGTTAATAACGGTAATCAAAATAATTAAAATTCCTAATGCTAAATCTAGTATAAATCTTTATGGCAAAACTCTTTTACACGCGGATTTTTAAGAAACCGAATGTTTGAACCAGTTTTATTTTATTAACTAGTTTTTAACGTTGAAACATTCATTATTATTTATTACGTACAGAAACTGCACACTGACTTATAGATAAACTGAAATATCAATGTTTAAAGATCAACTGACAATTTATTGTACTTACCTACGTCAATCGCACTCATCTGATAAAAGTTAATATTTACAATTATTCAGGAAACTGGATTCACTATGACGCATTATTATATTCGTGTTAATTATGAACAAGGATAAATTATAAATATTTAAAACGTGAGTACATCTACAATGTTTTAATTAGTAACCGTACCCATGTGTTATCTCCGTTTTACTATAGCACACGACAAAGCAAAATTACATTACTTAAACATAAATTGTTACGCTTAAGTTACAATTGAAGTTTAGTCATAAATATTAATACCTATAATACAGAGTTAAAACCATTTAAAAAAAAATTCAAAAACTAACCTGGCTATAACTTTTTTGTATAACATTTGTTTTTAAACAAATAGCTATGTACAACCTTTCTTCGGTGTATCGTGTAATTTTTTTTCTTATTATGTGTGCCAAATATACTTTATAATGTTTATAATACTCGATAATTATAATTTATATTCATAAAAACTCATAAAAAACTCTTTGTGAAGAAATGGGTTCGAATCATAGATAGATTTACTTTGATACACAAAATTAAAGTGGTTATTATGAAGTCAAGTATTTAATCGAGTTATTGAATTGAAAGAAGAATTAGAAAAATTTTTTGAACAAAAAACTCTCATGTACATGAGAGTTACATGTACACGTGGAATAATTGTTTTTTTTTTTGAATAATAATTATACAATTTAAAAGGTGTATCTTTAAATTAACTAAAAATATTAAACCTAAAATATTTAATCGCTTAGCAATAAGTAGCTTATTTTAATGAAAATAATTTGTTAAAATGTCTGCCCATTTCATTATTTTTCGCAACTTGTAATAGCTAGTAATAGTAATAACAATTTTTATTTTCAAATCTTTATTATTTATTTGTGTTGTTGCATAAGCCATTTCTCAACGGGGAGGGGGAGAATCCCTCTCTAGGGAGGAATTCAGACACTACTTAAAGGGTTATATAGCTATAATGAAATTGTAATAATAAAATATAAAAGGTGCAAATTTACTATATCGAGAATTAAAAACAATGTATCTCAATTTTTTAATTAATAGGGACATAAGATTTTTGAAAATCTAAAAGGGGAGCGTAGAATAAACAAATTTGAGAAACATTGGCGTAAGCAAACAGCTTACTAAATTTGTGTCACATATACAATTACGGTTTTCTAAGTAAAATATAGAATTGTTTAAAATTTTTGAAATTTTTAATCGTTCTAGTCCATACTACTTTAACACTAAATGTCCACATTTGAACGATTTTATTAACCATTATGCACACTTTTAAATTACCACGCATAACATTTCTTTGTAATTTACTTCATCAAAATCATTCCCCATTATCTAACACCGTTAGTTACCTCATTCATTTCTTCGATTGCTTCTTCTGTGAATAGACTGAACATATAAGGCGACAAGGGACAACCTTGTCTCACACCTTTCCTTATCTTAGCTTCCTTGGTTCCATTTATATCTATTACTGTTGCTTGTTCTTTGTATAATCTCAAAATGATCCCTCTGTCCTTACAGTCGATTCCACTTTTTTTTAATGTACTAAACAGCAAGAACCAATCTACTTTGTCAAAAGCTTTTTCTTTATCTATGAATTTTATATATTTTAAGAGATTTACATCCAGTCTTCTTTCTACAATTAGTCTCAGAGCCAAAATCGCTTCTCAAGTTCCTCTCTCTCTCCTGAATCCGAATTGATCTTCTCCAAGCTATTTTTCTATTTTCCCTTTTAGACTGTTTTTGTAACTATATCCAGAAATCTTTTCCTGATACTTTTTTCAAATCAATTTAACTTTTTTAAATAAGTACAGCATCTAATGAAATGTTTTTTTCTTCGGTGAAAAGAGTGAAATCTTAACTTAATTCATTTAACTATTATTGCTGTTGAAAATTTAAAAAACCGATAAACTTGATTTAAATAAAATATTTTCTCAAATGAAAGTTCGCAGATACGAATTTACTTAGGGAACACAAATTAAGAACTGATTATGCATGTTAAAATATACTTGCTAGTTAGATGATTTGTTTGTTTTCTTCCTTTAATTATCATTTTAAACTTTTGAATACAGTTGAATCATGTTATATTTTCATGTGCTATTATTTTGTGTACTTAAAAATGTATATTTGTATTTATATTTTTTCTATTTTGTTATTAAGACATATAATAAAATATAATATGCTGAATCGAACACATTTTTCATTAAAAATAATACAAACAAATAATCTTATCATAAAAATGTGTTATTTTTGCTAGTAATAGCAAATCAATGATTGTACACAAGTGATCATATGGCACAGCAAAATTGGTCTACTTAAAATGTAAAGCATTTATTTTAAAACTGAAATGGCACCCCTGAGCCAAATGCTACATATATACACATGACCTTCACACCGATATTAAATCACAGAAACATACATTTTGACAGAAATGGGTCGTCTGTTTGAAAACTATTTTTTCGAATGTCGTATGTTCGAAAAGTAATTTATCCCAAAGGTAATATGTTCAAAATTGTTTAAAAACGTAAATAATATGGAATCGTGGATTTTAATAAATTTAATAAAATATTTTAACTACAGTATAATAAATAAAAAAAGACGAATATACTTCGCACGATGGGTGGGCTACTGTTGTAGGTGAGAAGTTAGGAAGGTACAAAATATAAAGGGGAATTTATTATAGTTATACAAAAGATTAATCATTGCTAACAAACAACTATTCTGAGCCGTGTTTAGTTTTACATGTTTTAAAAAGTCCATAATATTTACGATTTTCGTCAAAAAGTTATATAAAACTCTTATAAAAAAAAATACTATATTAAACTCAACTTTTTCTAATTGACCACTCAGTACAACTTATAATGAACTTTCTTTTAAATTTTCAAGCATATCTATTTGGTCCAAAAATTGTATCTACAACCGAACAAAAATTACATAAAATACTCGCAAAAATTAAAATGTCTATAAACAACTCAAAAATAGCTAAAATGTTTTGAAAATTTTACCACGTCTAGAAAAGGCAAATATAAATTTTCTGTCTAAATGAAGAACATTTGAACTGAATTACAAAAAAAAAAAAACAAAATTGAAAATAATAAAAACATAAATTATCCTGTTTTTCCTACATTTTATCCCGGTTTTTCCCTTTCCAATTACTATTAAAACTGCTTGGAAAATTAAAAAAATGATCTCCAAGGTACAGACTAGATAAAATTCTCTTTCAGAAAAAATTCGTATTATTTCTGTTTTTCGAACATATAATCTTCCGGACACTTGATGTTCGTACAAACGTTATTTGAACACATGACACGCTCCCAATTTCGACATCTACATATTTCCGTCCCAGATCCACCATAACAGTATTATCATTTTCAGGTCGTCGAGCCATTAACATTAAACCAGGTCTTCCTGTACGAATCTTGTCGGGAAAAATGGCCGTCGACGGACATCAAAGTGACGTACAACGTAGCATTAGTGCTCATTCAAGCCGTACTTCCCGCCACTGTTCTTCTAGTTGTTCATATTCGAATTGCTGCCTACTTGCACGCGCACACGGCTTCTCAAAAAGACTCGAGGAGAGCACAGCGAGAACTCCAAAGAAACAAACGCACCACGCTGCTTCTTATAGGTACAATAACTCACTATGAAAACAATATTATAAAATTATACAAGATACGCTTACATGAGTGTACCTAACTATGTATTAATTGCATTATTTCAACCATGCACTCGAGAGTTCGTAAAACATTGCAAAATATACAAGTTAAACACAGCTGAAATTAGCGACTATATATATTTTATTAATAATGTGCGCACGTTAACGTCATAAATTTAATACGTTTTCAACTATTACACAAACCTACGTACATAACATGTATTCATCAAATTTCCACCGTCTTCTCGTTTACCGAGAACGCGTTAACTTGAGCTGCAGTGTTATGAAATTATTAAAGATTTTAGAATAAGTACATATTTAATTAATGAACTTTCTAAGTACAAAGATCTTACATACAAAATATACGCATAGAAAACTAACTAATCGAATCGCAATAACAAACACATGTTGTCCGCATTTACGCATACAAAGTAATGTATGTCACCAAAAGTTTCGTTTCAGGTTAAATCAATTCAGACGTAGGTATTCGTTAAATCGTAATAATAACCCTTGAAACATCCGTACATGTACGAGTATTTCGAACCTACTGTGGGTTGTGAATCTAGGCCAGTATTCGGTGCGTATCATAAGCGACGGTGACACAAAGTTATTCTTAATACGTATGTATTCTTAGGTATGTTTTTTAATTCAAACGGAATAGTTATGGCCACGAGACAGTGCGCATGCGTATAAATAACACGATATAAGATACGATTGTATCTATAAGATAGATACGTGATTTAACAAGATACTACCGATTATAGTAACGCGTTATGATGGTTCTTGCTGCAGGTGTAGCCGTCGTGTTCACCGTCAGCTGGCTGCCGCTGTCGCTGTGTTCGTTGGCTGCCGACCTGATGACCCCGCAAACGTCAGCCTTCACGAAGGTGACCACCAAACAGGTAATCCTGCCGCTGGCCATTTGTCACTTGATCGCCATGACGTCGGCGGTGTCCAACCCGATCATCTACGGCTGGATGAACTCCAACATCCGGAATGAACTGTATCAACTAGTGTACACGAAAATCTTGAGGCGCCAGCCGGACAACCGGTCCACGGTGACGGCCACGACGGCCGTCCGGAACCGGACCAGAGCCATGATCACGTACAACACGTCCAATTACATGCCCGGCAGTCAAGAAGCGTTCTCCAGAGGAGTCACGGTCCTCTAGGCGGACCGTAAGCACCGCGCAAAGGCCGGATCACTGAGGGCCCGGGGAGCCCAGCGGCCGAACTTGAACTTTTGTATCTCAAACGTTTTTAACGATCGTTTTATACACCGCAATATTACAAATGATGATGCGGCGGGCCCTTTACGTACGCAGACGTGCTCTCCCTCCCTTCATTTTCCACCCCTTAATCCGAGCTTGACTATGACGACAGCAACGCCTCGCCGTGGCGTTTCAAGAAGTGTTTTTTTTTTTTTTTTCATTTAAGCTAAGCATTTTTACTCTCGGAAATTTCCATTACCGTATGTATTATAATGATAATAATGTTACCTAAATTTGTGAAACACGAATGTTTATTATAATATTATTATAAACGAATACATCGAGTAGCGCGCGCGCGATTAGCTGTAGTGTTTTACGAAATTATTAATACGCGTACCTCTTAATTGTTGTAAAATTGTATTTGTCTCTCCTCGTCTAAACTTCTATATTATAATTGATTACAAAATCGATACTGTCATTTCACGCTTTTTGTATGAATATTTGAATCGATATGATAATATATAATATACCTGTATATAATATATTTAATGACGGTCCTTATCATATACATAGATGGGGAAATTTATTTTTCAGTTTTTATCAGGCTGCCCTCAGAATTTATTCGAATCTATAAAAAAAAAAAAAGATTCACATTAAGTTTCATAAACATTGGTCAAATTTAAGATGTACCTCAGACCGGATAAAATTCCAAAAAAAATATGCTTTCTTGGTCTTTCGCAATTACGATCTGAAATATGTATATATAATAAGTAAAAACCGCATAAAATAAAATATTTTTTGAATCAAATAAATAATTGATACTTATAATTTTTCATTAAGCCACTCATTTACTCACAAAATAACACAACTAATACAAAAATGAGCTTTTAGTTTTTTAGGTGAATGAGTTGTGTATCGAAAAAAACATATGAAACAGTTTTATTAGGAAATTTAATTTTAAAAATATGTTGTTCTATGCATTTTTTGCTTAACATAAATATTTTATGCCGTAATTTCAAAAATCTTAGAACACCCTTTTTTTAAACTTTATCCTTCTAGATAAGGTTGACCAATTATCACAAAACTTAACACTTTTTATTTTTGTATTAGTTTTGAACAAGTTTTGAGGGTAGCCCGATTAAATAAAAAAAAAATGTCTACACCTTAATATGTGACACATCAATAGAACACTTACCACCTAGAACTAACTACCCTGAAGTAAAAAAATGTTCACACAACTCCCCCCCTCCTCATTAACATGGATACATTGATACTTAAACATTTTTTGTAAAAAATTACCACCTAAACTCATTTAAATTTTCACGCTAGAGGCAATTTAACTTTTCGCCCATCCCCCTCTAAATGCGCCATTGTATATAAATGATATAATGCGAATACGATGTTACTGTGTCAATGACTATAAATTGTGTAATGTTAATACCTATTATAATATAAGTATATTATTCAGCATTTTGTTTATTGTAATTTTTTTTACCGATAATTCGAAAAATCGTTGAAAAAATGTGATCCGTATTATTCAACATAGAATTTTAGAAATACGAAAATTCTATTGTAATAATATTATTATGTTTTATCGCTTATTTATACCGACTCGTTTTAATCATTTTGTTCGAAATAATATAAAAATCTCGATTATATAGGTATTTTTATTTACTTTTACTTTTTACAAGAAAATATGATGTATATTGCACGCAAACCGTAATTAACGATTTATTTATTATTATTATTATTGTTATTATCGTTATTGTTGTTACTAAATAGATCGATGTTGGCGTTCGATTACTCAATATTCTGCTCAATAAATAATATCGTTCAATCATCACAAAACGTACTGATTTAATACAAATTATATAATAATATATATATTAAGTTAACTACGAGCAGGAATGGCGCTAGGCAGAGGCCAAGCGGAGCATGTGCCACAGATAAAAATAATTTGACCTACCTTCCCTCACCCTTTAAATTTGTGTATTAATTATTATCTTAGACTCTGAGCGCAGCGAGGAGTAAATTGGTTTCACAATAGGTGCTTCCTTAGATTTTGAGCGAAGCGAGGAATCTATTGGTTTTACTATGATGTATTCCAATTAAATGTTGGTAATACACTTATTTTGTATAAAATATATTGTAAAATATAACATTTTTTTTCTGGGATATCAAAGAAACACTAATCAATTACAGTAACATATAATACTACATGCCAAATCTACAAATTATGGTACCCGGAGCAAAACATAATATTAATATCTCCATGAGTTATCAACAAGAGATTTACCTTTTTATACATTTTCTTACTTTTTATAAGGTATAATTTGCACAACCCTATAACTAGTGCCTGGGACGGATTCTCCGGATTACCCACTTTAATTCCGACGCTAGTAACATATGTATCGCCGACTTTTTCTATTACCTTTTTATAAACGTGACACATGAATTTTTTTGGTTTTATGCGGATAAATATTTAATTTAGCCCAGCAAAAACGTTTGAACATTTTACATGAGGTTTATCATAAAACGTAATTAGTGGGTTTTTTTTTTTTTTGTATGAACTTAATTAAATTTGTTTTGTTTATTTGTTTATGCGTTTAACCTGGACATTTTTATGAAAAACTTGAAATCACAGCATTTCAAAACATGTTTCATAGATTATTTTTCTTTATCAACAAGTATAAATTCATAATTTTAAACTATGGTCTTTCAATTCTATAAATATACTTTATCGATTAACATTCACGGAAACGATTAAATTTGTTAAGTTGTTGATCCGCATTTGTTTTAGTATCAATTATCAGTATTGTGAACTTCATAAGGTTTGCTCGTTTATTCGTGTATATAACTTTCAAAATAAATGAAAAGTAATAGTTTATTTTAATTGTGGTTCGTAATTGAACCAATGGTTTTGGTAGGGTGGGTAGCTCCCTTAGTGATAATTATTTTCAAAAAGACTGCATAAAAAATTAGGTAAATATTGTTGGTCACCAACATACTAGGTCGAGAACTGCTGGTTATAGACTATAGGCTACTTTTTAATTCAGGACTTACAAATGTTATATAATAACGAACAAAAAATAAAGAACAAAGAAAAATAAAAAGAAGAAAAAAAAAATAAACAGCATTGTAAAACCAATAGCTCCCTCGCAACGCTCGGAATTTAAAAGACGTCCTAGGTTAATAGAGACAGGTGCAGCCACTGCTTTAGGTAAATTGTATGTATACCTGTAAGCAACGATAATCCATTGATTACGAAAAAACAATTCTGAGCGGAGGTCAGTATTAACTGACCTCCGCTCAAAATAATGATAGTGATGCTTTGTCAACAATATATTTATATCATATTATAGTAAAATAATTAAATAGGCCCTATGTATTATAAAATTGTTGGTAAAAAAGTTGTCTACAGAAAAAAAATCTTAACATTATACAAATATATTTCGTACATTTTCCCCTTTTCCTCCGTTTTTTTCAGTTTTTCCCATTTTATGAGAAAACTCTTAAGAAAATCGAAAAATTGCCACAACAAGGTAATAATTTCTTCATTTCTCCATAATAATTTCCTTTCAGAAAAGGTGTTACACAATGACCAATATAATATGTACAGTGAAGTAGATGGAGACAGGGATAGCACTTTTAAAATTCAAAGAGCATACGTTTACGATAAAAAATTATTTTAACCTTTGATATTAATGAAGATTGGTATACATAATTAAATACATTTACTACGATATAGTAATTTTTAAGTATTTATTATTTACATACATAATACATTGTATCAATTTAGAGTTATACTAAGTATTTTTTATACTGCAATTAGTAATTTCGTTTAAAACAAAATACGCGAATTCTAAAAGTTGTTTAAGAACAGAGGTAGAGGAATGGACCTTCCCTTGGATCTGCCCCGGGTGGTGGGTACTCAAACTCATTATGCCCCCCCTATTTAATTTAAGTTCGACGCCACTGTGACGAGGTAACAACACATGAGATAGCAATTGTATCAAAGATAACGACATTACAAGTGAATCATTTTACCATATTATATTGTACTTAAAAATTACAATAATTATACGTTATATTGTACGTTTCACAAAATTAAAGACTCTACTATAGCGCGACCGGTGGCCAAAAATTTGAATTTTAGTGTCGTTCAAACTTTGCAAAAGCGCGGTTAATTTGAAATTAAACATACCTTTTAAACGTTAAATTTTTTTGTTTTGAATTTACCAAAAAAATTGAAAAAAAAATAATATGTTATTTAAACACAAATAAATATGAAATAAAAATACAAATTGTATTTATTTTTTTTTATGTTTTAATAATAAAATAACATTGTAACATTGTAAAAAAAAAACACACTTTAGTTGTCAAATATCGCGATCTAACGGCAATCACTAATCAGTAAAACAATTATTAAAACAAAAACGATGGTGGAACGGGTTATACTGATAATTATCGAATCACAATTAGATTGAAGTGCAAAATAAACACGACGTGTGCACGTCGATATTGTTATAGATAATATGGTATCGTTATTTTGTCACCAAAAGAACTATTGATTAATAATCATGTCATACTGAGCACTGTATGTGGCAGTTCAATTTACGCGCACTTTTTAGTGCACATATTGAGTAGCCTTATTAATTATAGACCGCCAGTAGCGCTGCAGTCGAACCTCATGAATTTCACGAAACTATAGCAATGTTTGATAAAAAAAAGCCCAGTGACCTCCTAGTTCAGATTCACGACTACCATTTCTTTTTCAACGCCCTTTAGTTGACTTTACTTCGTGCATTTGTGCTTATTTATTGCCTATCTAACGCCTATATATGAATGTTTTATGGTTTGGGAACCACTGGACTTTCTTATCAAACATTGCTACCATAATTTTATCGTACCAAGGTGTATGTTTTATAAATACACTTTTTAAATATTATCCAGTATCCACCATAGAGTAATTGTTACTCTAAACACACTTAAACTGACAGGCACACATCTTTAAACCTTTTACGCTCAACCATGGACGTAGCGCGTGCCCGAGCAGCTGCCGCTTTTATCGCGATTCATCATATTATTAAAAAAAGACCAAAGCGAAAAGTTCGTTGGTGGATGAAGAAATTGTATTCTAATCGATTGCAGTATGGTAGTGTGGTACGACTCATAGAAGACATGAGTTACGAAGCCATTGACGGTACAATAAAAAATTTTACAAGAATGATTATAGAGTTTGAGCAGTTAAAATCATTAATTGAGCCACGTTTGAAAAAAATGTATACACAATTCCTTTCAATCTTCGGCACTATACAATTGAATTAAAACGCGACACTTTTCGATATCCAAAGCGTCGGCCGTATTTGCCATGCGAGCGAATTTTTAAAACAAACAACGCGTTGCAACTGCGCGCCCTTGACCGACAAAATTTGTCTTGTACACCGCGGCATGTTCGAGCGCGAAAAATTTTGATTCGGTTCCGCGCGGCAGTCGCGCCAAATGGATACCGGTTGCCGCGCGAGGCCAATGTTCGAGGGTTTGCCGCGCGTAATCGATACTTAGAAGATAAGACCATAGTTTATACCTTGAACATATTAACTATAAACTATGGTTAATACCAAATCTCTACCACATTTTTGATAAATGATAATACGAAATAGAGTTACAAGTAAAAAATAGCCGTGGAAGTGGTATACACTCGCGACTATCTGCACAGTTTATTTTATTAGGCACCTATGTTATTTAAATTTGTAGGTATTTCGTGCCTATTTAATTGTCTACTGAATTTTTTTTTTATTTATATAAATTCAAATATTCATAATTTGCATATAACGTGATTATCGTGATCTTTTGTTTTGAGCTTTCTAATATGAATCTTCATTGTTTAACTTAGGACTAAAGTGGTTTGTTTTTATTTGACTTTGTTAGACAAAACTTGTAGGTAGTTACCATTCAGTTTATCGATATAAAAATTTATTTACCATTTGTATGCATTTATTATAGTAGGTGTGAAAATCATAGTAAAAATGATTGAATATTCCGATCAAGAATTCGAAAAGAAACTAATGCTTCTGAAAGATACTCAGGATGCAATTCAAACGTTATCTACATGGTGTCTAAAACGACATGAAAATCACAAAAGTATAATTACCATTTGGTTGAAAGCTATAAGAAAGGTGAAAATTGAGAAACGTTTAACTTTGTTTTATTTGGCCAATGATGTCATACAATATAGTAAGAAAAAAAATTACAAGTTTGTCGACGGATGGGCTACTGCTATTCAAAAAGCTATACCTTATGTAAGGTAAGTTTAATTCTTATAAGACGATGTTGTTGTTACAATAATAGGTTTCCAACATGGTCACCGTATTATAGTTTGTTGCTTTCAACAATTTGTATACAATAGTTAAATATATTATGAGATCAAACAGCATGCCCATATTATAACAATGTTTAAATATATTTAAATATGGAAGCTTACAAACGTCTTATTAAATTAGTTAACACATTAACACATTGATACACATTACTGCTATAGTAGTTAAGGACTCGACTGTAATTCTAGCATCACTCATGTAGCTAAATAAATTTTGTAGTTAGTAAAAAATATACAAAAATCATTTCTGGAAGCTTGATAACGATTTGCATTGTAACGATGTTACAAACAAAATAATAACAATAACCCTGAACGGGATATAGTAGATTTGATATTCCCTGTACCAGCAGGCTATAAATACTTGGACATGTATATCAGTTTTCTAAAGGCTAAAAAAATCTGATGTAAAGGATAAACTAATTTATTCTGAAATCGGGTTTGACTATTAACATATACATAACTATACCTATGACATAAGAGCACTCTGTTAACGTCCAGCATTTATTGCCCGAGATGTAGATAACATACAAAAAGATCAACATTCATATATTTATGTATATATATATATATATATATAGTATACGACGTGAATTCTAAGACAACGTTTAAAGTATTATCTATATAACACATTTTTATTTATCCAATCTTTCACGGAACATTTGATTTGTATTGATTATTTCAAACAATTCTGCAAAAACAAAACATACTTAATATGCATAAATAATAATAATTTAGTAATATTTATTACAAATTTTCAGAGATGACAAGATTCAATCTAAAATTTTAAGAATAATTAAAATCTGGGAAATGCGTGGTGTTTATGATGACAATTACTTAACTGATCTAACTGGACTGTTAACTACACCAATTCAAAAATTAAAGTTATCTGATCCTGTACAAGAGTTTCAAGTAAAGTTTTATTTTAAACTAGTTTATTATTTAGTATTCTAGAACATAAATTAATATTTAGGAGAACAATAATAAAAAATTATGTTACCTACATATTTTAAAATTATATAAGTTATATAATATAACTTAAAACTATTGATACAAATTTATATTACTCATTGATAAGTATGTACAATCAAAGATTAGAGTAATACATTTTACTTTAGGATTTTAGGTACGTAAGTTATTGTTGTTTTAAATTGATTTTAAGATTTTAAATATAATAATTATCTGATAATATTTTTTAACCCATTCAAAAATAGTTTTGAATAATATAACATTTAGTAAGACTTTATAAGTATTGAAAATTCTTAGAATAACGGGACCATATAAAATATTTGTTGTAGTCAGGTTTTTATTATAAACTGGTTTAGTGTTTCTTAGTCAAATTCAGGTACTGGCAATTTTGTATTTAAATTATCTATAATAATTTTCATTTATTTATAGCATACCTATATACAATACATAATTTTTTCTCAAAAAATAATTGAATTAATGTTTGCTTTAATTTGATCCATAATTAGTATTTTCTTTGGTTTCACTGTAAAACTTTTTCCGTTAAAATTTCATTAGAAAGAAATATTACTATTATAGATAGGTCAAACAACTTTAAAATACCTATAGTTTTGCAGTGACCTTATCATTTTGCCTGTTAATGCAGGTCTCATTGTATAATGTATTAGATTTAAAAACATTAAATATGAATTACAATTTAACTAATAAATTTATATTATGTGTAAAACTCATAACCATATTAAAAATAACTAATTTTGGTTTTAATTAATGGTTGTATAAATATTTTATCGTTTTTAGATAAATGCATTAGCTGTTAAAATTCGTTCTTGTGTAAAACTGGAACAAATCACTGATTTGAAAATGAAAACACTAAGAGAAGGTAATTTACCTTTAACCAGTAGTGAAGCCATACAAAACATGTTAAAAGGTAATATTATTTTATAATACCAGTCTTTCATTTTTTATTATTATTTTTTAATTATAATGCAGTTCTTTAAATATTTCTTCATAAATATATTCTTTAATGTAAAAATTGAACCAATTATTTTTTCAGATCGAACAAGGAGTCATGAATTTCTCAATGAATTAAATGATGGGATGTTAAAAATTGAAAGTTATATTAAGTGCCTCAAAAAAGAAACTGTTGATCGTGCACAGTTAATAGATGCCTTAGAAGTTGCTACATCATATTATGATGAACAAAATGGAGAAGTTAAAACTGTTGCTCAAGTATGTTAAAAATACATTTTTGTGTGTTAATTTAAAATTAATTCGATAATTAACTGTAATGTTTTATGTCAGGCATATTTCAACTACACTAAACGAGTGAAACTCTTAAAAACTAAATTAGAATCAGTGGTTGGTTCTATGCCCACAGACAGTCCTATGCCTTCACCAGATATTAATGCACCATCACCTTCAACATCTTCAGTCTCTATTGAAGACTTAAATATGCAAAATCTAAGTTATAACGATACATCACACACTGATAAATATATGATAAAGAGTTCGGAAAACGATAACAATGCTGCTGACATTTATATACCGACTACAATAGTAACTAATATTGTTAAACCATTTGTTACAAGTGAACCATACAATACTGTTCAAGGTTAGTTAATTTAATCTTTTAGACTTAACTGTATTGTTTTCAAAATATATTAACAATAACAAAATATTGTTATTCAGAACTGTATGATCCAGCTTCTGTAAGTTTTCCAGCTGTAGAAAATCAAGATCAACAAGCATTAACCAATCAGTTTCCTTATGATGCACCATCTCCACCTCCGGATGAATCCTTCATGTATTCAGAATTTCCTAATCAAACAGCTATATCATACAACAATGAAGTACACACCATTTTTATTTTTCATTGATATTTTACATTTATGTTTGTTTTTAAAATTATTTAAATTTTTCAGATGGTTAACCTTGATGATAAAAGTATTGCTTATCCTGCAGATAGCTATGAAGCATATGTACCTACTCCAATGTCTTCTAGTCAACAATATATAACTTCTGAAGTGACTAATATGGTACCTCCAATTGATTCATTGTCACATATAAATGAAAATATTATTCCAGTACCTCATATTCTACAAACAGGTATTTTTAATTCATATTTATTTTATTTTATTCTATCTTTAAAATCCATTCTATTATGTAATAATATGTATTCAATAAACCACATGAAACATAATTTTGTTAACATATTTATCTTCAAATTATTATAATAGATTGCAATTAATAAGACTTACATTTTCAGGTTGGGATGAAACTATTCATAATAATTGGTCAAATAATGACACACCAGCATCACCGCCTTTCCATGAGAAAATCTCTTATCAAAACACCGCTATCAGTAAAATGGATGAGGGATCCGGTTTAAGTCACTGTACTGTCACACCAAAAATGTCATGTCCATCTCATGATAGAGATGACCGAATAAACTCACAAAAAATGATATCTGAAACACCTGATATAGATCATAGAAATTTAATTAGTTTAACGCAATCTCCTCATATGAATTCTCCAGTGGTTTCTGCAGATGTTGATTACCGAGCATTTCCTAGTATTCCTATGCCACCTTCACCGCCTATTATGCTTATGGAAGTAGTCAATAAGCCTCAAAATGACAATGTTGAAAGTGTTGATATGGATTTAAGTGATGATGATGAGAAGCCTAAATCTAACCATAGTATAAATACTTCCATACACTTACCTCCTCCTCCTCCACCACCACCAATTGCTTTTGACTTTATTGAACAACAAGGCGCATTAGATATTTCCAACTCATGGGAACAATCATCCCAACAATGGAATAATGAAGGATCTAATTTTAATGACAGATCAAGTTTACATGAAAATCAGTGGAGTTTAGAACAACACGAACGGTGGAAACCTAACCAGTGGGAACAAGAGCAAAGTGATGTAAACTTTGTTCATAATCAACCTCCTCGTCAGTGGTCTCAACATGACCCTAGAGTACAAGTAGTACAACCAACACCAGATTTTAGACCAAAATGGAAAAGAGAAAACAATTGGTCAAGAGGCCCTAGAAATCTCATTCAATATTCTAGATCCAATGGAAGATGGAATCAAGGACCCCGTTTTGGACCGAGGAATCAACCTTGGTAAGTGGATTGTTTTAAGTTAGACTTAAGACTGAGATGAACAAAATGTATATTTTTGTAATTTAATTTGACTAAGCTTTGCTATTGTTTATATTGTCAAGTAACTACACTGAGTTTCTTGAACCTTTTTATTTCATTATTATGTATTATATGTATTATAATAATTCAAGATTTGATGTTAATCAAAAAGTTTATAGAGGACATTTTATTTGGATTGACATATTATGCAATGTATTATACCTATCAACAATTATTTTACCATGATTCTCATTAGACATTATTTCATTTTTTAAGACAGAATAAATTAGTATTTGAATCAAAATTGAATATTTTATTCATTTAGTTATAAAATATATTAATAAAAAGAATAATCTTATATAGTTTTAAAAAAATATATTTTATATCCACTTCAAATCTGCAGTTTGTGTATAAAGCAATATTTTGTTTAGTATTGTTATTCAAAACAATTTTAAATTGTACATTTCAGTTAAATGTATGTATGTATGCATATGAGTATTTGGTTTGTCTGGTATTTTTATAGAGGATATTTTGTAGTATGTATTTAATAAATCAAAATACTCATAGCTTAGTTATTTTTAAAATACAACATATTTTCTATTGCAAATTGTTATAAAACTTTTAAAAAAAATTTGTTCCAGAAACTTCATTTTGATGGGAAGGAGGTAAACTTTTGTAATAGTTTAGTATTACTATATAGGTTTTCTGGAATTCAACTTTCAAAAGTATACATTTTTTAGCAAAATACAGGTCTGGAGAGCTCTCTGAGTACCACCACTGATTTTATGTCATAAGGAGAGAGGAATTAAAAGCACTAAAGAACTAGGAATAGGGTAGCGCCAACCTCAAATAGTTGGGATAATAGGGAAGAATTATTATTTCATTAATTATATTAATTCATTATTACAGTACAGTCCAGATAAATTGGTAGTGTTAGTATACATTTTTATAGATATAATTAAAGAGCTTGCTGCTATAATGGCTGTATAATTCTAATGGGATTTTAAACATAAAAATTAACAAAATATCTACAAGGGCAATATTAATAACTAGATAATTCTAGATTTTATTATTTGTTTATATTTCCTTTATTATCTTAAAAATACAACATCTATAAGTGTTTAATTATTAATTTTACCTTAAACATACAAATTGTATTTTTGGACATGACTTTTAAATTCTTATTGTTTAGTTAGTGGCCTTTTTTTACTAGTAAAAACCAGTTATATGTTATTAAAAAATTAATATTTAACTAAATGAATATGATTTCCTAGGTAAAGTTGTGTTCTTTAATTTTCAGTATAATGCTATTTTATCCTAAATCATACATATTTTATGATAATATATTTGTTCAATGGAAGATTTGTTCATACATTTATTGACATCCTATTAATGGTTGAATTAGAAAAAATAAATGTTCTGGAATTTTCGAATTTATAGGTAACTGAAGTTATTTAAACAGCAATACACATAAAAAGTATTTTTTAATTGAATTTAGAGATATTTTTTATAGATATAATACAATATTTAAATGATTCATGGTTTAAATAAATAATTATAAATTGGATTCAATCAGGGTATATAGAAATTAGAATAAGATTGATTTTGGCAGAATCGAGATTATCTTAATTATTAATCTTATCACTTAACTAACTTTAATTTCCAAATTGATGTAATTGATACCTATCTAAATTTGATTGATGACCATATAAATTACATTTATAAAATATATAATATTAGATATATTTATTTATTTACAGTATTAATACTGAACGTATTTGAAAGAACAAACTGATTTATATATTTATTCTGTTATGTAGTTAATATTATTATTATTCTACTAATAATGTATTAAATTATATTATTATAATTTAAGATTTTATATTTTTCTAGTAACTAATATTAAATAATTCTGAAATATTTATTGATAGTTCAATAGACATTATGCTAAGATAATCTATGTGCAATTTGAATTGTTAGTGTACCACAAACTTGTATGTAAGTTTTTAAGTAAATATCCGTGAAATTAATTACTATTGTAAAGTGCATAATATTATATATTTTTTTATATTCAAACATTAACATTTGGATTCTCTCACACTATTAGTTCCAACTTATCTGGTGCGGACAGATGAATTATGTACCTACCTACTATCTGCATATGTTTATTAAATATAAAAATATTTATTTGTAAATTATTGATATTAGTTTATGTTATTAAAACAATAATTACATTTGTTTAATATGTTTTAATGTTATGTACTATATACAGACTGTCCCACAGTATTTGTCTGTTTAAAATTGGCACAAATATCTATAGTTGTTAGTTTAGACATTTGTGAAAATTTATTAGTGAGTATTAAAATTATTCCCAAAACGTCTAAAAAATATATAGGTAGGTTAAAAATTTCAAATAATTATATAGCTTAAAGTGTTATAATATTATTAGAATCATTCTTACAATGGCTCGTGAATTTTATGTTAACGCTAACCATCAGCTACCAGAGAAAATTGTTTGCTGGTTAATGGAAAAAATAATCGACTGTCAATGCTAACAAACACTTTACAGGACATTGTAAGAACAGCCCTAAATGGTAACAATAACTACTAATTTTTATTTTTAATGATTTATTAGTTACCTAGTTAATATTTCTTTACTCTAAGTATCTGTATATATATATATATTTGTAACCTGATGAAGGACCAAGATCGAAACTAGCAGTTACCTACCATTTAATTTTATAATACTCTAGGCTATATTATAATTATAATCTAATTTCATTTCATTGTAAATGTATTATTATTATTAATAAATATGTTTTTATTTGAACTATGTACTTATGTACTCTAAAAATGATTCACTCTTTAAGTAAAAGATCTAACATTGCATTTTCTTTAACCTGCATATCTAACAGCTAACATTGACCATAAATTAAAAAACATAACAATACACAATACAATATATGTTAAATTGAAACATTTATTTTATTATACGAAAGTTTATTTTTATATTATCATGTATTTGTATCATTTTTAAAATTTCAAAAAAATGTTGTATCATTTTTAAAATTTCAAAAAAATGTTGCTAACAATCTACTTACTAAACAAAATTATAATTTATGCTTTTATTGTTTACCATTTACCCAGTGGACATTGATACTCGAAAAAAGATGCAATATTATATACTTATTTGAATAAGTACAGTTGTTTAATATTTATATTGGATTCATTTTCCTTTAAATTTTATTATACCGCCAGATCGCGCTAAGTGTACTCTTTTTTAAAAAATGTGTTAGGTATCTGCTTATTTAATTATTTGCGTTATGTTAGCGGGGGAATGAAACATGAGAGGAAACTATACATGCTTTTGTTATCTGTCCTTTAAGCGCATGATGGAAAATTTGCATTCAGCATTAGCAGAACCAATTTTATGCTTTTAATTTTAATATTAGAATAGTGAAAACATCATTGTGTTTGTACATTAATTTTTCTGGTATTTTAATATTTAAGTGAAATATGATCACAATTTAAAAATCCTTATATGTTGCTTAAAAAATAAGGTGTGAACACAAATAATGTTCTTACCTTTAGTTTGATAATATTTCAAATTGCCTTAATAATAAGACTGTTGCCCAAAATTGGTTCTGCTGAATTCAAATTTGATATGAGTGTACTTGTTAAACAGAGCCAGTAAATGCATGTTTTGTGTCCTCTTGATATATTATCATTAAAAAATATCACTTTTCAGAATTTTGATTGCTTATAAAGTTACGACTTGTATAAACAAAAAGAATAAATGTGCCTACTATAACTTGTTATCTACTGAACAATAATTTAATTAGTTATCCTTTCTAAACTAAAATGTACAATATAATATTATATTTGTATCAATAGATGAGTTTGTACGCCTAATACTAATATAAACAAAATACCACAACCTAACTAGTTATTGTAAATTCTAAATTTTCTTAATGTATTATTATTTTATATTAATTTTCAGTACTTCAGTGACTTAACACTGTGCATGTACAATAATATTATACTAATTATTTATTTCAGTTTGTATTCATAATGTTTTATCTAATAATATTGTTTTCATTATTGTGAAATACCAACCTACTTGTTACGTAGCTAATCACTTCTATATTTTTGTCAGAGACTTTGGATTTTGATTCGAACGGTCTTGGTGATCGAAAATGAGATTATTCATTCATAATAATGTTATTTATATTGGCTGTAGGTTGAATTATTTTATTTTTTAATAATATTATGTAGATAGCTATTACATATTAATATATTATTTTAAAAATTGTAATAAACTAATAACTAATAAGATTATATTGTAACTAATTACAAATTACCTATACGAAGAGACTGATTTAACTACAGGTATACGAATACCAGAATACTGAATTTGATGGCTATTTCACTTTTTTTAAAATACTAATTTAGATGTATTATATCCAGTACAAATAGTGTTACAGTACAGTAATTTTAAAATTGATTATTTTTTAAAAGCAAATCAAATTCTCAGATGATGTTAATTATATATATTATTACTATTATATTATTGAATTTATTTGTAAAATTTTCTAATATACCAAATCATTATTCGTTCTTAGTTCTATTTTTTTATCAACATTTTATAATAAATTTATATTTTCCATTAAATTATTTACATACATGTTTAAAATAAATGTTTGATTTGGTTTTGTTTCAGAAAATGAAGAAAATGATAATTTATAACATTGTATTTTTAAGTTTTTTGTATATAATATATTTATATAATAAATGCATACACTACACAATATTTTTTATCATATAACATTTTTGCAGATATCAGCATATTTTCTTATTTTTCAATTATATAAATCTCAACCCTACTGATAACATATTATTAAATTACGTAATTGTACATAAAATTGATAAAAAATATTGTATGGTATAAAAGTATCTACTAAAAATAAATATATGTTTAGTTTTTATGTTGTAATAATAATAATAATAATTTATTTAATTTTCATTCATAACATACATACATAATTAAAAATTCCAAAAAAATTTTGAATGTCTCCAAAAGCATGTCTCTTGTGTAGAGTAAGCATCACAACAAAAACAATACAGTACATTTTTAATTAATAATTTGTTTTAAAATAAATGTACATATACTATATTGTGTAAAATAAATTATATTATTTGTGTATAAGATATTTGTATATCTCCTTTAATATTGAAACATGAATTTATTTATTTCTGTACCTATTTAGGTAATCTTCTATTTATTTATTTTTTGAATACTGTAATATGATTTAATTTTGCTCTTCATAGTTTTACTGTATATAAGTGTAACAAACTATATTTAAATAATAGTCTCTGTGTGCCTATAATTGATTTAGTCTTTAAAATTTAGAAATTGTTAAGTTTGTTAGCATTGGTTATCTGTTCATTCAAATTTTTGAATTAATTTGAGTTTTCCTAGTATTAAAGTCATTATTTTTATTTTTCACGCGTATGTATCATACGTACTCATATGTACTCATATATCATTATTTAATGAATTCAGTTTAAATATTTTCAAGATGGCACAATACAATAATATTTTATGCATGCTTATAAACTCATTAGTTTCAATTTATATATTTCCTGAAGTATTTGAACTCATTATTTATTTAAAATACGTAAATTATTAATATTATATATTTACAAAAATATTGCATTTTTCATCTAGTTTTTTATTTTCAATGATTATTGTCTTTTATTTTTTAACTGTTTTATTCATAAAAAAATTATCAACTATAATATTATCATTATTATTTTTTTAATCAAAATTTAATATACACTGATATTTTAAAGACACATACCCTGGACTTAAATGTTTATATTTTACTATTAATACTAAACACATATTCTAAAAAAAAATTCAACATGTAAATATAAGTGTATATGGTGATTTTCTCCTTCTAATTCTGCCATGTATTCTCTAAGTAATTTAACCAAATCTTGACAATCCAAAATTTATAATTAACAATATGTAAAATAAAAATATTTTTTTAAATTTATATTATAAAAAAAAATCAAGTGTGCCAATTCAATTTTGAATGAAAGTATAAGTTTATTCATTTTTATTTAAAACAAACATACAGTAATATGAAAATTAAACAAAAGACCAACAATCTTGAATAATCCATTCATATAATACCATTTCAAGTATTTATCATTTATCACATTTACCTAATAACCACATTTAAACTGTATTATTAACTAAATTTTTATTTTAAGCATAATTTCACATGAAAAATGTAATACATATTTACATTATACAGGACGTGTTCCACGATAATTTTTAATTATGTAGTAAAAACTAATTTCCCTCCCACAATTCAAAATAGATATATAAAGTTCTTGTTTAACATATGGTACTCATATATATTAATCATAGACATTAAAAAACAATAGCCTAATTAATAATTATTTATTTGTTTTCCAGAAAACCATCAAGAATACCAATCAGAATTCTTACAAAACGGAATCTCAATTGTTTGTCTTTAATTAACATCCAATTTATTTGTAAGTAATAATTGCACGCGTATAAGATATTAGATAATATATTATTTATATTAAATGACTTAACACTTCTGTGCTATTTCAAGAAATTCTATATATTTAAAATTTTATTGTTAATAATTATATTAGTTATAAGGTAATTATTATAAGCTTTCGAATGTTTTCTCCCGGTTATACTCTGGTTAACAACTATAATTTTTCAAATATCCCAATTAATATGTTTTAATATATTATGTTGGTTTTTACTCTATTTTCGAAAATATATTTATTTTTATCTTTATTAAATCTTTATCTTTATTATAAATTTGTGAAGATGTTCAAAGATTTTTTAAAACAATTATTTCTAAGTATATGAATATGTATAATTTTATAAAAATGTAGAAGTTTTATTTTGTTTTACCACCATTTTGATAGAATTTGAGATTGGTAGGTAAAGTTTTGAAATTTAAGTAACACCTGTATTTTATTTTCTTTAATGTCTTACTTACTTTGATTTTTTTTTTTTTAAATTAATTTCTACCATATAAAAAAAATTTAAATCAAAGTATTATTTTCAATGCTTATAATCTATGTTAAATTTATATTGGTACCCACCTATAAGTCTGTCCGTTTGACAATAGTTTATTTTATTATCAGTCGAAATGGTATATATAGTAATATTTTTATAATATATGACAAAAATAGATTGATGCCATTTGACTACTCAACCCACTTTATCATTTCACTTAAAAATGAATTGTTCTGAATGACTTATTTTTAAGGAAATTAAAAGCGACGAGTTTCTGCCTTTGTGTTACACACTTAAGATATAGGGATTTATACGTTTTAATTTCAACGTACTGATTGATATAGTAAAGCAATAAAAATTCTAGAAACAAATTTAAATTTGCTATGAAATTTACTTTAGATCGACTTTCCCACTTTTTAAATTTATCTCCTTAAATTCTAAAAAAAAAAAGGCATACTAATAAAAAAGTAATTGAATAAATAGAATATTTTAATTTTTTGAGAAATCAAAATCAAAAAAGTGGAAAAGTCAATCTCAAGTAGACTTCAAGAGAAAATCAAATCTGCTTTCAGAATTCTTATTGCTTCACTAGATCAATCGGTACGTTGGAAATAAAACACATCTAAATTCCTAAAGCTCACGTGTGTACTCGTCGCTTCCGATCCCCTTAATTCTAAAATACCTCCTGTACTTATCTTATATAGCCTACAAATAATTATTGATGATCAGTGGTGTATTGGAATAATATTTCGTATTTCAGCCTGGGAAATCCTTATAAATTTAACCCGTAATAGGCCAGTGTGATTTGCTTAACTAAACACTATTTAAACCTAAGACATGGGTCTTTAAATCAATAGTAGAAATTTGAAAACGAAAATTGTAATATCTTGTAAATGTTGTCTTTTAAGCTGCAATAGAAAAAGGCAATCTAAAAACTGAAGGTGTCAAAACATTCTTTGTTAGGTTAGCTTAGGCTCCTTGTTCTTAAATCTAACCCCTTCATATTAACCCGACAACTGAACTATTGTACCAGGGTCCAAGATCACAGGAGCACTTGTTGGATAGCGGATTGCCGCAGCGGTGGTATGTTATCAGGTGGTAGACAGCTGTTGAGTGGCGGAGGGCCGTCGGCCCGCCTATTTACAAAGTCTCTTTAGTTCCAGTCATAGACATATTAACTAGTTAATATGTCTATGGTCCCAGGTGTCCAAATACGCTGCTATGATTGGCTAGTTAGAGGAAATTTGCTATTTTAAATAGGTATCCTATCGAACACGTCTTGATGATGTCCTAGTGGGCTAGCACAGACTTTATCAGTTTCATATGTTCAGGTTCAAAATTCAATTCCGATAATTATTAATCAAATTTGTGTTTTATTTAATTTTTTTTTTTTTCATCCCCTAGTACCTACTCGACGTGGTTTTATGTAACTAATCGTGGTTTGTTTTCTATTGAAATTCCAACACAAGCTCCCGAACGGAAGTGGCCAAACGCTCCAAGATTAAGCAATTTTACTACCTACTACTATAATGATAATACGATAATTTAACGCGCCAATTTTTCGGCCAATCAGAAATCATATTTAAACCGCGCAATCCAAATCAACTTATGAAAGTAGCGTATATTTGGACACGACGCTAGGACACTGAACTTCTGGTATCGTTTTTCGACCTTTTGAAAATGGAAATTTTGTACCAGGAATTTAGAAACTGTCGGTGGTCGTGGTTGACTCAATGGCAAGTATGAAAACATTTATATTTTACCATACAATAACACAAACGGCGGCATTTATAACATTTTATATGTACTTCGTAATTCCAAAGGTTAAATTCTAATCTATTGGTTCGTAATAAATTTTTAGATTTTCAGCGAAGATGTTGTGTTTTTTTATTTATTGAATTGTCTGTCTGTAAACAACTTTTATACCAGAAATCCATATCTAATCATCAACTTCAGAGGTGTTTTCTAATAAAAAAAATTTTTCTGATACATATCAGAAATAAAACGGGAAAATGTATCCTTTTAAAAATCGGTTATTATTTTCGGTTTTTGTTTTTTTGTTGTGATTCAGTTTAAAAAAAATTTTCAGTTATTTATAGCCATTTTAAATTTTCGCATTTTTTAGTTCTTATTTGGTTTTATGCGGATGAAATTGTTTTGGCTCAGGAAAAATGCTCAAAAATTTAACACGAGTTTCATTCGAGTTGTACATGGTAGTAAAAAAACAAAAATGAGCTTAATGTAGTAGTCATTTTTTCTATAAACGTTTAAAGCTCAAATTTTGAAGAAAATTGCAACATTTCAAAACGAGTTTAATCGAACTTTATTTAATTAGCAATGATTTATCGTTGCATATAAAGATATAAATTAATAATTACTCTTATATATCTTACCTTCCTAATTTCCCTCCTGTAACAGTATTCTGTGCGAGGAGCTTAGCGCTAATGTACAATAAATACACCGGCAATATTGGCTTTTCTTTAATCTCTTTGATAAATTCTTCTCTTTGTTTATTTTCTGTCCCAAATTAAAACTTCACTTATTGAGAAATCTATTATCTTTTTTATAGAGTTATAGAGTATAAGAGTCTTTTATAGACATTGAAATATAATGATAAGTTGATTAGTCGAACGCGCATTAAAAATAATTTTATCATTTTAGGAATCATTTAATTTACTAATTTAATCAGTAACGATTGTGTAAGTATCTAGAAAACAAATCGTGATAATTAATTCATTAACAATTAAAAATAAATAATTTGTAATTTACATGTTATCTGTGCTAGAAACTTACACAACATAATCACCTTCTAATTTTGTATTTGTTTTTAATTTCTGGTTGAAATTCTACTTAGTCAAGAATCCACTGTACATTGTAATATTTTTTATTCATGTACGATTTATAGACGCGTGCATTGAAAATCAGCATGCAATATAATAACTGTATGATTAAACATAATATTTTCTTCTTTAGGTACCTATTAAATATCGAAAATTTGCAATAATTTAAATACATATTATATTTATTTCGAAAACTGTTTCTTAATGTCTCGAAATTTTGTTTATTTTTCAGATTCTGAGCGTAACAAGAAATGTATTGAGTTTTTATATTTTATGTATATATTTATTGAAGTATAAACTGATTTAACATAATTCAAATGTGTTACGACTAATAACAAACAAACTCAACTTACAGTCTGGTAAAATTACTCGGTGAAAATGAAAATTGAAATAATAAAGGGGAGTGCACTACTCGCCGTGTCGTTTCGTTTCGTGTTTTGAACCGACACGTTCCTTTTTGATTGCATGAAATAATTTGTAACCGTCGTTCTACCAACATTATCACTCACTATCACTATTAATTTACCATTCGCCGAAAATGCGCGGTAATTATTACCGCCCATTTTTCTTAAAATATAATATCATTATTATATTATATTACTTATGCATATTTGTTACTACTTTCATTAATTTTGCTATCAATATTCCACCGTTTTGTATGTTTTGTATTATTTATTAAATATGAAAAGAAATGATTTAGGCATTGTGGTTAATAATGAGTACGAACGACGAGTACAACAATATAATCAAGAGGTATACTATTATAAAGTGTTGGTAGCCTATATTATTTTGTTGAATCTAGTATAAAATGATTGTACAAGGTAAGTCTAATTTATATGAAGGTATTTAACATCAAAATAATAATAATAATAAGCATCTCTGAAATGAGAATTTCATTTATGTTGTTTTCTAGTCCTAGAAGATGGCACGTGAGACCAATGCTTAAAGAGCGTAATGACCACAGTCATTTTAATACATTGATAAAAGAACAGTGTTTAGTAAATTCATCACTGTATTTTAATTTCACTATGATGTCTCCCTTAACTTTTGAAAAGCTTACTCAAATAGTAGCTCCAAAATTTTTGCGAAAGACATGTAGACATGATGTTCTCTCTGTTGGAGAAATTTTGGGCGCCACATTTAGTTTATAATTAATAAGTATGAACTATGATTTTAAATTATTATTATTTAATTGTGTACTTAAATAATTAATATTATTTATAATTCCTATATTTTTATAGATTTTTAGCTACTGGTGACCAGATGATCGATATTATATATGCATTTAGAATAGGTAAACAAACCGTGTCAAATGTAATTCTAGAGTGCTGTAATGCCATATGGGATGTATTATACAATAAAGTAATTACTTATGTTAGAAACAGATTCAATTAATTCATGAACAATGTGTTTCTAGGTATTATATCAGCCTAATGAAAATAACTGAAAAAAAATTGCTGATGATTTTGAAACTAAATGGCAAATGGTTCATTGTGTTTGGGCTTTAGATGACAAACATATAGTACACCTAATAGGTTGTTATAATTTCAGATTATCTAGAAATATTAATAAAATAGTTCAAATATTTAAGGCATATCCTAAGAACAGTCCATTAAACTTAACTACAAAGGGAGCCACAGCACTCATTCTCATGACATTATGTGATGCCAACTACAATTTTACGTATGTAAATATTAGTGTGCCAAGTAGATACAGTGATGGAGGTGTATTTATATCTTGTAAGCTAGAAAAAAGGATTTTAAATAATGATTTGTACTTTCCAGAAGCTTTTCCTGTAAGTGACACATCAGGGAATATACCATATTTTACAGTTGCTGATGAAGCATTTCCGCTTCTCACTTCACTTATGAGGCCATACTCAGGCTGGAATAAACAACAGCTATAAATTGACAATTGACAAACAGATTTTTAATTATCAGTTTAGTTTTATATCAACATATATATTTATATAAATCAAATTTATGATTACTTTTTAGACTAAGTAGAACAAGAAGATGTATAAAAAACTATTTTGGAATACTAGCATCAAGGTGGTGCATATATAGACGAGTTATTATAGTTAAAAAGGAAACAGAATATTGTACTTCATTTAAAACTAGGTAAATATTTACTAGCTAGTTAATAATTATTTGGGTATTTTGTTTCACGATCGTCTTATAGTCATCCAATTTGTGAGGACATCGTGGAATTGATCATCCATGCAGGTTTAGTTCCTGTTTCTCAAATGAGTTCCAATACTTATGATAGAAATTCAAAAGAAGTTCTTGAAAAATGAGCAAAGTATTTTTCAAAAGAACGAGCAATACCATTTCAATACAATTTTATTTAAATTTTGAACATGACCTTTATTTAAAAAAATAATAATAATAACATTATGGTTATAATAGTGTTGCAATAACACTATTAATATTGTTTTGTAATTTACTTAAGTATAAGAACTTTTTATACATATAGATATATTTATTATTATTCTAAACTATTGATAACCATGTTGAATATTTTTGCTTTGAATTTTTAAGACCTTGGTATATTTCTCATAATACCTACCATGTAGTTACAAAATCTGTAGTCCTCATTGACCTGTTCAGGTTCTGAAGGAGAAGGAGGTACTGGTTTACTACTTTTCAACACATCCAAAAGGGCTATCATGATCACCTATTATTGTTTTAAAGTTAAATAAACAATATATTAGTTTTAAACAACACAGTTTTTGTACAAGCTTACTTTTCTTTTGCTTTGGTGATTCGTCTAACAAACCTGTATTGTTGTTAGTAGTACTATGTAAGCTGTCAGAAGTACTGTTCAATAGATAAAAAAAAATCAAATTTCAAAATATCCGTTTATTATTTATATCTAAAGGACTTACCGTTTTTGAACCATAACAACATTGTCTAAGAATTTAAGACTTCTTAAATAAGGCCATTCTTTTTTCATAGACGTAGCACTGCCAGACGGTGCATTTTTTTTTCTAGTGTACTTTTCTTTTAAATACTTCCAACTTGTTTGTAAAGCACTAACTGAATATTTTTCTATTAAAAAAATTAATTAATTCGATTTAAAAATCTGATATTTTTTCATTATGCTCCATTAATTCTACAAGGTTGGGTGGTAGTCTTTATGACGATAGTGGAAAACTACCAAAAACCTATATAAATATTAATATAATATAATATTAAATATAAATTTTACAATTAAACTCTACATGTATATGGTTCCAAAGCGGTGTATAAGTTACCATAATTTCAATTAAATTAACAATATCCTCTTTAGTTACACTTTTTTCGTGTTATTTATTTATTGTCAATAAAGGCGAAGTTATTGAATCATTACCTAAACAGTATCCACTTTATTAATATAGTTTACTAGTATTGTATGATTAACTAATACTAATAAAAAGACTAAAATTATTTTACTTAATTTTAGTTACTAATATATTGCTATTTTTAATAATAATAACATTTTACTAGTAGATATTGATTTTAAAATTAATGGTACAACTTATGTTAAAATGACTTGGTATTGTACTTACTAGTATTAGTTTATGCTTCTATAGCACAGTTGTGCGAAGAGTTTAATACCACAAACGTTTTGCAAAAAGTGCATATTTGTTCCTAAAAAAAAAGTATATTTTACATTTACATAGTTATAACATTAAATATTATTTACCTTCACTAAGTTCATAATGAATTGAAAACAATATTCAAATTGAATATTAATTCACGTTTAAATATTTAATTTTAAGATAAATTATTAAAAAAACAAATTTTAATACTGTCTAATTTAATTAATTATTAAACCGAAAACACGAAAATGACGTTACCAGCTATAACTAGCATGTCCAAAAGTTGAATTTATTCAACTCTGCGGTATCCGCGGTAACGTCTTGGTAGACACGATCAAAATTTATCTACCATGGTAATATGAGCTAATTAGAAAAGAGTATTTCACTTGAGTTGAGGGCTCCCCTTAATACATTCACGGCGAAAACAATAATAATAAATCGAATAATGGAATTATGATTTCGAACAACAACTACGGCAATAATACATATTATATTACGTACCTATGACAAAAAAGAAATTAGTTTAGGTGCAATACGGTTAGATTGAACTAGCATCGGTTTTTTTAAACAATTTTTTTACCAGAAATCTTGCTCAATCAAACACTTTCTAGTAACGTTCTTGTAGCATTTGTTGATTGATCCACGTAGTTTTTTTTTTTTGTAACGTAAGTATTCTCGTCACAGTTTGGTAAAATCTATTAAAATCGACTTACCGTGTATAATGATATGCCGGGGTAACCGCGAAGATAAAATATTAAAATAGGCAGGTATTATCTGATAATTTGATATACCTATTGCCCGGCGTATGTAATTACCACATAATAATGTCGTGGATAATGTATGCCCATTGTTTACTATACAATGACCTAAATAATTGAACTATTATAATGTATTATTGCGGCCTACATGAGATCGACAGGTCCGTCAGATGCGTCGAAATAATGATAATGGGTAGGTAGCCGGTGTTATAATTTCTAGATTGCGTTTACACTTGTCAGTATAGAAATAAGAACAAAAATCGTCAATGCTTCTATTATTCCGAGACTTAGTTATAGTTTTCACATCACGCGCGATGTTGAAATATGCTTCACTATAATATTGTATTATTATTATTGTTTACCGTTATTGCAAAGATCGGAGATTATTTGGGGGCGAAAAATAAATTAAACGAAGAAATTTGATTGATTACATAGATCGGTAGTGTTAATAAATTAATAACAATACAAAATATATATTACTAAATATATATATATTTTTTTTTTATTTAAAAATAAGGCCACTCAATTGTCGAATGCAAATATCATTCTATATAATTCTTGTAACCGTCGGTTTTTAGGAGTAAATATTGCTATGCACTTTTTCCCGTACACGTACAGTATAGTGAAATTTAATAATTGAAATTGGATTATCAACCGTGAACATCGGAATACCTTTAAACTGGAATAATTTTTTTTTCTTCTAATAGTCTAATAACTATTATGGTTATCATCGAGGAGATTGATTGGTAATCCTTTTCCGGATTTTCTCCTATTTTGTAAAATTTAAAAAAAAAAAAAAAATGTATTTACATTACAACAGCCAAAATTACGGGTAGTTTTAGACCGAAAAACCAAACAAAATTGTAGGAATCGCGTATGACGTATTTCAATTACGTAAACGTATTATGATTTATTTGGGTTTTTGCTAGGATCCGTTGGAAATTTTTGTTTTTTTCTTTGACTTTATCATAAGTAAAAAACAAACAATTTAAAATATATTTTTTTTTTAAATTACAATCAAATTTTGTTACGATTTCCAGATTTAAATATCTATTTCCTACATTGCCTATTAAAGAATTTAATGAATCGTGTTCCGATTTCAAAATTGATATCGGTCAATTAAAATGTCTGCAGTTTTGTCTGGCTTTTGATCTTAATCGACTAAAATATACACCGTCACTTACCCCTTAAATGGAAATCGTTTTTGAACCGATCCAAAATGATAAATATCCTGTAGAAGATATTCCGTAATGAAATATCGGTAGGTATCCTAATAGTGAATTTCAGTTTCTTACCTAATAAATGTAAATTCACAATGTCAATGTTATGATCACATCGTTTTAAAGATTCCCAGTATTACAACATCATTTCCCATTGGTAGGTACTTATTGGTACCTTATTGCTGGTTCGTAATAAAAAAAATCACCTTGTATATTTCATTAATTTTATTTGAGTTTGATTAATTAATTATTATTATTTAAACACAAGTTAAACATTACAATTTATATCAGTCGTTTAGTGGTATATATTTTTGGTACGCCATATTTCATTAGGTATATATACCGTATTTATAAATATTAATAAAACCTATGCTAAAGGTTGAAATTACTTGTCCGTATGGTTGATAAACAAGTTTAAATTTGCATGTTTATTTGCTGTTATAAATCTACCGCTTAGGTTCTTTTGTTTGGTCATTAATTGTTCAGCCTTGCCTGTGTTTGATCGGTTGATGTGAGGCCAGGAGACCGGCGAGAATATTATACCAACAAAATTCTGCGTCTGAGTAGTGGATAAGAAAAAAAAAACGAAATAAACTAGTTCAACTTTGACCTTGGATTATAATTATAAGGAATAAACTGTTGAGAGGTGGAGATAATAACGAAAAAAATTATACGTACAATGATCGTACACAGGACTTCGTATTGATCGTCAGTCTGAGTTTGTTTTCGGTGTCTAGTTGTTGTACGATGTTGGTCGTAAAACTATTCGGTGCGGTCGCACTTTTTGGCCTTTCGGCCATTGTCGACGTGTCGGATGCATTTAAAACTGTGTGCTATTACGATGGAAGAGCTCTTTGGAGAAAAGGTACCTACTTAATCGATTAAATAAATAATTTACTAAATGATTGCAAATTAATAAGTATAATGTATGTAATATTTTGTAGCCATTTGATTTTTACCAATAATGTTTATCGTGAGTTACAATAGCTACGGAATGTCTTTAAAATAAAATAAAATCTTCTTTCAATTACTTATTTCAATTTTATTAATATTTATCTTAGTATTTACCTATTTTAAAACTAGATGGACTAATTCACTAATAGTGGGTTTCATTTTATTAATAAAGTGAAATCTAACCGACACACGCAGCGAGTAAAACATTTAAATTGTTATTTTTCGATAACCATCATTGAACCACATTTTATAAACATGATATTATAAGTTTTTAATAATTTCTACCACTGCGAACTCAAAATTAAATGTTGAATATCTTGAATTTTAATTTATTTTCTTCATAATGATTGCAATTTGCATTTTAAATTTCAGAAAAAAGTGGACAATTCAGTACAAGGTTACTTAAATGTCAATTCAAAAATAGTAGAAAAGTAGCTTTTATTACATGTTTATTAATAATATTTGAAAATGTATGTATATTAAAAATATCATGATACCTACTGCGTTTTTTCTAAACGTTAAATTTGTTATTGTGTTTTATTTTGTGTAAGTAACCTTAAGTGACAATAATATAATACGTCTCCTGCAATATGCCAGAAAAGAATATAACATTAATATATTGTATTTTATTTATTAAAATATATTTTTGTTGATAGCTAGGGGTTATTGTTCATTTTAGCTATTGGCACAGATCATTTATAATCTTGGCCATGGAAATGTCTTCTAATCAATTGTGGAACCAATTTAAATATATGAATATGTCATCTTCTTTATTGTACAATAAATAAAGACCATCAACATTAATCATGTTGTCCCCTGTTGATCTAGTTGGTTATACTTACACATAGTTGGTGATGTTTTTTTTATTTCATTTTTTATTCTCTTTTATTTTAGATTCCAATCGTAGCGATGGGGAGCTATTGGTTTTACAATGCTATTTTTTTTTTCTTCTTTGTTCTAGTCTGTGGACACGTTTTTTTCGTAGTAAGCTTGCTCCGATTTGTACGTGTAGCAACTTTTCTGAAAGCTCAAGTTGTCTAGACGATACTTATTTTTTATTTTTTTTGATTATCGACGCCATTTTTTTAAACAAAAGCACTTAAGTGGGAAAAAACGTACAATTTCACGATTTCATTATTTGATAAAAACACGGAAGATGTTTTTTACTAGACAAAATGATTTAATCGAAAAATCACAAAATACCTTTTTTGTTACCTTTTTGATTTAAATTCTTATGGTATTGTCAAAACTTTTGAGCTATCTTTAAGCTTTTGCCAAACGACAAGAGACCATATTTATGTTAAATTATGAATATTGTTTTTAATGATGCAGTTCGTTTTTTTTTTATTTTCGAATTAGTTTTTATAATAATCGGGAAAAAACGTAGGGAGGTTAGGTTAAAAAAAATTACGGCACTTCAAATTATGTATTACCGAACTGCGCTCGGAATCGTTTTTCGTCAGCAATGGTTTATCGTTGCTTATATATATAAATGAAATAACCTTATTATATACCTACCTTCCTAACTTCTCACCTGTAACAGTGGTCACACTCGTATCCAGTATCAGCTCTTTTTATTTTTGTTGTTCTATTATTTTGACAAGCTCGGTTTTTAGAACCCTTCTATTGGCTGTGCTATGAATGTAAATAAATAAAATAATAGCTAAAATGATTAATTATTTGGCAACTGTAGTTACCTATTATAATTTAATAATTTATTATCTGGTTATAATGGTTTTGAATATTTTATTAGATTTAAATATATTATTTATCTGCCTATGCAATTCTAATTGATTGCAATTCCTCTGTAAGATTAGAAATACATTAGGTAATGCCTACACATTTTTCAGTATTTTTATTTCTGATATTAATCTACGATTCCGATGTATTATATTACCTATACTTACTGCAGTATTATCTAACGAACAATTTTAAAAGTTAATTAAATTCCATTACCAAATTAATTACCTATAGGTACCGCAAATAAATATTTTTAAAAATTCCAAATATCTACATTCAATACTACCTGTTTGCCTTTAAAGTTATTCGAGTTTGGGAAAAAATATCCTTATACTTATACGTTTTATTAATTATTACGGTAATATAAGTTCTTAGTGAACAATTATAGTAATTCGTGTTTAGAGTGGATACCTATTACATAAATTTGAATAATTACTTATGAGCATTTAAATAATGATATTAATTATCATTGTTATTACAAATGTCATCAAATATTAATAAAACTATTTTTAAATAATGTAATATTCATTTTATAGTGATTATGTTTGTATACAGACTGTCCCATTCTCAAAAAATTATTATTTTCAATTCAACATTAATTGTAGTAAGTACTTAATCAAGTAATTTTAATACTGAAACATCGTTTTTTAGATTTTGAATTACACAATAGATATTTTTTTTTCTTTTAATTGAAACCTTATAATCTTTTGTCTATATCATTTATAATGTAAGCACATAATGATAATTTTAAAAATACCTATAAAATATAATTATTAATTATATTATATAATATTGATATTATATTATCTAACTATATATTGTTCTTTTATCTTATCACAGTCAGAAATTCCAAATGTAGGTTCATAACAAGCACACCTACAGGTTTAATAAGATAAACATATTATAGAATAATGATATCGATTATTCTAATAATTAAAAGTGCAATTTTTTTTTTTTTTATAGGTCATATTATTAATTTCTCAACATTCTGCAGTGTGTGGTTTTAAAAATATTCGCTCACTGTCATCATATGGTAAACCTACTGTAGGTATCCAATTATTATAGATAGCTGTCTCGAATAATATTGCCCATGACAAATTAATTACCTGTATATTCAGTGTTTATTTCTTACTTTATTTCCCTGGTAAAGGAGGGGGGATATGCCATAGAAGCAAATAATAAAGGGGATTAAAAAGAAAAGCTTTTTTAAAATATTCAGTACAATACTAAATTGCATAAAATAATTAATTTGTAGTTTTTATTTACATAAAATATAACTGTAACTATCCAATGGCTGACATCCTAAAATCATTTTTAGTTCAATTTTATTGATATGAGATAGATATCTACAAAAACATTTATTTTCAAGAAGAAAACACTAATTTTGGTAAATTTTTTATACTTAAAAAAAAAAATTAAATAATCGATATTTAGTCATATTTTTAATATCATTTCATTTTTATCTTAGTAATATATTTGTATTATATTTATGTTATTGTTATTAAGTGTTTAATAAATTTAATTTAATTAATTTTGCACTGCTTTTGACGTGCGCGCAAATCAGCTACAGTAGGACCTCGCTGGTCCGACTTATATGGGACCAAGGGCAATCATATTAACAGAATTTGCATTATTATTGAGAGTTTGACCAAAAAAAGAAACGACGTGCGTGCCTTTTACCACTTTAGACTTTGCGGACAAATTATGGATAACACAATTACCATATAAATAAACTGATTAAATTAAATTAATTTATCTGACGACAAATTAAGAACTGACGAGTGATGAGAATATATCATTATTATGATACATATCTTATGTTATTTTGTTGGGAAAATTTTTAGAAATAAATAACCGATTTTCATCAAAATCGGGAAAATAGACAGTTTTTGAGATATTTGCTGACATTCAAACAAAAGTTCCTTTTGTATACCAAGTATCCCACGAAGATATAAACTTTACGGTATCTCGAAAAGTATTAAATTTTTTTGGATATTTTTTTATCAATTTAATAAACAATTATCTATAGAACATTAGGTATATTATCATTATTTCTTGTCACACTTTTATTTATTCTTTGAGAGGCGGAGATGAAACGACTGTCTATTTTTGATTTTAAAAAAGCAACCTATATTTAACATTACATAAATATATAGATTTTTAATTTGAATATATTTCGCTGTTGAAATTTTTAATTTCTTGTCAACCCGTTGACGAGATATTTCACTTTTAAGCTTGGGTAGGTGGAGAGTAGATCACTATTCGTGCGCCGTGCCACCACAATAATGTTTCATTACTCTCCCCTTGTTAAAATTTAAAAATGAAATATCTCGTCAGCGGGTTGATGGAAATCAAAAATGTCAACTCCGGAATAGTATTGAAATTAAATAATTTATTATTTGTATAACTATTTATTATTTTTGTTTCAACTGCAGAATGGAATTCTCAATCGAGTTAACAAACAAATAATTATGCTCGCAATTCATACTCTAGGTGATGTTAAATTTATATACTTAAAAACCACGAAATAAACGTGTATGTTACAGATACACATCAACATGTAACATGTATGTGTATACACGTTACTGATTTTCTAATAAAACAAAAATGAATGTTTAATAAAAATAATTAAAGGTTGTCAGCTTTATATCATATATAGATTATAAATATGGAATTTATTTGTGTCGGAAACTTTTGCAAAATAAATAATAATCATATTTAGCTACTTAGATCGATAATCTATTGTGTCATTTTCGTTTTTGCTAATATGACCGTCCGAATCCCCGTATATTTGATACGAAAACATGCCTCACGGGAAAAACTCCCATGCCTTGTAGAATAGTTAGATTTAGATGTTATTTTTGTTTTTAATTAGATAAAGGAAGATATTTTTGTAAGTTCCATTGAACTCCGATTTTCAAAATTCTTAAAAACTGTATTAAGCGTCTGAAAATTCCAATTTGTGTTATTTTTTGATCTGTCAAATAGAAATAATGAACAGATAGATGGTAAAGGTATTTAAATTAGAGTGTTTTATGAGGCCGTGGGAATTTTTCGCCGTTAAAACGTTTTTACCCATAAAAACGGTCAGTATCGAGTAGTAGATTAATAATGGAAACATTTTAAGACCATCATCAGTGGCGGATCCAAGGGAGGAGCATTTCCCCTCTGTTCACTTTCCAATATACTATTAGATTAATTCATCATTGAACTCATCATAAATTCGTGTATTATGTGCAGAATCGCCCCCTCCCGTTATCTTGTCCTAGATCCGCCCCTGGCCGTCATTAAAACGTTAGAAATGATTTTTAAATTGTAAACAATTTGAAGACAGTCTGGAAAAAACGGGGTTATTTGTGATTGGAAAATCGTTTAATATAATAGGGCGAAATTAAATATCAATAGCGACAGATTTGATTTAAAAATTACCACTTACTGCACCTACGTACCTACTAACTACGTCATTCGTGTTTTCAGACGTCGTCAAAGTAGGCGCCGAGGAGCTGAAACCCGCTCTGAGTTACTGTACACATTTAGTGTACGGTTATGCTGGTATCGACGATGATAAATTCAAAGCGATCTCTTTGGATCCAAAATTGGACTTGCCCGAGAGCAAAGATGTCAAAGGCGGAAAGGGTAACTTCAAGGCCATAACGGCTCTGAAGAAAGCGTATCCCAGTCTTACGATTTTACTTTCGGTCGGCGGCAACGCCGATATCGAAGACCCCGACAAATATCTGACTGCCGTGAGTTTATCTTTTGGGGTGACGTACGACTATACCTACACTGGGAACGTATATCCTTAGACACGTATGTCGGACGACATGCGTAGTCAAGGGAATTACCTACACTGGATACGGATGTTGTCCGACATCGAACACACTTGTATCCGAACGCTCTCATATTTCACCGCTGTTTCAAAGACCGATAACTTTTCAGTTTAGATGTCATTAGTCAATCATTAGTGAAGTGTCAAGTGTACATTACAAATGAGTGACTCCAAGGACGATCTTACTTTATGGTTATTAACAGAAACAGTTAGGCTGTTAAAAAAAAAAAAAAAAAATTTGGATACAATTTGATTAAATTAGAAATAACAGCGAATATTTTAGGACCGGTCTGCCCCTCCAAGATTACCCAGACTAGTTTTATTTTTAACAAATTTTACACAAGTCTGGATTTCCCTTCACCAGTTCAATTAAAAAGTCCGTGTTCTTATAAAAATGATAAAATAAGTTTAAATAAATAGATACGCACTGATCCAAACGCACGTGTCGGACGACATTCGTTGAAAAACAAAATGATTTGATTTTCAACCGACGGTCTAAAGCTGTCGGAACGGGTCGGGCGACGTACATGCTGCCGTTCCGTCGCACTGTAGGTGGCCTCACTTGAGCGCGGGTATTTGTTTCCCATCAGACGTCGGGCGACGTCGTCTGACATACGTTCCCGGTGTAGGTACAGCTTACCACGTACACGTTCGCCTAATTGAACAACATTGCAAATTGAATGCAACACTTACAAATAAATAACGTAATATTTAACATAATAATATGTATTGGGCAGCTGGAGACTCCGAAATCGAGAACCAAATTCGCGTCCACCATATCGGAGATGGCGAAAGAGAACGGTTTCGACGGCGTGGATTTGGCATGGCAATTCCCAGTGGTCACTGAAAAAAAAGAGAAAAACACATGGGGTAAAGTCACGCTTGAGCGTTAAGCGTTACATTATAGCGGAACTTATAATATTTACGCGTTGTTTAACGAGTTCCAACGTCACGTTTTTAATTTTTAGGCTCTTTCATTCATAAAATCGCCAAAACCGTGGGTATCACTAGCAAGGATAACAAGGAAGCCGAGCACAAGGAACAATTCACTGCACTGGTACGCGAAGTCAAAGGCGTGTTGAATGCCAACAATTGCCCTTACCTGTCAGTCAGCATTCTGCCTCATGTCAATTCTTCAGGTACACATCTTTATAAAATTCTATTTAGAATAACGATTAAAAAACGACCGATTGCTCGCATCATAATAAAAAGTAGACCCTAACGTAGTACCCTTAATTTTGTGCATTGGTAAAAATAGAGGAAAGGTTTGGAGTCTCTCGACTTTTCCCCGGAAAACTCAACCAAGTGCCCAAAATAAAGTGCTCCTCGAGTAAATACTAAGTATAGGTACACAATTAATATAATGGAAGCTTCAGCTTCTCCAAAAATATTTGGACTATTTGTATGCCTGTGATTTTTTTATAAGGTTTGATTTCAAATATCGTTGTCTCTCCTGCCAAAAGGACTTGCGCACGCTTATATATAAATAACTATTGTAAATACCTAATGTTGTATTGTGCGTGTATATAGATTTTTACAAACATAAATTTAAAACAATATTTTAATAATTTCGTTATATTATTCTATTTTCGACCTTAAAAAAACTATGTTTGAAAATCACTAAAAATCGCGTAAATCATAGAGCCCGGTTTTTTTTATCAGAGTCCGTGGATCTCGAATCCGCGTGTCACCGACACGACTTCTAACGTGATTATTGTATTGACAATTACAGAAAACGAATTCTACACGAATATACAATTTAATATTATAATTTTAAATAACGGACACGATCAGCTCGGACGCGGACTCTGATGAAAAGTTTGACGGGCAGAAACCGCGCTTGAATTTCGCAATTATATACACATAACTTAATACACATAACTTCGTTCAGAATGGTATTTTGTTTGCGACGATTTATCGTCACATGTTCGGGATTTCGACCAAAGCGATCAATTTTCCGTGTATAAATACACCGCGCTCGTATACTATCTCGGAAAATGTAATAATATTGATTTTTTTTTCTCCCGTCCCCAGTGTATTTCGATTTCCCAGGACTGCAGAAGTACGTGGACCACTTCACCCTGATGGTGTACGACTTCCGGACGTCGGACCGCGTGCCCAAGCTTGCCGACCACGCGGCCCCATTCAGGTTCGTGTACGCTGACCGGCTGGCCTGGCAGAACATCGAGGCGCAAGTCAACAAAGCCGTCGCCCTGAAAGTGGACCGCACCAAGTTGGTGTTGGGCATCTCCACGTTCGGCCGCACCTGGGTGATGGACAAAGACAGTGGGAAATCTGGCGCACCGCCCGTGAACGCCGACGGGCCCGGCGAAGAAGGCACGTACACGAAAACCGAAGGTCTGCTGGCCTACTACGAGATCTGCCCGCACCTGGTCGAAAGCACCGCGGCCACCACTTCGCTCACTCTGTATAGGTAAGTGCGCGCACAGTGAATTCGGGCGCCGATACTTCGGCAAAATGATTCTGCTTCGCTTTTTTAAGTTCGTTTCCTTTTTTTCGCCGTCGTCACTTTCACGTTGTACCCGCACTTGTTCACGCCTCGAATCAATAATTACTGTTTTGAAGACATGTTCAATGAGATATAGGTATAATATGTAGTCTCAAATTATAATCGTACGCCATTAAAACATGCCAAGCAGCTGTATAACGACCGTGTAAATTGGTTTACGTATACATGCTTCGGTTTTCTTTCAGTCATCGTTTTTAAGTAGTATCCGGTTTCAAATATTTTTACAATTTAATTATAGGCTGGCTCCAAAAAGTCGCAAACACTTTATAATGACGTGTAATATATTATTTATTATTTATATTTATTTGAAAATGTAAGATATCAATTTAAAATTAAATAAAATACATTCAACTTTTTGTTAGTAGAGGGCTCTCTAGCCATAGTCCCCACCCTAGCCCGTATTTTTTGTTAAAAACAACTTTACAAACAAATAAATTATAACTAACTTATAATTTTACTATCGACTACGAATATTGCAGACTATCTACCTATACTACGAATTATAAATCAACTATAAAATATGTTTTTGTTACACAGATTTCTGAAAAATATGACTAGGCCCCTGCCAACTAAGTCTCTGGAGTCGCCCCTGTTTGTTGACAAGTTAATTTAACTTATTAATCACGTATTAAAAATATTAGAATTTATTTACTAACTTATTTCTGTTTCTGAATATATTGGACGGACAATATTTAGCATTTCCCATATGCACCAGTGTATCGATATAAATGCTTCGTATTAAACGTCAATAACCATAATAATATTTTTTGTAAAACGTCTAAATCGCCTGTACTTACAAATCGTCGAGTATACATTTGCCCCGTTTATTGCTATCAATAATTTGAATGTCTTGTATAGAAATGATTTAATTGTAAACGTTTAAACGAAAACGATAAAAATTGCATACGATTTAACCTTTATACCAGCGGTTCCCAAACTTTTTTCATTCAAGGCTCTCTTATAATAAAAAAAATGTTTTCACGCCTCCCGCTAAGAATATTTAATAAAATAGGTTAACGATTATTTATTATTTAACAGTAAACTTATTATTTTATTTTATACAAAATAATTAATGCGAACAATGTGCTTGTTTTTTGTTTATTAATTTTTCAAAATTAGGAATTATCGTAGTTACTGCAACATGCATTTCTTTTTCCACATTGAGTCTGGACCGATATTTTGATTTTAATTCGGCTACTGCTGAAAATCCTGCTTCACACAAATACGATGTGGCCAATGGTATTAATATACCTATAGCTTTGTTGCTAACTTCAAGATATTCATCTTTAATACAGTTCCAAAATCCTAAAAGTGAATATAAAGAAAATTGCATTCGTAGTGAAAAATCGGGTGGATAAGCTAAGATAATCGTTTCTATAAAATTGTTATCAGACACATAATTGATCTAAAAATAACTCTATGTACAAAATTCTAACCGCGCGCCGCGCCTCTCTTGTTAAGTGCTCGCGCCTCCTTTGGGTGGCGTGTCACACAGTTTGGGAACCGCTGCCCTATACCATAAAGCAGTGGTTCTTAACCTGTGGTCCGCGGCCCCCTGGGGATCCGCGATACTCATGTCGTGGGTCCGCTGCAGTCTTAACACCTAACTTAAGTCAATACGTGACATAAGTGCATTATTACAATATTTTTGTATTATTATTTTACTTTTTTTTGTATAAAATGTATGTATTTTATATTATATTGTAAGAGATAAACCTATCTTATCTATCTTTATTACACCGATGACAATGGAATCCGATACAATGAAGTATCTAAACCTATTAATTTTATTATTAATATTTATTTATCAGTTTTTTTTGTTCATACGAATTGTATAGGCGTACAGCATTTTGGTCGGCAGTCGAATATTTACTACCAATAAGTGCAGTTGATCGATTGTACTCAATTATAGTTTTATACCTACATAATTTAGAATTAATAAGTGATATTTTTTCAAATCATCGTAAAGACATTTAAGTTAAAATGGAACGTTGACTAAATTTAAAAAGGAAGAATTCTGACGTTTATGATGAAAAGACTCCGTGTATGAAAAGAGTAAGAAGCTGCAAATAGCTTAAATAAAATTGTATTGCCAAATGATACAATAAAAAAATAAATTGATGGTTTATAAGGAAATATTAAAGAACAGTTGTTGAAAAGAATTAATAAAAGTGACTATTTCAGTCTCCAACTTGATGAAAGTACCGATATAACTAATAAATCAGTATTACTGCGTTATGTAAGATACGAATACGAAAATGTATCTATAATTTGTAATATAAAGTAATTATTATAATTTCAGTTAGGATAACATGAGATGTTTTGGAAAAAAAAAAAGGTATTTGACAAAAAATTGTTAGGGGATCCGCGATTTCTAAAAATCTTTCATCGGGGTCCGTATTCTACAAAAGGTTAAGAACCGCTGCCATAAAGCCTATACACATAGCCGACTAATGGCGAGTGGCGACTAAAGACTTAAATCCGCGTTCCGGCGTTCGAATAATTATTGTACCGTTTCTTATTAACGTATCAACAGTAAAAAATAGTGTGTGGGTTTTACCTTCTATAATTGGGCGGTATTTTTCTGCACGTTAAACCGATAAAGTGCGCGGTGTTTTTCTACCCAACATTTTTTTGTGGCGTCGAAATCATTAGTTTTTGGATGCAACCTAATAACAAGCCGTAAAACTAGTATTTAGTCTAGTATTTCAATTGTTAAATATAAGTATATAATAATCCATACTTGATTTTTATTTCGGAGTCGTAAAATTAATATTTTTACTCATAAACCTCTCGTCTCGGATTTCGAATTGTTTTCCAATAATTCAAAGCTTCATACTATTTTGTGTGGCAATTTCGGTGTATTAACTATTAATACAATAAATCCAGTTTTCGATTTTTATTGAACACGTTTTTAAGTAATATTTATGTATGTTTTTCGGTTTTATAATTAAAAATCTATTTTCTAATGAATTCGTTTATTATATTCGTCTATCATATACTTCCGAACTATCCATTCCTTACTTAATAATTACCGAACAGATAAACATCGTCATAACTGGTACTTTACCCAATCAAAGAGAGTTAAGACCTCAGTCACGAATTTGTTATTCGGAAAATATTGTTTTTCATCAGAATTAAAGCGTGCACCATTTACGAGTTTTTTTTTTTTTATAGACGCGTATCGGACCCCAGCAAAAATCTTGGCACTTACGCTTTCCGTTTACCCAAGGACAGCGTGAAGGGCATTTGGATCAGTTTCGAAGAACCGGAAACGGCAAAACAAAAAGCCACGTACGTGAAATCAAACAATTTGGGCGGTTTGGCATTAATGGATCTGTCCTTGGACGACGCTAGAGGTCTTTGCGACGCAAATAAATTCCCCATATTAAAAGCCGTAAGGAACATTTTGTAATGAATAGTACTACTTTCATACATAAAAGGAAATCTATTTAATTTTTAAGCACATATTTCGCATATTTTGTACCGTTGAAAGTATATGATTATTTTATAACGGAAACATATCATCGTTTTTTGATTGATTGATTAAAAAAAAAATCTAACAATTTCATTTCTCGAACAATTATTAAAACACATTGCTTTTTATATCTAATATTAATATTATATACATATTAAATACTGTAACAAATGTATGCTCTCAATAAATATTTTTTTTTTTTTTGATATTCCTGTTTTAATTGTGTATTTTTATTGTGTTATATTCTACATTTGGTTTACATTTTCAAAAAATAATGTCCAATTTATTTCAATAATTTGGATATTATTAGGGTGTTCAAATATTTATTTTATTTTTAACAATGATAAAATAATATTGTATTATTATTATTATTTTTTATAATTAAATCATAGACAACATTTTTGAAAATATAAATTGTTACTATAAAATAAGAGTGTTGTAGTGATATCTTATAGAAAAAAATTGGCCTCTCAAATAAAAATATTTTTCCATAAAACTATAATTAAATAAAGAGCTTGTAATGAAGGATATAGCTATAATATAAATTAAGCTATGTCACCATTCCTGTATGTGACTTTATGAAGTTACAATTTTTTCAATCAATGTATTGAAATTGAATTGTTAAGAAACTCAATTTGGATTAAATTATGTAAATAATATTGGACATGCTACTTTAGGTAATTTTGTAGGTATATATGAAGTTTGAAAACCTAACACAACATAGGATAATATATCATTATAATATCACCGTCCACATTTCCACGTAAGTTCTCGATATCTGGCACCTAAAATTAACGATTACAAGACGTGGTCAGGTATGGAAATTAGGTCTGGTTTAAAATTGTTTTATTGTGTAATAACATTCAACGAAATACTATTTATATTTTTTGTTAATATTTACATTTTATTCAATATTTTACTCTTATAAAACACGTTTTGAACGACAATTTTTAATTTTTTTTTTTTTTTAAATCATCATATTTTTCTCTGTTTGGCCAGTTCAGCATCATTATTTGTTTTATTCAATTTGTAGATGATTATTTAGACACGGAACATAAGACGAAATGTCTATTGTATATACTTTTTTTTTTAGTTATAAATCCGTAGATTTGTTTGTTGCAGCTATTCATGCCTATCATATACCTATCATATTAATACATATAATATTGATCCCATTGGTCAATCTTTCATAAGACATTCACGTTAACTCGGAAAATATTAACTTTTTTCTTAAATGATATAAAAAATCAATTTCGAAACAGTCAATACTTTCCGAGATAACCAGTGTCTTATGTATATTATAAGTATAATAGGTAATTATTATAATATTACATATAGTTTTTTTTTCAAATAAACGAATTATTGGCACTCGTCGGGAATTTGGCGTGGGGGAAAATTGAACACACAAAGCCTTGGGAAATGATGATTTTAAATTTTACAATAAAACGTACTGTGCGTCTTGAATACATGATTTGATGATTTGAGCCGATCCAGCAGTTACATAATCGAAAGGTTATAACATTGTGATCCGATAAAATTTTTGTGCACAACATAAAGACGATACTATTATTATTATAGATTATTGATGAATCGCGATTTGTGTAATATGGTCGGCACAATAATAGAAAACGTGCTATTGTACGTGAAATTAAATTGAATTGGCATTTCAAAAAAAAAAATATGTTTTGTCAATACACGAAATCATTAGATATTATACACCATTCGTAAATATTTCATTACTATTTGTTTCGCTCTGAAAGTTTATTTTTACATCAACACGCGAACAAATTGTTCGCAGTACAAATCAATTAGTACCTACAAATTTACTGGCCAAAACGTCTTGGTTCTGTAACGACTGGCACACGGCGACGGGGCAAAATTGATCACACTTTTGACCGCCTTAATAGGTTAATATTTTTCGGATATCGATGTAAAATAAAACTCGCAACTAGTGTCGACACGGCTGCTAGGCAGCGAATGCGGCCGGTCTGCCCCCCTCCGGTTGTTTCTGTGTCGTAAAATCCCCTAATATATAGGCTCCAAGATGTATTAAACATCGTTATTATCAATTTCCGGTTGCCTTTTGTCCAAAAATGGAAATATATAATTTACACAATGTTGTTTAAACTTTATAGTTGTCTATAATTTATTGTAAACTGCAAAAAAAAAAAAAAAAAATGTAATAATTGTATTAATACACAATTAGTGAAAATTAAAATTTCATTAAAAATCACTTTTCTCGACATAGCATAATATGTTACAATATACCTATTGGCTATACCTAATCGCATCACCGCCAATTAATTCGTTATTATTTTTAAAAATACTATCGACCGATGACATCTACTTCCGATCGAATATCACACCGGTTTTTATGTTTTTATTTTTTTTTCATCTATGGGTCCTTTGAAAAAAATTGCTCAAGGAGTCTTTGTTATGTTAGGCCGACACTGCTCACATTTTACGTAGATATAGGTGCGTAGGTACCGAAGAACAACATGAAATACTATATATGTAATATGCTGCTGATAAATGATAATACACAGTTCTTTTTTTTTTTAAAAAAAAAAAAGACAAAAACAAACAAAAAAATTACTTAGATATGATTATAGATTTGCGCGTAGTTTTCATAGAAATCAAACTAACAATATGGTAATGAACCATTGGAATTTGAACTTCTCCGAGATGTATATTAACACGTAGGTAGCGATTTTCGACATCTTTCAATTCTAATTCTCGCCACGTCTGATTGTAATTTCGAATTCAAGAAAGAGAAATTAGGTACCTAGTTAATTGTTCGTTTTCATTTACGTACCTTTAGCTATTTTACGTAGGCAGAAACAATTGTTTTAAGGGGCTCCGTAGAGGAACAATAAAGGGGCGTGAAAATCAATGTGGACTTTGATCGGAAGTTCGATGATGGGTCATTTATGTTTCTGAAAATAAAAATGGATTTTATGGCAACATATATTAATACATTTATTCATAAAAGTAATTTTCATCGACAGTTTTCTGTAATTTATGTGTACATTTACCAACTCACAGAATTATTCATAATAAATGGTTATATTTTATTATTTTACCGCGGTCTGCAATAGTCAACCAAAGTCTAAATACTACTAATTACCATGTGTACTGTATAACATGTTTATTTTAATCTCTGCACAAAACACAGTCAGGAGTTAAATGACAATATTTTACGACTGAGGACTCTGGTCGTGTTCGTAATCCTGTGGTCATGGCCACAATTAATGCGGTAGACAATCAGATTTTCTTCTGAAAACAACACAATAAAAAAAATAGAAATATACACCTAACCATATTTTGTATTAATATTTTTGCGCCCGGACGTCTCAAATTAATAATATGATAAATATGATAAAATACACGGTTTAAATAACTTAAAGCCGATTTATTCAATTTCACTGATGCGTAAGTATCTGATTCTAGTATAAATAGTACAGTATTTATAGTTGTTTTATCTACTCTTATACGAGATAATGTTTATAATATCATATTTCCGTCGCATAGGTACCTATTTAATTAAAATATTGAAATATGATGTGTGCATATGTTTATAATAGGACTGTTAATTACAATATGATATGCAAGCACATTAAATCCAAAAAAATACCTAACTACCTGGGTAATATCTAAATAAAATGGCAAACCTTAAAAATTGTTTTTTTGAAACATGTCTATGAAAAATAATTGGGTAAATATAAGGTAATAGACCCACAAACTATCTCATTGAAAAATTCTGTACCAGTGGCGAACGCTGGTTAGGTGGGGGTTCAAAGCCGCTCAGAAATGTAATCATCCTTTAATTTATGTTTAAATTTTAAATAACAAATGGATGTACAAAAGTCTAATACGATAAATATTTTTTGTGAACCGCCCCCCCAACTCGGAATTTTTTTCGGGCATTCACCCACGTTCTGTATTATACATTACCCAACAACGCTTGACCAGTAAATAAACGGACGTTTAATAAAAACAATTAATAAATAATAATAGTTCTAATCTATAACCTCTAATTCGACGTTGAATTACTTATTAACTAATAAGCGAAAATAACGGTAAGAGGGGAGGCAAACCTGTATAAAAGTATTAAAAGTTCGCAATCTATGCCCATAATTGTTACCACACTGCGACATACGAGTGATTATCATACTATAAATTCTCGGTATTATATTATTTTACGCGGGAGTGTGCGAGGCTTTTTTTTGTTTTGTTTTTTTTCCTGTTTATTATTAGTTTGTAACTTGTGTTTGTTTTCGACGAACCTGCAATGCCGGGCGTACGACCGTCCTGCGCGATATTACTTTACGGCCTTTTGACCGTTTTAGGCGTGACGCAAGCGTTCAGAACCGTTTGCTATTACGACGGAAAAGCCCTCTGGAGGAAAGGTAATCGATTATGTTTACGATATTATTAATAAAACCTATTATATGCCTGCGATTCCGTCCGTTTTATACTGTACTTGTGGGTAATGTTGAATCCGGACAATTTTTCTGGGGGGGAAGGGCATTACTAAAATTACAGTAATGACCCTTTTTTTTCTTATCTATCCTCTTACCATGACAGGTCAAATTTGTTAAAATATCAATTTACCCATATTTAACAGAGGGCCAACCTCTCCCATCACATATACCTAGATTCAACATTGCTTGTGGAAATTCAAAATATTGTATCAATCATTTTTGTTAACATAAATCATAACATACCTAATATCGGATTTACGAAATTCGTTTATATTATACAGCATATTATTTTCTATCGTTTATATAGATATTTGAATTTTTGTTATTTTAGTAGGCATTATTAGTATTATATTAGCTCATTTACAACATTAATTTCAAAACTTTTAGCGAAAATTAAGGGACTTGGTCCTGGTTTTCCGAATTAGTAAAATATGAAAACTATGTTTAACTCCTAAACCGATACACCTACTTTAATGATAAGACGTGTTCACTAATACACTCACTGTAACTACCGTCTGTCCAATACCCGATTTTCCCTCAGGGAAAACCGGTACGACGGAAGACTGCTGTTTTTACGGACGGATATTATGATTTCACGGTTATATATAAGGATACCCAGATTGATAACCATCACTTTGACATTTATATAGGTAATATTTCTTTTCACACGTCATTCTACAGCTCGCATTAAATTGGGATTTTCTATTTGGCAAAAAATAGCATATAAAAAAAAAAAACTAGTGTTCTTTCCAACAAAAAATAATCGTCAAAATCGGTATATTTTACAATAGGAATGGGAGTTTTTGTCATATGGGCGAGTTTCTGAGCAAAAAAACGCGCCGGTGCTGGGGCACGTCTGTATTTGGCAACATCAGTAATACATTATATACCTATACTGGTTACTTTATAATATTATTTTCTGTACAGTAAACTATTTTTATTTGCCATTTTTATCTTATTAACCTTTGTACCTACCTATATTAATATTAATTGTAGTTATGTTATATAGGTATAGGTGTAGGTACTGCATATTGTCTGCACAATAAACAGTGAAGTAAATTAAATTCTAAAATATATTATTATATATTTTTATCTTATTGTATGATATAGACAGTAGGTACATAACTGATTAGTGATTATCAACAGAATGATTTGGTAATTATTAACGTGAAGAAATTATTTTCCAATGATTAAATTGTATATTATTAATTAAACTATTTGTTGCAAAATGTATTTTGTAAAAACTAATCTATAAATCGTGGCCATAAATTGTTGGTCTTATCATTTTTAATCATAGGCTATCTATTGTTATAATTTTAAATGTTTTTTCCGACAGATAATAAAGAATCTAAATTATTTATATGGTTTTTCCTATGCAATAATGAAACCACTAATAAAACAACTGACCCGGGGGAGTGCTGCTTAGTACTTGGCCATGGAAATATTAACAGAAAATAAATATACAGAAAGTTGTTTTCCAGAAAATAAATACCTAACCAGCACGCAGTTTTCCAGAAATTAACTCAATATTGACAGAAAGTAGAAATCCAGAAAGTATTTTTCCAGAGTGTAAGACCTATAACATATTTATCGTAAAGGGATATTTTTAATTAATTTAACGTCGCCTAAGAACCGTCATGACCAATCTCAACAAATTCGAATTTGCGTTTTATATATTTTCAATTGATTCGTATTTTCGAGACGCGTGAGACCATGTGATTAATTATGAGGTTTGATCGATAGGTTCGCTGTCAAAAATTCCAAATTTTATCATGGCCTATCCAAAATCGTTTGTTATCAGTGGTATCATGACCAATTTTTGTTCATCCTGAAAAGTTGAGAAAACTGAGGTTGGCCATGGTAGTTCTTAGGTGACTTCTTAATATCTATTTTATATATACACTGCTACTATTTGATATTAATTTCTGGAAAACTACTTTCTTTGCTTACAATATCTTTTCAATTTACTCTCTGTTAAAATATTTTATGGAATTTTTATATTCCAAACATTTTATTTTCTCCATTCTTAATTACTGGCCGTTAAAGTTAAAAATAAGTTAAAATTTTCACGAAAATTGTAAAAATTACAATTCAAAACTAGTTTTACTGAACTGAATCGTTAGTCGTAAATCGTGATTTTTGGTTGTGTACAGTTATAATTTAAACTAGGTACTCTATATATCCTAAGGACAGAGGTTTCAAATTTAAACACACATTAAGTACTATTTGTACGTTCAAAATTCACAATTTTTTTGGAAGTATACTCTGTTTCAAAAAAGAACATACTGCTTTCACAACCAGTTTTCGTTCAGCGGCGTGCCTTCCTACCTAGGTAACACCGGTCACGACCAGCGGCATGTTAAGAAATTATGTTTCTATGATGTCTATGGTCGTGACCACGGTGCTCCCTGGTGAGGATACGTGCCGCCAAACGAAAACTGGTCAGGAAAGCGGAAAGTTTTATTTTGAAATTGGGTATAGTATATTATATTATATATATTACCTATATATGTATTATTATAGCATTCGGTTATTTACTGTTTTACAAAGTATGTTTCTAGAATTACTAAATAGGTGGAGGATAATTCTACTTTAGTGATGGAGCTCTGCTGCCCACGGGTGTTTTTATATTACAATTTATAAATGTCTATATTATTAATAAAATACACGAACAGTCTATTATAACTACATAAGAAAAAATTGAAATCCATAACATCAAACATCAGTCAGTTTTCAATAAATAAAAAGGTCGTGTGTGCAGTAGAAAATTGCATGGATTTTATGCACTGAATTATACAGCGTTGTTTTGTATTTTCAGATGTCGTTAAAGTTGGTGTCGATGAATTAAAACCTATTCTAAACAACTGTACGCATTTAGTGTACGGTTATGCCGGTATCGACCATGAAAAGTTTACTGCGAAATCGTTAAACCCCAAATTGGATTTGCCCGAGAGTAAAGATGTTAAGGGAGGAAACTTCAAATCCATAACTTCCCTGAAGACAGAGTTCCCACACCTTACCATTCTACTTTCGGTCGGTGGCGATGCCGATTACGAAAAACCCGAAAAATATCTAGATACCGTGAGTACAAATAAAATTTACAAACAGGTTTTTCACTTAAAGCACTACAGCCAACAAAAACCGCTTAAAAAAATTCACTAAAAGCCCTCCAAGTACTAAAATAAGTACTTATAAAATAATTGAAATCTTGAATCTTTTTACACTAATTGATTTTGATTGCCTCTTGACTGACTTGAAAAGTAGACGTGTTGACGGAAACAAATTAAATATCGCGTTAGAGAAATGTGTACAAAAGTGATATCATTTAATAATCATAGGGGAAGGGGAAATCTGGAATTTTATCGTTGGTTTACGTATTATCAAAGTAGAAAATATACAAAAAAAAATCTAGTCAAAATAATTGGTTTTTTTTTTTTTTAAATTATCGAAATAATCAAAAAAATAAATTACTTTCATATTTGAATTCGGTTTAAAATGATATACTCGTTCATTTCCATACCAATATCTGTTAGATTTAATGTCAAGCTAAAAAAATAAGCAAATGCTAGAAGTTCCGAATCCCACTTATAAAGTATATTACAAAATTAATTTTAAAAACAAACATTACAAATTAATTACTTTAATCGATATATTATTTTACCTTGATGTCTGTAATATGTAAACGAGCAGTTGAATAAGCCGTATTCGAGAACCGAGTTCGCGTCTACTGTTTCAGAAATGGCGAAGGCCTACGGTTTTGACGGTATAGATTTAGCCTGGCAATTTCCGGTGATCACCGAAAAGAAGGAAAAATACTCTTGGAGTGAGTAATAATGTTGTTGACCGTACCCAAGTTTAATAGCGTCAAAACGTAAAAATATATAAAATTATCGGTGTTGATTGTTTCGAATCGATTTTTTTCTCGTTAGGTTCTATTGTTCATAAAATTGCCAAAACCGTTGGCATTTCTGGCAATATAGACACCAAGGAAGCCGAACACAAGGAACAGTTCACCGCGCTAGTGCGCGAAGTCAAAGGAGTGTTAAACGCCAACAATTGTTCTTATCTGTCAGTCAGCATACTGCCACATGTCAACATTACAGGTATTTAGAGTAAATATTAAATTAAGAGTTTTGCTCGTGAATTTTTACGAAGTTTTAACAATAAATTAAAAAAATTTACTGCAATCATTAAGAAGTTCAAATAGTTCAATCTAATTAAATTTGTATATTAAACGATCTACATGCAACCGGTCTTAACTCTTATTAATACGTGCTTTACAGGATGAACTCGTAGAATGATTCAATTCCTTTTTTTTTGTCTATTGAAAAAGGATAACTTCCTAAAGGGCACATTGACTTCGATTTTAATTGTAGATCACGAGGCATGTTTTATCTGTTAAATGTTTTTGATAACAAAAACCATGCAGAACGTAGTAGGACGTGGGGTAAGAAGGTACACTCTTACCCCCTCCCCCCTATGACTTTTTTTTACCCAATACTTCTGCGTTGCCTCAAAATTACTGACAAAAACCCAGATTTCGGTTTTTATACATGGATGTAAAATTCAATGAAAGGTGATTTTCTATCACCAGAAATATCTGTTACTATTTCAGATTGTCGGGAGTACCTATATATTCATATTTTATCTACATTTTACCTAGTTATCTTTTTAATTTTGTACACCCTACAGTAGAGAAAACATTATAAAAGTCTACGTGGACGAGTAATATGGATAAAATATAATCCAACTCGTCAACTCGTGTATTTGTTCGTTATTGTTATCTTACCAACTTGTCACGTAATAATACGCACCAACACGGTATAGATACACACTACTTACAAACTATGCGATTAGGACGTTGTAATACAGGGTGTCTTGCAAATATCTGATAAATAAAATGAAAATTAGCTTAGATTTGTTAAAAATCCTCGACGATTCGTAAAAAAACGTAGTTATATACGAGTACATACAAATAAAATAATATTGGTATTTTACTTGATTACCAGGTGAATTTACAAAAATATTTTTCAGGAGAGGGGGTTTAAGGTTTTACACTTTCGTACTCTTATAACAAACATTTTTACATACTTTCAATCGTATGATTATTTATTTTTCAATAAAAATGTCAATATTTTATAAAATTCACTTTGGATACCGAGTGGAGTGAGGAATCTATTGGTTTTACAATGATGTTTATCGTTGAAATAGGATAAACCGAAAAAAATTGAGGAATAGCGGGAAAATGTAAGAAATATAGGTATTAGCTAAAAATATTGGCCCCATTTTACCTGTGGACAACTTTTCTACCAGCAATTTTGCTCCGATTTACTATAATACCACTATTTTTGAAAGGAAATCTGACAGGTGTTGTACTTCAGGGTAGTATCTTTTTGATTTTCCCAATGAATAGGAAAACCCAGAAAAAACATAGGAAAAACAATAAAATAGGTACAATATATTAAACAAATATTGTAAAAGAAAATATACAATGCTAATGTACGCTAATATGACATATATATATATATATATATATTGTTGACAAAGCAATGCTGTCAACCAAACTCCTTTCAGAATCGTTTTTTCGTTAGCAATGGTTTAACGTTGCTTACAGATATACACTAATAATCACCTATTACAGTGACTGCACTTATCCCCATTATCCAAGGACAACTTTTTAGTCTTTTAGGTACCTATTACAAAATTTTACATTTAATATTGTTTTAGTGATTAGTGAATACAGCCTAAATGATAATGTAATTTATGCCATTGAATGACGATAATAATAATATATACCTACTATCTAGTAATAAAATAAAAATAAAACCAAAACCAAAATTGTATTAATTTTCCTCATTGACAGAAACAAATTTTGAAACTATTAAAAATCTACTTTCATCATAATTTTCATTAAATTTCTGGGGGGAGGGTTGAACCCCTAAAACCTCTCATTGTACACTCGCCTGTTTATTATATTTAAATTAAAGCATGAAACAGAAGAACAATTATTTTCTTCTATGTACATAAAATAACATATCTTGACTGGCTAACTTATTTATCATCGCCTAGCCCAAACCACTAGACGGATCGGTCTGAAATTTGGCACACATATAGCTATTATGACGTAGGCATCCGCTAAGGATTTTTAAAAATTCAACTCCTAGGGGGTAAAATAGGAGTTTTTAGGTATATTTGGTATGAATAACTAATTGCTTATTTATTTATTTTTGTTTATTCAAGGTCATCCTTGGTATCACGGAAAAGAAAAATATTAAAATTATTATTATTACTATTATTTACACTGTTCAATTTTACAATAGAACACATTTAGTCCGCCAAAGGTGTCAAGGTTAAGATTATATTACAAATAATAATAGTTATATTATGTTATTTCAGAAAAGGTTAGATAAACAAAAGCATTCATCATGCACCACGTAAAACCAACTTTTTTTCAATTAAATTTAGTCCCCTCTATTGGTTGATATCCCAGCTACGCACATGTACGCAGACCCCATAAGGATTTAATTTAAACTAAAGCAGTAAAATAACGTTAAAGTATAATAAAAAAAAAACCCCGGTTTTACAGCGTATTTCGATTTTCCGGGACTACAGAAGTATGTGGACCATTACACGTTGATGGTGTATGACTTCCGGAATCCGTTCCGGGTGCCAAATTTGGCCGACCACGCGTCGCCGTCCGTGTTCGTGTACGCTGACCGTGTGGTCGAACAGAACATTGAGTGGCGGGTAAACAAGACTCTCGAACTGGGCATCGAACGCAACAAAATGGTGTTGGGCATTGCTACGTTTGGACGGACGTGGAAATTGGATGCAATCACCGACAAGACGGGTACGCCGCCGCTAAAAGCCGACGGACCTGCCGACGCGGGCACGTACACCAAAACCGAAGGGCTGCTGGCCTACTATGAGATCTGTCCACATTTGGTCGAGAGCACCCAGGCCGTCACTTCGCTGACCATGTTTAGGTATGTGCCGCTGTTAGTTTTGAGTTCGGCTGAAATATTGTACCCGAACGAAAACTGTAATTTTGTGAAAATCAATATATTATACAGAGTGTCCCATGAAGATGTACCCATTTTACGGAGATAAACAAATTCTGTTTTTTTTTTTCATTATTCACAGGGATATAAAGACTATGAATATTTATATTTCACTTGATTTTTTATGATTTAGTAAAAAATTTGAAAAAAAAAACTTTATTTTATTGTTTTTGAAAAATTTGAAGAAAGCCGCTTTATAGAGTTCATTATTCTGAAAATGTTGACGTATCAACTTTTTATTTTCATTAAATTCGTGATTTTTAATCATTTTTTTTAAAATTCCTAAACAGTTTTTGTTATTTTTTGTTTTTCTATAGCCGCAATCCAGACTCGAAAAAAATTCTCGGCACTTACGCCTTCCGTTTACCAAATCATAACGATAAAGGCATTTGGATCAGCTTTGAGGAACCAGAAACGGCAAAACAAAAAGCCACGTACGTGAAATCGAACAATTTCGGAGGTTTGGCATTGTTGGATCTGTCCATGGACGACGCCAGAGGACTTTGTAACGGGAATAAATACCCTATTTTAAAAGCAGTAAAAACAGTGTTCTAATATGAATTATATTCATAAAGTCCACTCTGCGAGCCTAGTAAGATCCGGTCTCTAAGCGTGTTTTAAATAACTCAATTGAATTTCATAAACAATTTCGAAAGCGTTTTGTAAGCTAGTAAAATATTATGCTTATGTGTACTACAAACCTAAACAAATCAAATATATTATTTTTTAAATAGTTGTCAGGACGTTTTTTAAAATTATTAAAGTACCTATTTAAATTTTAGTATCTATTTTTCTTGATATTGGCTATAGTAGGAATTTATATTTAAATTAAAAAGTACCCGACAAATTACAGAATACAAGTTGTTAGTCACTCATCTCGATACGCTTAAAAGAGTACCATTGTAAACAGATTATATATTTATATGCCTGTGAACGTACAGTAAAACAGTTATATTCGAGTTCCTAATGAAAATACCTCCAGAATATTTTTTGTATATATTGACTGTATATTTAATCAGATATGATTTATCTTTATTGCAAAAAAAAGTTGCAATATCAATTAAATCCGGTCTTAAGTCATAACAATAAGATGAGCAACAATAAAGTTAAATTTCACAGGTCACACGAATCTAAAATATAACTTATTTTTTTTTTTTCGAATTAACCGACAGCAGTGCGAGATCAGTTTTTCACATTGCCACCCCACTACTGCCAAAATGTAACTTACTTGTTAAGTAGTATTTAGTCACTTAAACTATGGCGGGTCAAACGAACGAAGCCCGGAGAGAGGAGCCCTCCGTGAAGGCCAATATTAGGACCTTGGAAAGACTTTTCAATGACAATAATTATTTACATACATTTGTAATTGTCAAAATGTATTGTTTTAAATACATAGGTATATTTGTGATTTTATATAAAAACAGAAATAAAAATCAGTATGTAAAAACGATAGGTAATCCGTAGGTATTAGTTATTATATTATAACGTCATAATGAAATAAGAAAATAATCATAACCTCGTAAAATTGCAATCATTAACTTATTTATATGCCGGTTGCATACCTTTAAGGGGCAATGACCAAATAGAAATAAAATATTTTAAAAAAATTTTTGTTATGCATGTTTTATAAATAATTTTAAATTAACATTTTTCACAATAAGTTTTTAAAATTTTAAAAAATAATAATAATATTGCATTTATCATTGTTTTAGTTGATACAATTTTTATAATATTACATATTATATAGAATTTAAACTGTTTAAAAACTAGTTTTCTTACCTATCAGAATAGTTAAATAATTATTTAAATCATGTTTCTGACTGTTTTCGACATTTTTTCGTGTTTGTGTTTTGTCTTTTGATTCTTAAGCTTTACGATAACTGTTAAGATTCAACACAAATCGATAGTGGCAAATGCGAATAGGTTCTGAATTCGAATTTCGAATTCTACATATTATTAATTCAAGTAGGTAAGTGCTTTATAGGTACATTTCTTGTATTATTATTAGGTAGAAAGGTACTATATAATTACTTTTGTATAATATAGTGCTTCGCGAGCACGTGAAACCCGAAGTAGGAAGAGGACGCATATGAGACGTTGGCGTTCGCCTATTCGGCGTATTTCATGTTCTTAATATTATTCATATTATAATATTAATATTTATTTTATTCTCAAGTTATATGTAATTGATGTTTACGAATACATAATAATAATGAGTTCTCTTCCTTGTCTCGGCTGTTCATTTGGCGTTCGTGCTCACTATGTTTGTCGAACACATTTACACATGTAAATAACTACTAAGAAGAGGGAGTGGCGTACCTATAGTGGTTTAGGTTTTGTTTTATTATTATTATGTGTACATGATTTATTTGACATAAGACATTTATAATGACATATAGAATTATAATAAATTAGCAAACATTATTAAATTAATTGGTTCCTACCTAACCTATATAACGCATTATAATTATAGATTGATGTGATTGTAAAATTTAAAGTTGATTATTTTCGATGGACTGGCAAACAGACAAACAGACTCTTTTATGATTTATTAATCTACATTTTAAAAACTAAAAATGAACTATTATTTATTTATTTATTTATTATTGTTATTGTTTGAGTATCATCACATTTAACTATTTTAGCATCACTTAGTAGGAAAACATTTTGTTACATATTAAACACGCCTTTTAATACAAATTTTGTACTTCAGATAATTTTTTTTTTAATTTTATTTATTAATTAATAAGCTCAGGAGTTCTGATAAAAATAATAATGCCAAGAAAAATATCAAAGTTTCATGAAATATCTAATAGAAGTAAACGAAGACGTGGTAATAATGATGGAGCAGGGTATTCTAACTGGTCTAATTCTAATATATCTTAATCTAATGTAGAAGTAACAGTCACTCCATTATTCAATAGAATTGATATGTGCCCCCTTTTGAGCAATGTAGATTTTTATTATATTTGTAATGATGTGAAGAATAATAGCGAAGAACATCAGATATATATACATTTATTGATTTTTCAACTAGCAATTATATTAGTGTACAAAGTAGTAATGATTCGGTCAATGATGTGTTTTTTGAATTAAATCCACAAACGACCAAAAATCCCACTAGTATCAAACCTTTTTTGCGTAGTATATTTGCATTTTCAATTCTTTTAATTGTGTCAAAGAAAAGTTCGCATTACGTTTCAAGAAATATCGTAAGAAGAAGTGACAAGGGATTTTAAAAAAATTCGCATTTTTATGACCTTCTCTACATCGTGATTAAATCTTCTGTGTTAACACATAAACTAATACATGAAGTTACAAACGATATTATTTATGCCACTGCAGCAGTGGCACTGCTTAAGATAGATGTATAGATATAGTATAGTGGTTTATATTTGTTGTATATTAATTCAGATTGTTATCATTTATCAATCTAATACAATCTACTATAGTCTATACGTGTTTACACACTTTTTTGTCGTAAACGCGCACAAACTGCCCACGCGATAACGATTTTTTGAATTCTTTAATAGAAAGGGATATATCGTATATCCTAATAATAATATATTATATACGGAATACATTTCTTAAATACGGGACATTTATGCGTTTCAAAAGCAATCGTTGGGATAACGGGACAGCCTTTTGAAATACGGAACTTTCCTGATGACTACAGATGCCGTGATTATAATTTATTAACACTGAATTTCTATACAGATTTTTGAAAGAAATTATTATTTATAGGTAATTTGATATCTATAGGGGGCATACATGGCACTACATACATGCTCTCCCCCTAAACGCCGTGTCTGGTAGTTACTATATGTAGATAAAATTGCTTGGCTCAACAGAAATGTTTGCAAATTTTACACAAGGACAAAGTTCAAATTAAGTAGGTACTTATTACTTAGTGTTAAAAAAAAGTTAAACATAATGTAGTAGGTACATCAACTGACAACTGTTTTTTTTACATATATATATTGTAGTATGTAGGTACACAGTATATACATGTACCTAAATAAGCTGTTTAAGATCAAATTTTACAGAAAATGGTAAATATGATGACATTTTAAAACATACCTATAACCAAACTTCACTCATAATCGTTCCTCATTAGGAATGATTCATCCGGTGCATTCTAGTTGGGTTCCAAATTCAAATTGTTTACCAATTGGGTCCCTTGTTAACAAGCCTGCGGTACTTGTTGGGTCTCAGAAAAAAAACATTTTCCTTCCCATTTTTGCATACATAGGACTGTTTTATAACATTTAGTTACAGGTATTATGGTTAAACAATTTTTTTGTTCTAATGTTTACTATTTTATTTTCGTGATTTATAATTGTTCGTCATCTAGTTGCTAATATGGTTTTTAATTAACAATTGGGTTGAAATTTATAACATACGGATTTAATGTGTTAAATGTGTTATGTGTAAGAGTTTCTATATAATTTTTATATCATTATATATTTTTATAACCATACACGGATTCAATTCGAACACATCATTTCACACGCCCGGGACTCAATTCAGACGAAATATTTTATTCACACGGACCCAATTCGTACAAAATTTAAAACTAATATTATTTTTGGAACCAACTCATATGCAGCCGATTCATTGTTCAATCGTTGCTTAGTTATAATAATAAATATTATATAAATTAGGTACCTATATAACCTTATGTATTTTTTAATTTAATTTTTATTAAAACAGATATCTCGTATCTTGTTCATGGAACAAAAAACGAACATAATTTCTTGGCGATAACATTTGTTATCGTATTCTTTATCACCATGAACTATTATGAATTAGATTGGACTTTATAAAAAATTATAAATTTAATTCATTAATTTGTATGTTTATTTTTTACTGTTTTCATTCATACTATAATATAAAAAGTACTTGAACAACTTGAACTGAATTCTTTAATCTATGAGATTACAGCTTTGAACCGAAAATGTGCTGTTTTATCTATACAAACAAATTTTTATTTGATATGTGTTCATACTTTCATAGTGTTTAGCTCCAAAGTTTTACCCACTAGTCATTTATGGAAAAGTTACTATTTTTTGTTTATTCAATTGGTATCCTTATTAGGATCTATTTAAGCTTCAGCGATTTCAGCACTTTGATTGCTGATAGAGTTGAAGTTTCTACTCCGTTGAACTCCTGGAAAAGAGGTTTGAATAATACTTCTATACTTATAATAATAATATTTAATAAGTTATGAATGTATGTTGGTAAGTAGAGAATATAATGATATTCTAATTTCTAAGTAAAAATACTATGAAGAGTTTTACAAATAAAATTACGGTACCTATGACTTATGAAAAGTTTGTTTAATGTATGATTAATGTGCATATATCAGCTTTTGGTAATACTTTCAGGGACGGACTCACAGGGTAGCAACTACAATAATGCCCACCGGTTTTCTCGGAAAATGTCATTTTTAAGCTCTATGTTATTTAGATAGGTAGGTAACTAATTTTTTCTTTTATTTTTGGATTTAGGCTATACAAATAAAATTTGTTGATGGGTAGTTCATACAAACATTTGTGTATTATAGTGTTATGTTATTTTATTTTTCTAAGGTCTCTAATACAATCCGTAAAGTACCTACTATATTATCCTTCAAAGACAAACACTAGTTTGAATTTTGGTAATTAATAAATATGATTTATGAATACAAATTATTATAAAAAGTATTACCTAAAGTGAAAATTAATTAAATCTTTATAATCTCTAAAATATTATCTTATGCACTTACTAAATACTATATATTTTTTTTGTTTATAGTTATAGAGGGTGTATCTTTATACAATGAGAAGATTAATCCATATGATGGTGACTTATTTCATGAGACTCCATTAACTCTTGTATTTTTCAGTTATTTGACATCAACTATTTCAGATTTTTATGTGTCTTTAGTATTTATCATTTGTGATGTCTTTACTGCTATTGTGTTATACTATACATCTAAAATTTACACTGCAAATCTGGTATGTAAATATAAGAATGACATTTTAATATGAATTGCAAAGTATTAATTTTTATGTTATTTTTACAATTTGTTTAGCTTAAAGAACAATCAAAAACCAAAAGTGTTTACAATAAAGAGTTTAACAAATTATTAATACCCAATAATTTTTTAATTATAAACCCAGTTTATGTATTTTCAGTTTATATGCTTAATCCTTACACTGTGTTCAGTTGTATTGCAAGAACAACCACAGTATTCAATAACTTATTCCTAGCATTATGTCTGTATGCCATGGTAAAACGTATGTACTTACCTACCTACCTAATATACTAATTATAGTTGTATTTAAATGTTACCATTGTAATTTGCAATGTGTATGGTAGATTGTCAATTATTTATGTAAGAAAAATTTTTTTATCAAATTTTAAGAAGTACAGGTCGAAATCTGTTCCAATATATCTATAAATATTAAATGAATGTTTGTAAAGTTTCAGCTCGATTTAAAATAATTAACATGTGGCTACGGATGCTTAAGGTTTTATGAAACAACATATAATTTTGTGTTTATTATGCTATATACCTACTTAAATTTTTATTTTACTGTAAAATACTGTAAAATAATAATATTATTGTAGCAGTAATCATCTAAAATCATTTAAATAGTATAAATGATTAAGAATTGTACAATAGTAGCATTAGAAATAATTTAATTTATTTCTGTCTTCTTCTTATTTCTATCTTATGTCAATAAATAATAAATAGCATAGCAATTTATTAAAAATAAATAAAACTGTAATTTTGACTTTTCTTGTGTATTAAATTATTTATTTTGATTATAGTAAATAAAACTAATATAATATTACAAATATTTTAGAAGATGGTAATGTTTTAAAAGTATCTACATGAAAAAAATAAGAATTTTAATAAATAAATAAATAATTTAACTATATTTATTTTAAAAGGAAATTTTAATATTTGCATCATTATTCCTAATTTCGTTAGAAAAAGTTACAGAAATTTATTTTTTTATAACACTATTAGATATTTATAATAGTTATTTACAATTGCTTGTAGGTATAAAATGCAAACAGTTTACTAAAACTTAAAATAAATATTATTTTTATAATATATTGACATTGGTATATTCTTGACTTTGCGAAAAAGGGCTAAGTTTTCAAAAAATATCAAAATGCATTTTTCAGGAAATAATTATTGCTACAAAATAATTTTTCTATACCATTTTTTTTTAAATCTAAGTAAGTATACTGAAAATTATGAAATTTTTCGTCTTTTCATAAAGTTTTGAACTTATATCGGCACTTGTAATTATATTTGATAAAACTCAAACTTTACAGACACTTTTTATAGATGTATTTAAACACATTTTTGGTCTGCACTCCTTGAAAATAAGTGGCACCTTAATGTATAACTCTTGCTCATAATAAATGCATCTAAATTCTTAATTAATAAATTACTAATACTAATTACATATATATATTTTAATTTTAGGTCTAAGATTTTTAGGATGTCTGAGCTTAGTATTAGCATCTTTGCCAACTTTCTACACTTTTGGTTTAATAGCTCCATTAATGATAAGTTGTGCGTCGACTGACTCCAAAAAAAAGACTGGTTCATTCATAATTACATTACTAACTTGTGTTGCTATTAGTTGCTCTCTCCTTTATTTGTGTTATATTATTATGAACGAATGGACATTCCTTGACTCTGTATATGGTTTTATGTACGTATTAAATACATTTAAATAAAAAATACTAGTTACTTATTTCTAATATTTAATTATCCTTTACAGATTAAATGTTCGAGATTTAAAACCAAACATAGGTTTGTTTTGGTATTTTTTCACTGAAATGTTTGAACATTTCCGTGCACTATTTGTCTGTGCTTTTCAATTAAACGCATCTGTTTTATATGTGATTCCATTAAGTATTCGTCTCCGCCACGATCCACTGTTATTGGCTACTAGTTTATTGGCATTGACAGCAGTTTTTAAGTCTTATCCAAGCATAGGTGATGTCGGCTTCTATCTCAGTCTACTTCCAATTCATAGACACCTATTCTATTGTATGTAAACATCATATCTTAATTTAATTTTTAAGAAAATTAATTAAAATTGTTTTAAATTTTGTTTTTCAGTTATGCAACAAGCATTTATCGTATCTTGTTTCTTTGTTGGTTGTACTATTTTCGCTCCAACTGTATGGCATTTATGGATTTATTCACGTTCTGCAAATGCAAATTTTTATTTTGGAGTTACTCTTGCTTTTGCCACAACTCAAGTAAGAATTTAAAATATGATTTTAATGTAACTAGTCATTGTATTACTGATTTAAGCTAGTATACTATAATAGTAAATATGATGCTAATTTTTTTTTGTTCATGGACCAAAATTATAAAAACCATTTGAAATATTTTATACTAATATTAAAATCTTAGCTTTACCTCGTACGTCATAATTTTTTAAATTCTGAACAGCAACCAAAATCAGTTATATTTTTAGATTCTGAGCGGAGCGAGGAGTGTATTGGTTTTACAATTATTTTTTTTTCTGTGTACAACTGTTCTATCAACAATTTTGCTCCGATTTTCAATTATATTACTTTTTCTGAAAGGGTATTTGACTGGGATAGTACTCTAGGGAGATCATATTTTTCATAATAAATGAGAAAAAAATGGGAAAATGTATGAAATTAATTATTCTCTAATTGTACATATTATGACTTTTTAAAGCATGTATAACCGAACTTGTTTTTTGCTAGCAAAGATAAATCATTGCATACAAATATACATTAAATTTCCCTCTATATCCTACCCAAGGATAATAAGTAGTACCAATCAAATATATATACTCTTTTTTGGGTTCACATGTAATTGTTTTAATAACATTTTTAAACTATTTTTATCTTGCTTAAAAAATTCAAAAATCTAAGAAAATGGGCTATAAAAAATGAGGTAAAAAAAAGAAAAATACAATAATCAATAGTATAGAAAACAAAAAGTATTAATAGGTATATAGTACTTTCCAGCATATTATAATACATTGTATAGGTTTATTATTATATTATAGTACTACATTATAAAGTGTTTTTAATATTATAGAAAATCAAAAGTATTGATATATTTCTAGTATTTTCAAATTTATGAGTATAATTATATCATGTTCTCTCCTTGGAATGTGTATCAAACTACCTTAAACACCTGTGAACGTACAAATAAACAGAATAATAGAACCACTGTCTCACTTAATTCGCATTGGGTCATGAACTCATAACTATAAAATGTGAATTTAAATGCTTTAAAAAATACAAATATGTATGTATAAAAAAAAAAAAAAGGTTTAAAAATACCCTAAAAATTATTTTAAAAATTTTTTTTTTATAAGGTATAATAAATTTCTGATGATTAATAAATATTGATCTTCTTCTCTTATTACTCAGGAATCAGTTACAGTATTAAACACAACAGTATAAATAGTGCAATATAGCAAATTGTTTTATTTATTGCAGCTGACATCGTATTTATCTAGTACAATTGCTAAATCCATTATACATTTTAAAAATAGAAATTTAAAACTTTTAGGGGGAAATCTAAATAAATTGTATTCAATTTTCCAATAATACTATGAAGTTTGTAAAAATAAGAAAAAATGCTCTAATAATAAAAAAAAATTTTTAAAGGTAAGATAATGGAATGGGTACAGCCACTGATGTATGTGGGAAGTTGGGAAAGTTGGATATAGATGGAAATTTAATGTTTATCTGTATGATAAACCATTGCTTACAAAAAAATAATTCTGAGCAGAGTTAAGTTGATAGTGATTTTTGTCAAAAATATGAATGCCATTTTATATTAAAATAATGAAATAGTCTTTATATATTTTTTTTAATAAAATTTGTTTAATGTTGTACCAATTTTCATAGTTTTCCCTGTTTTCCCTGAGAAAATCAAAAAATGACCTCCCTAAAGTACCTTTCCACGTTGATTTCGTTTCAGAAAAGGTGCTACACGTAGAAATCTGAGTAAGTCTTTTGATAGAAAAGTTGCGTACATATAAAAAAAAACATCTTTGTAAAACATCATTGCTCCACTCAGAATCTAAAATGCAAAATAAAAGTTTTATATTTTTAATTCTTTGGTATATGAAACAAATTTTGTGCTTGGAAAGCATTCCATTTAGGATATTATAATACACACCCTATTCATAACCACGATGAAACATTGAAATTAGCACAATAAAATTTGAATGTTAAATCCCTCCATAAATAAAAAAAGATCACCTACCAGAAAATGTAATTATTATTAATTGTTCAATATTTTAAGCTGAAAACTGTCATTTAAATTTTTTAAACTGCAATTTCATATACTATATTATATTTTTTATACTTAAATGTGTATACTAATGTTAGCTTTAACAAAAGTTGAAGTAGATACGAATAGGATTAAGTTACATTAGGTGATAACTTGTATGTATAATGTAATATTATTCTGTTTGTATATTATTTATATTATTTATTTTTATTGTGCTATATTAGTATATATTTCTAATAAAATTAGTAATTATGTATATTTCATTTAGTTGTTGGTATGCAAAATATTTGTATTAAGAAATGTTGAAATTTTTAAAATATTTATAATTATCATTAAAAATATGTATAATATTTTTCTAGATATTCCTGATTACGGATTTACTATTTGCATATATCAAGCGTGAATTTGCTCTGAAACATGGTATGAAACGCATGATAAATGGCAGAGAAGCACGTTTAATGCTTGATTAATAGCATATGGTTCATGAGTAACTTTCATTTCTTCAAATGATATCTTTGGAAAAAAAGAAATGAACTTGGGTAAATTTGTTTTATTAACACATAACAATATTCACCTTCTAACTATAAGCAATATATATTATTTATTTTTACAAAAAATAAAGTCAAATTGTAAAAAAATATGAACAGATTTGTTAGATTTTCTACATCCCTGTAATTCCTAAGTGATATGATTTATACATGCATACATATTTATGTATGTATATAAAAAAAAAAACTGGTCAAATAGTATGCATCCTATTATTTTCTGTTACATCCAATATCTTTTTCTTTTTCTTGTAATTTTCTTTTATCACATCCTCATATTCAGGCGGTGGTGTAATTACTGTTTCATATCTTGGCGGTATATCTTGCATGGGCTCTGGTGACCAATATTGTTGTTCTGGTATTTCACAACACTCCTAAAAAAAAATAGTTTTTTTTACAGACAATCTGATTAAGCTTAAAGTATTTTAGTTAGTATTTTTTAAATTGTCATGGTATACCTCATTTAAATATAAATTTATGATTATATAGCTTATAAGCTAAGGTTTTGTTAGAGTTAAAGATTAATAATATTTCAAACAATGAGTCAAAAGTTTTTATAAATAAATTTAAACAAAGACATAACCAATAATTTTATTTATATATACTTTAAAATAAAGTATTATATAGTTATTTATTTTGATTCAAAAAATATATTATGATTAATTTTGGTTTGAATGGTTTAGTGTCCATGTTCAGATTCATATTCATTTTTAATAGTTTATTAAAATGGAAATTGAACTATAAACTCGTAACACAAAAACTATACAGAACACTTACAGTATACTATAAATTATGGTACTGAATATTCAAAGTGAGTTATAAAACTTATCTTTCTATATTTTCTTATCAAATACCTATAGTAATGATTAATAGGATTATTACTTGATGTAAAGACCATTGCAGTGCTTCATAATAAGCATTTGAATTAACATCAATCCAAAAAGGTTGTGGTCGGTCAGCACACACTGTTGCATCAAATTTGTTATCTTTCCATCGGCAACAATAACACATCCACAAAATAAATAAAACCATGCTACCCATCATAACTCTATGGTAAATAAATACAAAATTATGAATACACATATGTTCACATTTAAAATTATGTTTTATATATTTCTAACTATGTATTTGTTTATAATATAGAATTCTTTTTATATTTTAAAACTATAGGCACTTAATTATATACAATAATATATACTGCAGATATGATGTTTTAGAATTTTAGCAATACAACACAAATGATTAGTTTGTTTAACGGTATGTTTTGCTTCTGATGTGCATTGTAGTAGTATGTGTAAATTGTAAATATTAATTAATACTATAAGCATACATTTATTTATTGTATTTAATTATTCTTTATTATTACCCTCCCAATAGAACATTAACACCGCCTGGTGATGTATCTGGTTGATTTTGATGTTCCTGGTGTGGTTCTGGTTGGCTTTTAACCTTGTACTGTTGAGCTGCCAATGATGCGGCAAAGTGTTGCCCAAAAGTAATCATGCTACAAATAATATAATAAAGTTTAAAGTTTTCAACCTCCTAAAGATACTAATATTATTTTAGGATTAATATTGTAAAGTTATTTTAATTCAACACATATGCTAAGAAAATGTCAATTTTCTAAGACTAATACTAAAGATTCTAGTCTTTAGATCAATTTTTAATTGTTGTACATTTTCTGAAAGGAAATTTTATCTGGGTAGTATTTTAGAGTGGTCATTTTTTAATTTTCAAAGCAGTTTTCATAATAATTTGGGAAAATGTAGGTAAAACTTAAATGGGAAAATATTTATCATGTATAAAAGAAACTATTCTGAATTGTTTTTTGTTAGAAATAGTTTATCATTGCGTACTGATATACATTAAATTCCCCTCAACTTCTCACCAACAACAGTGGCCCACCCATTGAGCGGTGTATGTCTGTTTTTTTAAACATAATTGTCTATCATGGAGCAATGTTAAATATTTGTTCCCGGTCAATTGCATTTGTTAAGTTTATTTCAATGTTAATGTTAGTAAACCGTTGCTATATTATACTAATTTTTAGTAAATATATTTAAGTTTTTACATAGAAGAAAAACTACACTTGTAAGCTGCCGAACTGACAGGAATGGTTAATACAACCTGTATTAGTTTGTAGATTTGGAAAAATGTCTAAATTCATAATTTGTTTAATGTCATCTTGATCTTTAGCGTTTTAAGCAATTTTTTGCCACGAGCATTTATATAATACAATTGGAACGCAAGATATAAAGAATATTAACTAATTATCAATTCTTAAAAATAAAATTACGTTATTAAAATTGTAGATACCTATTTAAAATTACGATTGGGAGCGCTTGAAGTTAAGTTGGGATTGCTTAAGCAACCCCTAACATTCCCATAGTTGTGCAACTGTTTGACAAACACGTGGGTAAAGGAATCGAGGTTTTTTTTGAACGAAAATATTTTTTCATGATTCGAAGTTTTAAACCATTTATATTTAATTTTAATCGCCCGATGAATGACGTAATAACCTAATAAAATTGTAGGTAGGATCTTGGTTCATCGCTCGATTTCATGGTTGCTTTCAAAGTTCGATGAACGTTTCACCAAACCTTTGGCAGCTGGCAGCAAGTGCTGGTTCTATGGTGTTTGAAACCCATAGTGTGTTCAAATTTATTAAATGTAATAGATTCGAATTGATGTCCTCGATTCGTCGTAACTGTGATGGGAATACCGTGACGACTAATTCAACCATTAAAAAGTATCATAGGTAATAAATACAAATAATCAATTCTGCAGAAATATCGTTTATTGGTATTGCTTCCAACCATTTCAAAAATCGGAAAATCTATCGACTACAGTGAAACAATACGAAAAACCATTTGATATTGGTAACGATCCTGCAGCAATTTCTTGTTATGAACGTGAAAAAACAGCCGTTTGCTTATTGATTTAAATATGGACCTACTTAATTCGTCGATTTTTTACGAAAATGAAAGTGGTCGAGTTTCTAATTTGTCGATTTTGAATTGCTTAAAGGTTGCAGAAATGCTCGACATTTATGAAAAATGCGAAGCGAGATCATGCATTTCACGCAATAAATGTGACGGACACTAGTAATCTAACTCGATGGCCGTCAGTAATTTTTTTAAACGGGCATTTTCCGATTTCGAAAAATAATCGATGATCCGAGTTTTAAGATACACGTCTGTGGATGGTGGTGATAAAATAATATAGGGCCATCATATTATTTTACTGACCTGTGCGAGGATTTAATTCTCAATCACAGCTTCAATGTGATGAAACTGTCTAGCGTCGCTTTTGAAGTTGCAAACTGTGCTTTCACTTGTTTAAACTGAAGTTCCAAATTCACATGCCAAAACGGTGGAGCTTTGAAATTCACTGCTGCAATGCCAAAATTTACATTGGAATTAGTATTCGGTAGGGATGAATCGTGCTATCGAAAAATTCCCAATAAGCCGCTAAAGTAACAACTATTTTAAGTGGGTACTCATTATCTCTTTAATGTATATCTGTAAACTGTAAGCAACGATAAACTATTGCTAACGAAAAAACGATTCTAAACGGAGTTCAATACCAGATAATGTTGCTTTGTCAATATATATACATTATTTTCTTTAATAATAATTGTTTAATATTGTACCTTTTTTTTCAGTTTTCCTACGGTTTTCCCGGGTTTACCATGTTTTTCCCGGGTTTTCTAATTTGTCTATAATTAAAAAATGATCTCAGTCCGATTTCCTTTCAGAAAAAGTGCTACACTTAAAAATTGGAACAAGATTTTTGGTAGAAAAGTTGTCCACAGATTAACAAAAAAAAATCTTTATAAAATCATAAGCTTCATTGCTCCACTCAGAATCTAAAAAGAATTGAGTGTAATGTAGAATTTTATTTTATAAGAATCTTAGTATCAATTTTAATTAGTTAATAATATTAAAAAGAAAAAAAACTCTATATTCACGAAGATATACCTGTTGAAATATCTCGGAGATAATAAATAAAATAAAATTCTGTTTTTTTTTATTTTACTCGCAGTGCCAATAAGGACTACAAATATTTATATTTCAATTTTTTTATATTTTGGTAAAAAACTTCAAAAACAACGTTTTGTTTTATTATTTTTGAAAAACTTGAAGATTTTGACATATTAACTTTTTATTTTCATTAAATTCGTGATTTATAATAATGTTTAATCATTTTTTGTACAATCAATTGGCCATAATAATAATAATAATCAATTAAAGTATTCGATTACAGCTTTCTGTGTAATTACAGGAATTATATCAGAACTCAACAAATTATTTAGAATCATGAATTTAATGAAAATAAAAATTTAAAATGTCAAAGTTTTTAGAAGTACCTAAAATAAAATAGTGATCTTCAAATTTTTCGAAAATAATAAAATAAAAAGTTATTTTCTTATTATTTTTACCAAAAATTAAAAAATTCATATGTAATTCAAATATAAAAACTTGGGAGTCTTTATCCCTGCGAGTTATATAAAAACAAAAAAAAAAGAACAGCATTTGATTATCTTTATTATCTCGGGAGATATTGCAATGGGTATATCTTCGTGGGACATTGTTTATAGGGAACCAGTTATTCATGAATGTTCTAGACGCGATAAAATATTAGGACAAATATAATAATAATTTCAACGAAAATCCCGGGATAACCATTTAATATGTGGCGGACGCAATGCCGTGGTGAGTTACCCCTATTGGTTATTAGGTAGGTGAGTGGGTAAGTTCTGGGTTTCATTAGAAACTGGGGTTAAGATATTTAGTAAATAATTAGTAGGTAATACTCATTATTATGGTAGTCAACAATGTATGCGGTATCCCACATGACAACTCATAAGATGTTATGATGTAACATGATGTTACATCTATCTCATAAGATACATCATAATTGAAAAAGTAATTGAAATAGCCATATCATCAGTATAAACAATATTCGAATATTATTGCTGTACAGTAATAAATATATTATGAATTATGTTTAATAATAATCTACTCAGTTCAGTTATTTCCTTTTCCTTTATATATATATTTTTTTAGAACTGTTTTTGTTGGTTTTTTGAATTCATGATTTTCAATATCAGATTCATATTCATTATCGTTGAAAAAATTTAGTTCAGTGTAATCGTGTACTTTTTCTAGATTAATTTGAAATTGGAATTCTACAATTTTTTTTTAGAAAACAGTATATTCAATTATTAATCCATTTTGATTAATCTGAGGAATCCATATTTTCAAAGAATCAACCATATCGTCAGAATATGGTTTTCCTTGATTGGCTTTCATTAATCTATCATGTGTTAAAAAAGACAAGTTTATTTCTTCCAGTTTTCCAAATAGTCCCTCCCCAGTTACAACAGGCGTTAGATGATTCTAAACAAAAAATCAGTCCAACACGTTTACTCGTTAATTTGGGCTATAAGAAGATTCATATATTTTCTTTAAATAGCTTGTAAATGATCAGAACAAATTAATTTCACCAATGCAGAATGCTATACAGGCATATAGCATATAATTTCAAGTTCATAGATTTCTAAAAAATAAATATCAAATATGCGTCATACTGTTACTGTTATCTCATCACTGTTTGTGGGGTGAAAGGTAACAGTGCAGTACCCGTATTGACATGTTGACTTAATAATTATAAAACTGAGGACAAATAATTTCTACATGTTTTTTCGTTTTTTGATTACTCATAGCCACCAAGTTTCAATTTTTAATTGTGATTTTATTTTAGTACAGACCTTATTCATCTTATTCAGACTTTATACGACTTAGGTGTAATTTACTCTTCTAATTTATTATTCTCTGAACACGCTGATTATATTAGTAATAAAGCTTCAAAAATACTTGGATTCTTATTACGTGTAATACCCGTGATTTTACAGATATTTATGCCTTAAATTCTCTCTATATTTCACTTGTACATTCTATTATTGAATCTGTATTAGTGATGGGCACTACCGAGTAAAACTATCTATTTACTCTGTTGTTTTTTTAAAAACTATTGAATATCGACATTATCTATTCTGTTGAAAAAGTTCTTGGTTGTCTTTAAACTATCGATAAACTAAACCAGTTGGTGCTACTATTAAATGAAAACTATCGACTAATTCATTCGATAGTTTTCAAAACTATCTGCCTATCACTAGAATACATCTTTGTTAACCTCATCAACCAACATGTATTGAATGATTAAACAAAATTAACAATAACTATATAAGAATATTTTCATTTCGATGTGATGGAACTGTGGCTTTTAAATTGTTTGCTGATATACAAAGAGAATGTGAAATCTCGTTTGTTTACAAATTATTACATGGATTAATTGACTTTCCTGATTTATTATCACGACTATCCTTATCTGTTCTTTTTTTTAATTCAAGGCACAATTCTACTTTTAATGTTAAATTCCATTCAACAAATATTGGTTTTGCAAGTCTTCTTGATCGCGCTATGCACTGTATTAATAATTTGTCTGATGTTGATTTATTTTTCAATTCTTTACCATCTATGCTAAGTAAATTGTATCTCTAATTATTGTATTTTTTATCTTTTATGGTTATTGTTTATTCTGTACTCCTAGCCCTTGATTCGTTGATAATTTAAATAAATAAGTCATCAGTTTATATATGTGTACTTTTTCTTTTTTTAAATAATTCACCCCTTTGTTATTTTTATTTTTTTGGAAAACCTTTTTTTTTGTTAGTAGGAAAGCTCCAATTATACACACAAACTTTAAAAAATGTTGATTTGTGTGACTGCAAAATTCAAGATTCCATCACTAATACTGTTTCAATCAAAAAAATAACTATCCTTTTTTTGTTGCATTTTGGATATAGTTTTAAATATATTATAACATATTACAAACTATATAAAAAATAGATCACTCCCTTTGCTCCAAATCTAAAAATGTACAATTAGTAAATGTGATAATATTTACAAATTTTGTAATATAACAATTATATTATACTATTATTCCTATGTATGGTATTTTATTACTCAATTTGTATACATTTTTGTTTAATCAGATGTTCAACATTATAATATCCCAATAATCAAGGAAATATGGAAAGCATGCATTTTGTATGAATTTTTTTTTAAGGTTAGTGTTACCCAGGCTGTGCTATTTTGTAACTCAAAGGATATGGTTTTGAGTTGAACTTGTGAAATGAAATATAAATCATTCACAGTATATACGAAAATATGGACAAGCTTTAATGTGAGGTAGAATTGTTTCGTTCTAGGTCTTGTCATTTGTTAATTACTACAGACTTTTTGTGTGTGAACATTATTATTCAACGTGTACCACTAGTTATCAACTATGAATTTCTATCCAGTTATGAGATTTACAATAAAAGGATTGGACGTTCTAGCTGTTTTGGTCATAGTGGTGTTGTTATTCATCACTGAATATGAGAAGAAATCTATTCTAAAAGGTATGGAAACGTTTTATAACATTCACATGATCAAGCTGCCACAAAATGTGGCTGATCTACTCTAGAAGTGTTCTGTGCCTGTTGGTGTTTAGCAAGTTGTAGCAAATACAAAATAATAACTAACAATTCAATGGTTTTTTTTCCTATACATTTTTGTTAAAAGGTTTTTAGTTTTATTTTAATGTATTTAAGAATAATAATGATTATTCTTAATAACTGCATATATTTTTTATATATTTATTTACCTTATTAACTATTAACTGTATAGATGCTCATTATTGCTCATTATTAGAGTTAGGATGTTTATGAATTTTGAGTTTTTTTTCCTTTGATTCTGTACAATGTTATCTTAGCTGAAAATTTGTTTCATGTTTCATTCATTCAGAATATTCAAATTTTATTTTGTATTTTTTTGCATTTTTAGTAATTTTTAGATATAAATGCATTTTTTTATTTTTAACATCATTGTTCAACATTTTTAAGTAATTTTATCATATTTTTGTAGTTTTTGTACAATGTGGGGGCATAATAATGAGTCATTATTTATCCTACAATATTAATATTGTATGCCTAAAATTATTATTAATATAAATTATTTGTGCAAATTTCAGTTTAACGAAAATTAATATTTTGCTTATACTATTAAGTAAAATCTGTGTTTTTTTTATTTTTTGTTGTTTATTTCTGATCAATAATTGCATTATTATTTTAATCCATAATGGTGTTTATTTTTTATTAACCATTTCTAATATCTTGGAAATATTATATCTAATAAAAGCTATTGTGTGGTCTTTTAAAAGTGTTTTGATGTTATTTTAAATACTCGTTAAAATTGTTTATAATTATAATTTTTAGTACCCACCTAGTTTAATTACATCAAATATTTTAGGTTTAATGAATATTTTAAAAAGACAAAGTGAAACATAGGTACTTAATACTTAAATGTACTAAAAAACCAAAAAACCTAGCTGCAGAAAAAGTGAATAAAGTATGCAGAAATAATATGTAACATAAAAAATTAAATGTGGTAGAAAAAGCAGTCGTAGACTAATAATACAATGATACCTGACCTTGAATAAAAACTTGCAGTCAGCGGTATCAATTCTCAGCTGCTTCCATCATATTTCATTTTCGAATTTGAGGGTAGTATTGGTTTTATACAAAATTATGTATACAACATTTCATAATTTTTGCGTAATATTATTAGGTAAGTGATATTTATGCGACAGTTATCATAGAGTATCATTATCATCACTGTATGGTTGCAATGCAGATCTTCAATTTAAAATGCTATTTGATTAAATTTGTAAGCTCTTAGTTAAAACGTGAAACCATTTATTACATATACAGTTACGCATATTCATTATTCAAATGTATTAATAAAATTGTTTTAATAATAAATACACATTAGGTTGTAATAATCGCATGCATTTTTAAACAATTAATATTATTTTGAAGGCAAATAATATAATAATAAATAAAATATTATTATCACCATTGTATTTATGAAGCAAAATAAAATCACCGGTAGCGCTAAAGTAGTCGGTAGTCTTGACTTTCCTAGTGTGGGACATTTTTCCTAGTATGGGACTTTTTTATCGGGATGTTCTTAATGGGATTTTTTAACTGGACTTTTTTCGATTCAATTTGAATTTTTTTCTGCGTTGTTGGGCTAATTACATTTTTAATTCAACCTTTTTACTTAACGTTGGTATTCGTGCTGATCGTTATGGCTACGATTTCTTATCATTTTTTTTGAAAACTATATATTACAATCATAGAATAATATAGAGGTGACGATCACAACGACGGCTGTCGTTATTAAATTTATTACAGTTACATCTAAGTTTATGCATACCAGCATTTTCAAATGAATGATTTTTTTGTAAAGTTTTTAGTTCTATTGTTTATATGTTTGATTAAATTATTATTAGTCTTAAAGCAATTTTTACATTATTTGTATTATTGTTATATTAACTTTAATATTAATTTTTGATTCGAAACCGGTCGTACAATACTTATATCATAATACTCTAGGTGACGCATTTATTTATTTATTCATATACTTATTTATTTACGAGTATTAACCATTTAATAATTTTGTTTTTACTTTATTATTTTTTTAAATACTACTGTTTACAAATAAACTGTTTTATTTAACATTCAATAATATTGTATATGAATTATTAATACATTTTAAAACTAATAAATAAATATATATAATTATTATTGTATACAGAATATGTTACAGTAACAGTATTCAACAGTAACAACAGTTACAGTATTCAATTTTGGTGAAATGGTGACACTGACAAAAAGAGTATTTGCTCATCAATTTTTATTTAGAATGTCGTCTATAAATATTTACTTTATTCGCGATTGAAAACGAAAGAGCCGCTACCTGGTGGATTTATTAGAACTGCTCTAATCAGGAACATGTACGTTTGATTACATTATAATATTATATTGAGACATTTACTACTGAGTAGTGACTTCTGAATTTTTTTGTAATAATCTCGTTTCGTTGTAATAATCATAAAATATGTAGCTTTATTTGTTGATATTATGAATGACCATAATTATTATTCTAGCTAAATGGATAATCAAAATGCATAAATTAAATACTAACTTGCATTAAACTTGCATAATATATAATAAACAATAGTTAAAGTGTTTAAAAGGTACCTACTTCGTGAGGTTCACCTTAAAGGTCACTGGTTTGCAAACATAGTTTTAAAATCTTAATGATTATATATCATTTTAGATTCTAAGTGGACCGAAGAAGCTTATGGTTTTACAAAGATGTTTATTTTTTATTATTGTTTTTTTTTATCTGTGCGCAACTTTTCTACCAGAAATATTGCTCTGAATTTTAAATGTAACACCTTTTTTGAATTCGAGATTACTTTTTGATTTTCCCAAATTTTCCCAGCAAATGTGAAAACCAAGAAAAACATGGGAAAACCGGAAAAATCAGTACAATATTAAACAAATATTATTAAAGAAGATATATATAAAGCCTATTTAATTATTTTACTATAATATGACATATATATTGTTGATAAAGCATTCTATTATCTAAACTCCACTCAAAATCCTTTTTTGTTAGCCATGGTTTATCGTTGCTTACAGTTATACATTAAATTATCAATAACAGTAGTTACACCCGTCCTTATTATCCTAGGACGTCGTTTTTCCTTTTAAACCTATTTTAATAATATGTTTAATTTGCATTTAATTATTTCTAAACCTTTGACAAAAGGTCTTTTAAAATCACCAATATATTGAATTATATCAGTGATTTCTATTACAGAATTAAACATTATGCACTTTTATTACTACAAATTATAAACAGTTTTAATAAGTTTTAATAAAGAAATTTAAAAAAAAACTAAACTGTATTTATGATAACTGGTCTTGTGCAAAACCACGTCGAGTAATTAGCATTGAAAATTGAAAATTGAAAAAGCATTATAGGTGGAAATAGGGACTCAGGGTTTAATCGAAAACAAACCTAGATTTGTTGTGCAAAACTACGTCAGGTAGGTAACAATAAAAAGTGAAAAGTATTATAGATGTATAGATGGTAAATTTAATTGATATAATACTATAACTTATTTATGTATGGCCACATCGGTATTAGATATTTATCGGTTATTGAGAAAATACGGCTATGGAAAAATACGAAATATGAAATATCAAAATATGGTACTATGAAACTTTAGGAGAGATCGGTCGGCAGTTATGAATAAACCGTACAATTTAAAAAAAATGTTTTAAATAGATTGGCAAAATTGACATTGTGACTGACCTCATCAATTTTCTGAAAACAGTAATTCTCCACTGAGTTACTCTGATATGACACACAAATTATTGTATATTTATTGAGTTTTTCGCCCTGTTTTTATTATTCTTATAATGGTTTGGCATAATTAACGATAATTTAAATATAATATAAAGTATTATTAAATATTTAATAATTAAATGTATTTAACCTGTTTAAATATATTATACTTACTTAAATCTATTTAATATGGGTGGGTTTAAAATGCACTATATGCAGTAACACTGTTGATGACAATATTCAGTATCAGTATCATTTTAAATGCACATATACAATAAACAAAATAGAACTTCCATAATTTTAGTTATTTTACATACATATAATACAATTTCTGGTCCTCTATCAGTTAGGCAGCGAACCTAATTATAGGTTGGTACTTTTCTCTGAACTTTAAAAAATGATTAAAAATTTTACGAATTTAATGAAAATAAAAAGTTGAAGCATCAAAATGTTCAGAAAAATAAACTATAAAATGGCTATCTTTAAACGTTTCAACAATAATACAATAAAAAGTAATTTTTTTAAGTTTTTTATCAAAGCATAACAAAATTAATAGCAATATAAATATTTGTAGTCCTTATTACTATGAGTAATATAAAAACAACAGAATTTGATCATCTTTATTATCTTCGGAGATATCATAATGGGTATATCTTTGTGAGACACTGTATGTGTAGTGTAAATTTTGATGAGAATGTTTGGTCAATAAATTCACTGGCCATATAATTTGCACTTACAATATTTTCTGGCATTTATAAACAATTTCTTCTGATCAAAAATGTAAAATAAATATGTTATCAACATTTCAAAAAACGTCAAAACACAATTGATCTGTTAAATTCATTATCCCAATCTGTAAAAGTCGATAGTAATTATTCAAATAGAATAATTAATTTTGAGAAATAAATATAGGTAGTTGGTCTGGGTATAAACATTAACACTCAAGTTAAATAAAACTTCTTTTTATTTCGTCATGAATTTGTTAGTTATGATGTTTGTATATAGGCAACATTCCCAAAATATAATTTTAAAATAACTTTTATTTTAGTCGTAGATAGATCCTGTGGTTCATATTCTTTTAAAACTAACTCTTCCCTAACTGCAAAGTCCATGTATTTGTATTTTATTGCATTAAATATGAAATTCAGCTCAAAGATAAAAGGGTAACGTACAAAGTTTTTAATATTTTGTTTTGTAAATTGTATTTCGGTCAAAGGCAATGTGGCAATGCTTAATGTATAGAAACACGATTAAATTTTTAAATTATTGATGTGGCTACGAAATCGAAAAATCTGCCAGCAATAACAGGGTGTTTCGTTATTAAAAAGTTATTCGATTATATTATTTTATATTTATGTGTACGAACAAAAATGCCAAACGGAATACTCGTTCATGTGATTCAGTGATGTACCCATAAATATTCTCATAAATGAATCCTAAATTGTACATTTATTTGTCAACATTATTTCCCTTAATTAATAATCGATAAAATACAAAAATCAACCAGTTAAACCATAAATAGGTAACATAATCATAAAATTGATTACTATACAAATATTTTAAAATAATTATATTTTTAAATTTGTTTGGATTTGGATTTTATTAATTATAACAGTATCGGGTTCCAGTTATCCGAGATTTTAATCGCGGGGTATGGGCTGGAGTTAAAAATATTGACCAAAATTGGGACGAATCGGAGACAGAGCAGGACATACAAATATACGCTCAACTCTATTGTACAGTCCGAACCACTGGATCCAGAGACTTGACATTTTGTACAATATTACACTTTAGTTCCTTTTTATAATGTAAGTAAGCACATATGTGTACATTGGGTGTGAATTTAGGGTATGCTAGAATAATTTATGGCACGCATATCCGTGAAGGGGTTCGCCCTGCCAAACCCCCTTAATATTACAATAAACTACATAGAAATAATTTTAAATTTGTATATAAAATATAATAAATCAAAAAAATTAGTATAGACAATTTAATAATACTAATAATATTATAAAGTTGAAATGTTATAAATGTTAATATAATCGCTATTATGTTTATTTATATTAAATAACTAAACTGTATAGTTATTACAAATTTAGATCGTTTACATAATTTATTATCTATTCAAAATATTAAAAAAAAAAACGGACATACTTCGCACCATGGATGAACCACTGTTGTAGATGAGAAGTTGGGAAGATACGTGGGATATAGAGGGGAAATTCTATGTATGTCTGTAATTAAAGATTAATCACTGCTAACGAAAAACGAGCGGAATATCGGAGCTCAGTTAATAGTATTGCTTTGTCAACATTATAATATATGCCATATTATAGTAAAATAAATATATATTGAAACAATTTTCGTCAAAATTTGATATAAAAATACTTATAAAAAATATATTAAATTCAATTTAATTTGTTTTGTTTTGACCATAAAGTACGACTTATAATAATTAACCTCCTGTTCAATTTTCAAGCATATCTGTTTAGTCTAAATATTTTATCCAAAGAGTATCTACCAAATTAAAATGTTTGTAAATAGATAGCTATATAGATAATATAGCTGAAATATGGCTCAAACTGTTTTTACAATTTTACCATTTCTAAAAAAAAGCAAATATAAGTTTACTGTTCAAATTTCAATATTAATATGTTTAACTGAATTATAAAAGCATTATTTTCTTACATTTTCCCGTTTTTTTCCGATATTTATCTCAGTTATTACCAATTATTATGAAATTAACTTGAAAATCAAAAAATGACTTTTCCTCAATAATATTTGTTTAATATTGTACCTACTTTCCCTTTCTTTTCGGTTTTTACCATATTTTCCCCATTTATTGGGAAAACTCCTGGGAAAATCAAAAAATGACCTTCTTATTCCGAATTTCTTTAAAAAAAAGTGCTATCATTTTAATTTGGAGCAAAATTGCAGGAAGAAAAGTTGTTCACTGAAAAAAAAATATATCATTGTAAAACCAATCTATAATAATACTAATTAATGTTAAATATTAAAATTTAATTTTCTATTTGATATTGCAAATTTTTGCAATATAATTTCGTGGATTCGTGAACTATTTGTACCTAATGGAAAAAAAAATATTTAATCCGAACCAGTAAACCACAATAATTTATAAATGATTGGTTAAATAGTGAAATAAGCTACTTAGAGAAACTGGGATGCTAATTTGAAGCCTGGGGGTGATAAGCACTCCTTAGAACCCCCTATATGCACTTATAAGAGCTTAGAAGGAATTTTTGAAAATCCACCGTTCTAATGAATTTGGTTCATAAAATACAAACATTGAATGTTTTTTTTGTTTATTTCAGAGTTACCTCTGTAAAAACGGATGAAAACAAAATTATAATTTGTATTTCATTAGTTTTCAGGGGTATAATAAAGTGCTCTTTTAAAAAAAGATTAAAAAGGAGAAAGAATAAAAGACCGAGATAGAGGTAGGGCGTATAGTAGATCTTTGTTACGGACAAAGCCATGTGGATCGGCTGGTATTAAAATCTATAATGTTTAAACTATGAGTGTTGCGTGTGATTATCACGATGTTTTATCTCGGAAAACACTTATTAATTAGTGAAATTGCTACAATTTTTTATTCCGTACTTTAATATATTTAGATTTTAAAATTGTTTTTTATTTATGTTTTTTTGTTTTAAACATTATTATAGTGAGTAAAATGCTTTTATTTTTTCATGCAGTATCTTAAAAGATACATAATTTCCTTCCAGCGGTATCTAAATTCAGAAAGAATTCTTGATTTCCTAAAGTTTTACTAATAAATTAAAATTTGATAGCAAAATATATTGGTTTCATTTTCGTTAATTTCCAACTTTACCTTTAATACTATATTATAAGAGAAAAAACCCGACTAATACTATATAAACTAATCAGTTTACCTTAGAATCGTCTTTTAATTGCAACTACGTATCGTTGCTTTCAGTATATAAACTAAAATATATTCCTGTCTTATAAGTAATAACCTTCTAAACTTCCCATGTACAACAGTGAGTGGCCTACTGGTGGAGCGAATTATGTGGCCGACTTTTTCGACTATTTTTATTAAAATTGTGTTATCAATTCAATGATTTAATGTTATGGAGAGACTATAATTTATGTAACATCCACTAATTTAACCGTACGATAAAATTATAGTTTGTGATCCCCGTGTAGCAATTGCGAATCACCTAACAAAATTATTTTAATGTGCGGTTGAACGTTTTCATATTATTTGTATGTATTAATTAAAAGCAGCTATACCTATACAATATACGTACATAATTATTATCGCTACGCGATAATTGGTAAATAGTAATTAAAAATAATTCATATTATAAACAAACTAGAATTTTGCAGTCTTAAAGTTAAATTTGTTTAATTGTGTATAACAAAAATAAATAACAAAATAAATAGAAATGCTTACTATCTTGTCACGTAATAATAACAACAAATTTTTAACAATACACTTTTAGGTTGGTACTTATAATTACAATTTTAATATTTTGTTTTTTTTTTGTTTTTTATTTAAGTATTTTTGTACAACCTGTAAAATAAAATGTAGAATAAGTACAAGTGAAAAGGGTTAACAGTTTACGAGTATCGAGACAGTAGGAGTGAGCGAAGAGACCAACCATTGTTGGTTATTATTAACCAGAGTTTTTATTATTTAAATATTATTTTTTTAAAAAATTTTTACGGGCCGCATCTGTACAGTACCGTAGCGAGGATTAGCTATAATATATCTACACATAATAATAAAAAAAGGTCTTCGTTGGGTGTATTTCTAGTTCTAGTTCTATCCTGGAATATAGTTTTAGAACAGACCACGTAATGGTGGGTCCTAATAGATTAATCAATACAATTTTCCTTCTTAGTATATGATGGCTGTCAAGCGTTAGATTTAAAGATACTAGAATTAGAAATTATTCGAATAGAAATGTTTGAGACTATACTTAAGTATCTTTTTAAATTTTTGTATACCTTACGAATATACAGGAACTAGTGTTATGATTTTTGGGTCACATATTCGAATTTTTTTAAGTATTCAAACTCGAATATTTGTAATATCCGAATACTTTTAAAACTCGGATTTCTGTACTTTCAAAGTTTTTCAAATATTTATTTTTATTTTGATTTATGATATAATTGTATGGGACTAGATCTTAATTAAATAATATATATTGTTAGTTCTTAACATGATTTGTGTGGATTCAATATTTCTTTTAATGTTTGCGTAATAATTTATGACCTAATTATTTTTGATTATATTTTATGAATATTTGATTAACAAAAATATTTACATAGTAGATACATACGTATATTACGTACTATAATACCCGAATAGTATGAATATCCGAATACACCAGGTTTATGGATATTCGAAATAATTTGTATCAGAATTTTGAAATATCTGAGTATTCTGATAATATACAGCTAAACAGCTAAACAGTTCTCCTGCATTTTCTCGTACTTTTATTCCGGCATGGTCCAAATATTTTTCTATTTCCTTTTCGAAAACAAGAGGTTGATTTTGTTTGGAATTGGGTAATGTTCATACTTCGCTACCATACATTTTAAAGAAATTGTGTTTAATCAATTACCTATTATCGTAATAAATATAATAGTCCGATAAAATATAATTTATAGGTATATGTTTGACGATATTTTAAAGTAACCTTTGAGTAAATTTAAAAATGGTCCAGTCTATTTATTTATTTGTTTGTGTCTGTAAACAAATATTTTATATTGAAAATCTTACTCCAATCAAAAACTTTATACTGGGATTTCTTAAACTGTGGTACGCGGAGGCCTACAAGGTGTTAATCGAGAGGAAGGTCACATGGCGCTAAAACGGAAAATAAATATATAACAAATAAAATACGTTGTACATTTTTTTTATTATTTCGAATCGCGGAAAATACGTCAATAAACTATAATCGTTGACACACACACACACACACACACACACAGTGTACGTACGCAGATAATTTCTGATTATTTTATATACGTGTAATGAATTTAATCATCTTATCTAGTTATCTGTGAAATATTAGGTATCGTCGTATCGATATTCGATAGTCATTAGTCAATTGTCGTTCCGCTGTCATTCTTGCACGATTTACGCAGCCATCGTGATTTTTGTAAAATTATACGGACTTTTGTAGACAATTCATTATTAATGTCAAACTAACAAATTCATGGTTCACATTGAATATTTGTAACTTATATAATTTGTTTATTAATAGATATGATTTAATATAAAGATAAATAATACATTTTTAGTAATAAATAAAGAATTATACAGTATTATTTTACTGCATTATTTTTTGAAAGAATATTTCTATTTTTATTCATTAGTGGCACGCAACTTTTTAATAATACACATGAATGGTACGCGAAAAAAATGTTTGAGAACCGCTGCTTTATACGAACTTTCTTTTAGAATGTTTGATCTAGTTGGTGCTCTGAGGAGGTTATTTTTAGTTAAACAGAGTGATATGAGTTTAGAATTTCCTTAATGCGCAAGACTGGTAATTTTTTGTTGATTTCTGTATTATTTGCCTTGGCAACGAGGGGGGGGGGAAACACGACCGATAATACTCGGCTCAGAATCGTTTTTCGTAAACAACAGTTTGTCATTGCGTACACGTGTAAATTGAATTCTCCTTTCTTACTTCTCTGTTAAAACAGTGGTACTACCCCCCCACCCCCTCCCCCCAATCAGTGTTTTTCGTCTTTTTGTATATTCATGTATAATTGTATTATAGGTAGTACAATATTGTATACTTACGTATTCCCGGGCACGCGTGTGCGGGTTTTTTTTTTTTTCTATTCTAAATTTCGTTTACAGTTCCGCCGTTGTCTTTGCGAACAGTTGACGCGCGGACGTACTCACGGGGACGTCCGAGTGATGTCCCGCCGCGGAGAAACAGAGTCGACGGGGCGGTGAAACAGTACGGCTGTTACAGCCGCCGCACTTTTGTGGTGCCGGCGCAGGATCTCGAAAACTTCCGACGGAAATCGCGCGCGATATCTATCGACGCGTGGTCGTGGCGCGGCCGCGCGTATGCTACCAAATCGACCGGCACTCTGCGGCCAAATGCGATTCGACGAACGCGCGAGGGCCGATCAATCGCCGTGTGTATACGACGGTGCCGTTGCGCGCGACCCCGGCGATCGCGTGTGCCGAGTCGCGTGCACTCCCGAGCACAACTTACAGGCTACGTGCACATGAATGTATGTATATATTCGTGTACGTGTAAAAACATAATACAATATGCATAAATAAACAAAACGGCGCACGCGGCGGTCGCACAATATTGTAATAGCGACGCAATAGCACGGTATGATACGCCCAGTCCTCGAAATTGACGGGTGCTATCGAAAAATCATACTCGCGTTCGTCCGTTCGTCCGTCCAAAACGCGCAAACGGGACGCGATTTGAATTAAATGGATCACGAACAGACGATGACAATTGTCATTTCGACTAAAAAATAAAACAGTAAAAAAATCCCGATGCTCGCTGCTGCTGACAGGCGCACCGCTGTTTTAGGAGGACAATAAACAGAGTGACGAATTCTCGGAAAGTACACCCGAGTGTCTCATTGAGAATCGATCACCGTGTACACAGTGATAAAAGAATGGCACCTACGAACGAAAGACAAGAACGTAGGAAACAGTATTTCATTTCGGAACGCACGATCTATGAATGTATCAATACACGTTATTTTATCCTTATGAACAAACTCAGTGTCGATGACACCGTCGATAATTTGCGCTGTAATTCGGCACTTGCCCACCGATTTTATCGTACGCCCGTCCGTCATTCTGACTGTCGGGCTCGACCCGTCCAATCCGGTCGACCGTGTTTTTTCTCAACTGCCCTCACGTGTATCGCCTGGGCCCGCGAACCTAACAAAGTCACGACAGTTTTGTCGGGAAAATCCACTCTTCCGCTGCTGGGGTCGGGGATCATTCACGGCCCGTCCTACATGCTGTGACCACGGTTAGATCCGACGGCCACTGATTCCTCGGGTTAGTCTTTACCGCGGGTCGGGTTGTCGGCGAGCTGTCACGAGCCGTCTGCCGGTTGTCGCAGTAGTGTTTTACCCCGGATACGGGTATTCAGATGCGTATTCTAAATACGCTGTTCCAAGAGCGGTAAGTGTTTACCGATTATGATTTTGGGTTTTGGTTTAAATAAAGAGGCAAACACCGAGTTACAATTGGATGTATTTGATTAGCTTAAAAAAAAAAAAAACGAAAGAAAAAGAAATATCTACGTTACAACTAAATATATTTATTACCATACTGTTAATTTTGACGGTAGAACTCTGGGTAACTGTTTTATAACGACGTGCCGCCGTACGCGGGGGCCGTGCGGCCGCTATGCGCTTGATCACCACTTGCATGCGCAATGGTTCGTAACACGGATCGCGTGGTGGTTTATAACATACCTCTTAATGCTGTCGTTATTGTCGGACGTACGCCCGCTTCCGTCGATGCCAACAGTCGCCTCGAGCTGATGTCGTTAGCGCTGTCCTGCGCCATCACTCCGCTGTTCTTTACAGTCTAGGACGGAGGTTTCCAAACACTTTTGACCTACTGCGCCCTTAATTGTTTTCTGAAAATCCGGAGGCGCCCTGCGGCCCATACTCAATGCTCAACACGCAATAGTAATATTATATCGCGTAATCAAATTCATATTTTTTAACTCCGGTCGTTTTCTTTAGCCAAGTGCCTTAGTATAAACAAAAGCAGTTGGTGTCTAGTGTATACGCACATTATATTTTATAAAACGAATTATTCCATTGGACATTAACTGTATGCTCTACGTTTAATTATCATTGTGCAATATTATTTGATTATCAAAATCGATTGAAAATTGGGCAACTCACGGAACTAACGTTACAAACGTGACACTTGGGCTAGTTTTTTTTTTCACACGAATCTTTTAATTCGCGGCCGAATAGTTGAACGACGTACACTCATTTCTTCTTCGGTATACTCAATTTTCATTCGTTTATTTGTTTTTACGTTTACAAGAATGGTACCGTAAATAAGTGGTTGAGCGATAACTTTATAATAACAGTCCGCATCGAAGCGGTAGCAATCGAACCGGTGTGCAAATTAAAATATATTGAACGTCGCAGTATTACCATGTACGGATTATATGTATAATTAATTAATTAATATATTAAATTATATTATATACACACAGGGCACTAGTACTGTGGTCTGTTTAATTACTCACAGCGCTATTTTTCACGAAGTCGTTTTTAAAAAAAATATATATATATATATTTCAAATAATTTCGCGGCACCCTGGATGGGAACCTCTGGTCTAGGAGGTCGACCGATACACATCAAGATTTCCCTTTAAATCCGACTTCGCATGTGCCGAGAAACGTTGCCAGAATTCACACAGACTGTCCGCATCAGACGAGCGTCTGTGCCCCGCAGGTATTTTGATTTTCGATCGTTGGCATTCGCCAAACAATAACGTTTTCAGCTGCAGCCCGCGGTTTTCCCCGGTAGCCGCAAATGGTTTTTTTCTAGTAGGAAACTGGCTTCTCTAGTGTCTGGACCGGCGAGATTTCCCTGTACCCTCCGGCCGTTACCTCGTTTCCCGATGATTGTTTCGCACGTGTATGGTCCGCCACACTTCCAACAGGTCCGTATTCGTCCGTCGGTATTGGTTGCCGTATTTTTAAAGTTCCTATAATCCGGCTTGATCCGTGGTTTTTTCTCGTTTCGAATTTCGGGTTTTTCCCATACTTGTGTTTCGGAATTTCCCCCGTTCTGCTGCTTGGGTTTTCCCCGGACTCCTTGCCCGGGGATTTCTGTGCTTGTCACCTCCGGTTTCCCCGGTTTTATTTTCGGGGAATTCCCCGTTTTTACGTCACCCTTTGCCATATCCATTGCTCTATTGAGCTCCATGAACGTGGTTGGTCACTGTACCCCGCTGATTAATCCACGATGCTCTTCTCTCATAAGCTCAATGATGGTTTGTACCCCGTTTGCCTCGTCAATACCAGTTCCCAAAAGTTCTCCGGCAAAAATGCATTTTTTGGCGCACAAACTGGCTTATGGCTTTGATCCGGAAACTGTTTCCAGCTTTGCTCGGATCCTTGGTCCGTTGAATTTCGTGTTAAATTGTTATTTGAATTCCTCCCCCGTTGGATTGATTACCGGTATTTTTTCCTATCAGGTTCCCGTTTCGGCCTTCAGTTGTGGTGCGATCACCTTCACCCGTTTCCGTCGGGGAATTCTCATCTCTTCCAGTACGTAGTACGCCGTCTGTAAAAATTTCATCGGATCTTCCTCATTCTGTCCAGAGAATACTGCTATGAGTCCCTCGCTGCTTTCAAATTATCCCGGGACAGTAATTAGAGTATGCAAACAAATTTAAAAAATACTAGATGAGTTCCGTCCCCCCGCGCACCCCCTACCCAATTCGAGCATTGCTTGTATAATTTGTTGGAAAAAAAAATTGATTTTTAGTTGTATACATATATAATTACATTTATTATTTATGATGCATTGGGGGCATAAACAATGGATATAAAATATTTGATTAATTAATTAATATTATGATGAATTGTGTACATTAGATACAATTTGTTTTCTTAAGGGTTAGTATTAAATTTTATTTAAGAATAATGAAAAAAAAATTCAAACTTTTGGTGTACGAGAAAAAGTTGCCTGTTTTTATTTTTTAATTTTAGTTTTTTGAATATTACTAGCATAAAAAGTTTTGCATCCTGACATGAAATATTTATTTGGCATTCTAGATTTTTTTTTAAACAAGGTTAAACAATTTTAAACCACAAATAAATCTCATGTGTGAGAATATTTATAATTTTAAAAACTTGGTGGGTATTAATTATTCCTTTTTTGTATACACTACATTTACAATAAATAAATAAACATAACATATAATATAATTGTAACATAATTTAATAATCAGTATGCTCATATAATTTATATAAGTACTTTCTTTATAGTATAATAAATCACTATAAAACGTAGTATATAATAAAAAAAACCGACCTTTTGGCCAATGCTGGCGCACTCTAGTGAACAGCCAATTTGCCGTCAATCTCATAGTGATATCATTAAAAGATACGAGAGTGATATTACCTTATCTTCTCTGGCTTCTATATTACTTAGTGGGTAATTTGGCGAAATTTCAACGGACGATAGTATTTTACAGGTTGGCAACACTGGCGAACACGAGGAACGAATTATTTCTATTGATCTTGTGAATTTTTGACGACCATAAATGCATAAACGTGACATTACATATTTTTAAGTTATAACTTCACGACTTTTCTGTTGTTTCAAGTTACAGATACTTTTAAATTGATGTTTACACAAATCGCTCTGATTAACGGAATTTCTTCTTAACTTCTGGAAGTTGCCACGAGGGTGAGTACTGAGTAATGAACTATTTTGTATATTGTAAAACCGTGTTTGCATTGGGCTCGTCATCAATCATCACGGTGTCACGTTTCAGCTTTTATTGAATAAGTGCTTTAACTTAAAACATGTTAAGTACACATTTTTAATGTACCTATTATATTATTAAAAACGGTGAAACAATTCTAGTATTTTCAAACTGTTGTCACGTGTGCAACAAAAATGTAAAATAGTTGGCATTATAAGCAGTTGTTTATTATCATGGTTAATGTACAAAAACTATAAAAGTAAGTATGATAGGTAAGTTTCGATTAGGATACCAATGGATTGAGCATTTAAAAATACTCATTTTGGCAAAAAAAAAAAAAATGTGTGGGACCTAAATTAAAATTATGCTATATAATATATTTCAATACAGCTTAACATATTATGTTAAATTAAAAATATTGTAGTCATACGTCTCTGGCATTTGCCACGTTCCTCATCCTATGATGTGACCTCCATGAGATGCTTCAGTTTTTGAAATATGAAATTCTTAGGTTCTAGATCTTTCCCCAAAATCTTTCCTTTGAAGATATTTCTTCCAAATGTATTATGTCCGAACAAGTGCCCACTTAATTTTGTTTTCCTTTTTAATACGTGTTTTATTATACATTTTTTTTCTCTTGCATCTTTTAACACTTGCTTATTTGTATTTTTTCAACCCATGATTTTTTGTTCATTTTCCTCCAAATCCACATTTTAATTGCTTCTAAACTGTTCCTTTCGCTTTTATGATGGTCCAGATTCACATTCATATAAAAACACACTATACAAATGTTTTAATGTATTTTTCTTTGTTTTAATATTGAAGTGTGTTAGTTAATTAATTGTATTTCTTCATGAATGTTTGTTTGGCTAGAGTTATTATTTTTTTGGTGTTAATGGCGGTTTTATTATTATATGTGATTGTGCTTTCTAGATAGCAAAATTGTTCGGCTATGTAATGTGGGACTGTTAAAATAGATATAAATAGTATAAAATGATATAAAAAAACATCTAAACAAAGCTATATAAAAGTTTCATAATTTAATTTGTTGTTATATATTTCAAATAAGAAGCTATTCAATATACAATTAATTAGCTAAAAAAATTACAGTTCTCTACAAATTCACAGCCTTAATAAAGGCTCTTTTCTTTGTCTTTCAAATTTGCTATTATTATATTTAAAATATTTCAGAATAGACATCATGTTAAAACTATTAGCTGAAAATAAACTAAAAAAAAAAATACTACCAGGATCTAATATGAAAAGTACTATTCCTAAGTCAGAACATTTATTTGATTCATATTCATATCGCTCACAGAGTGCTCATATTGATGGCAGAAATTATGTGAACAATAATTTGGAAGAAAATGAAAATGAGGATTATATAGAAGTAAGTTAAGTTTATATAAATTTGATTAAATTTATGTTTATGTATTTTAACTTTAAACTTTCCAGAAAATTTTTATTTTTTAACATAGCTTTAAGTAAAATTAATGTAATTGTATTATTCTTAAAAAAAAGATGTTTAAAAGTTTTATAAGAATATTTATCCATTATCATCATGTAGCTTCATAATTATGCGAGAGTTTCAGTCACCATTGTTAAAGCTCTACAACTTCCACGGTTCTGGATCATTTCCTCCCAATCTGTACCTTCCAAGTTCTGTAGGTCTTGTCGTATGCCATCTATTCACCATTTCTTTAGTCTCCTCCCTACTGGTTACCATTTAATAGCTGCTCCAACTCTGTTACTTCTTTGCTTTACATATCAAAACAACTTTAATTTTTAACTTTTCAAATAATTATTAATTGAGGATATTTTTATAATTTCCCTTAGCGTTTTTTCTTTTTCATTAGCAGTTCAACACAGTATATCATATGCGTTGTTTTTAGCACTTTATTCTTGAAGGCCCTAAGTTGGTCGACTCGTGTTAGAAGTCATACATCATATCCATAAGTAATTTCTGGTTTTACTATTGCCGTGCACATATGTACTTTTGTATCATTACAGAAGAGCTTCATCTTAAAGTATTTAGCTATTGATGCATGGTAATTGTTGTATCTAGATACTTAAAATACGAGTTTTCTCAAACTCATAATTCTCAATTGTTAGGCTTTTATCTTCATTGAATATTGTTTCTATAACTTTTGTATTTTATTTATTCACTATTAGACCAATTTTTTTGGCTTTGTTTTTGAGCATTGTACTTTATATTACAGACTCTTTATCTTCTCCAAGTATATTTAGATCATCTGCAAAACCTAAAATGTCTAGTGTGACTTAACCAATCTTAACCCCATAATTATATCTTTGTACGTTTAAGTAGCCCTCACACAATCAATATTATTGACAGTATTTCAGATACTGACAATATTATTGATCATGTGAGGTGGGTACCGATGTACTGTCAGTATAGAAAAACGATACTGATGATTGATTGACAAATCAGATATCGAGTCGTCAGTAATTATATACTGATAATAATATTGATGGTGTGAAGTGGGTACTCATAGTTCTTCAGTATTATTAGCATAGCAATAGAAGATGCAGGTGATGAATGAATATTCAAGTTTGCGCGAAGGTCGTGAACTACAATTACGTGCTTTTATTTCAGAATATAAAAATTTTAAATGTTTATGGGATGTTCGTTGCAAAGACTATTGTAATAGAAACATAAAAAGAGCTGCTTATATTGAATTATTAGTTGTCTATAAGTTAATTAAGCCTGAAAAATAATTGATACGCATAATTTTTTACAATATTTGTCCATTATAATAAAATAATTTTTTTTTTAAATAAATAAATAAATAAAGACACATTTACCAAAAACAAAGGATCTGACACTGTTTACACCTGTCCAGTGCCAAACAAACTGAGTATTGTCAATAATCTATACTGTCCATGTGAGGAGTACACTGTCAGTAATGTAAATACTATCAATAATATTGATCGTGTGAGGGCCGCTTTACATTATATCATACAGACTATCATGGGAGATACTGTCATATGCTTTATTAAAATTTTCGAATACCTGCAAAACATTTTGACCTGAACTCATTTTTTCTTTTAATTATTTAGTAATGGGGAGTTGATCAACTATTTATTTACCTTTTTGGAACCTACATTGGTAGTCTACTATATTCTCCTTTACTAATGGTTATAATCCTCATAGTAATAGTTCAGAAAATACTTTATATGCCGAGTTTGATAGGGATAGTTATCTAAAGTTATTACTTATCATCTTGCTTCCTTTTTTTTCATTCAATAAGTGTTTACATAATTCGTAAACTGCTTCATGTAGCCATCTCCATCCCAGTTTTATTAGTTTTGCTGGTATTCTGTCTGACTCATAGGCTTCTAGTTCTTGAGTCATTTTATAGCCTTTATCAATAGTTATCTCACTGAGTTCCGGCTCTGCTCTTTAGACTTTAAATTCTGATGTTAGTGTTTCAAGCAAGTCACCGTTAAGTAGCTCTTTAAATTGTTCCCTTCATCTAGATACTTTTGCTTGTGATTCTATACTCCGTCTCACGAATGAAAGGTACTGTGTTACTGTGTACAAAAGCTGGTCAGTGACGTGTATCATCCCCCTATGTTGCTCCTCGTTTAGACCTCACTTTTACCCGGACACATGAGCTAGCAACACGTGAGGGGATTTAATGGAGGTGGTGTGGAGCTCCGTTGGCATGCACGAAACAGTACCTTTCTTTAGTGAGAGAGACTTTAATAATATTCTATCATTTTTATCCTTTATAGCTTTAAGCCTCGAGTTGAACTTTAAATGTTTTTTATTAGTTGTAAAAAAAATGTCTCACATTCCTCTGCGAGTGATTGTATTCCTTGGTTTGTAAAAGCTCATTCATAAATTTCCTTTTTATAATATTAATTGAAAAGTTAAAATAGGTTTCTGTATAGTTGCGTGATTTAGTTACACAATTTTAATTCATAGGTTTATGACAAGTATTGTCTTTTAATTTTAAATTATATTATTATTTGCATTTTGTAGGTTGATTACAAAGGTCTTCCCTGTGGGAGGGGTTTCGGAAGACTTCCATGGTATTTCTACCTTAAAAGATGACAAATGAGGTTATATTGATAGCCATATAAAATTCTGTCAATTAGTTTGAGGAATATTAAACAAGACTTTAGCGGATTGTCCCATCTCAGATGTGCTTATGGACGACATGTGAGAGGAGGTAACATAGTTCATTATGTTTGTAGATGATATAGCCTTGATTTGAAAATATCTGAAAGAAGTTAATAATAGGCTTAAGGAATCTGAGTAGCACTTGAAGGAAAGAGACTGAGTTTAAATGAATAGGACAAAAGTTTGACAAGACAAGACACCTAGTTACAATAAGCGGTAACATTAGAAGCTAAGTTCAGGCTTTTAAGTATCTAGGATCTTTTGTACAAACATTGGTTTTGAAGAGGATGTAAAACATAGGATTAAATGTGGTTAGATTAAGTAAAGAGAAGCATTAGGTGTTTTATGTGATAAGAGAATTCTAATGAGACTTAAAGGTAAGTTCTACAAGAGTGTGGTGTGACTAACTTTATTGTATGGTTCGGAGTGTTGAGCTGTAGACAGAGCTCAAGTGTAGTAGATATGAGAATGCTCTTTAACACTATTAACTTTTGCCAGATCTGTACTTAACTAAACAGAGAAGACGAGTATCAAAAAATTTTAGTCATTGAGTATATTATAATATAATGACTATTATCACCAGTGGTATAGGTTAAGACTGGAAGTATTTTCAGTTGATTTGAATAATGATAATGTTTAGATTTTAATAAAATTACTTATTTTTACTTTATTTTCATAAAGGGTAAAAATTATATAGGAACAAAAAAATAATAGTAATGTCAATTAGATATTTATTTTATTTATTAGTTATTAGTGATTTCTAAACCAAACAATACAAAATGATAATAAATTTACTTTAACTGAGCTGATTCATATTTTTTAAAATATGATTTTCAAAAAGAAATATACTGTCTGTCCATTCCAATAGAAATAATAAGTGACTGTTAACAAAAAAAAATTGAGAAGTGCCATCCTTCCAATTTAAGCAATGATTATAATTAAATATTGTAGCATAATATGTATAGAATAAAGTTAATAATGTAATAAATCTGCATTTAACAAAAGATTTTCTTAAATTATTGTTATTTATATTAATTTATTTTCATGTTGTAGATGTCAAGAAAAGCTTTACCCAATTCAAATATGAGTTCTGTTGATAGTCTTACTAATTATTCACCATCAATGGTGGATCTTAAAGATTTAAATTTGGATGAACAAAAGCTTTGTGATAATTATGTATACAAGGATCCATCTGATATTTCAAATTGTTTTGAAATTTCTAAACATAAATCTCAGGTAGTAATCAATTTATTTTTAAATTTATAAAACCTTATCTGTTACTATTTTATTTGGAGAAAGTGTTATATAACTATAACAATATATGATTGCATCTACCATATTGTGGTTTTTAATATTAAAATAGGTTAAAAGAATATGTTGTAGGGAATAGTTTTAAACAAATTAATAAAAATTAAATTTGCATACCTATGTATATTTATGAAACATATTATTTTTAGTCATTTGGTTGGAATTACTCAATATTGTAAAATGTATTAATAATTGATTTTGATATCATTTAATTAATATTTTTTTTGTAATTTCTTCACATGATTCTGGATGGTGTAAGAGATGTGTTATTATTAACTCCTATGGTAGATTAAAAAACTCATTAAGTTTTATTTTTATTTGATGTTTTTTTTTTTTTTATAGCTTTACTTAAATAACTATTTTTTTTCACAAAGGCCTTCTGCATTTGGTCATAGTACAAGTTTGTTAAAAAGTGTCTTGGAATAAAACTTCAATGGTTTATTATTGAATAACATTAAAAACAATCATGCATTGATATAGGATTTTTTTTCTGTCTGAACAATTTTTTAACTATAAGCAATAGAATCAGAAAAACTTTTGAAATATTTTAGACTGCCTTCAAGTCCTCACCATCCGTTAAAAATTATTTGCAGTTAAAAATATTACTCATTGTACACCCTAGTACAGCTTGTAAATAACATAATTTTAAAAATGAAAAAAATAGTATTTTAGATTCTAAGCGAGCGAGGAGGAATGTATTGGTTTACATTGTTAATTATTATTTATTTTTTATAATTTGTGAACAACTTTTTTAAAAGGAAATCTGACTAGGGAGGTCATTTTTTAATTTTCCCAGGAGTTATCCCAATAAATGGGAAAACCGTGAGATAACGGGAAAATAAGTACAATATTAAATAGATATTATTAAAGAAAATATGTAATGCAAAGGTAATGGTTAGCAATAGTTTATTGTTTCTAACAGATATACATTCAATTTCTATTCTTCTACCTTCCCAATTTCTCACCTACAATAGTGGCTGCACCAGGTGCAAAGTTGTCCGGTTTTTTTAAAATTATATTCAACAATTAAATTTATTTTAAGTATTAATTTTGTTTTTGCACTTTATTGTCTTATTTTGCATATAATTATTATAATTAAGTAATTGATAATTTGTATTTTTTAAATTTTTTTTAGATTGTTCAAATGATCAATTCTAGTTGTGTTGTTTTGATATCTGGTCCAACTGGATGTGGTAAAAGTACTCAAGTTCCTCAATTTATTTTAGATGACTGTATGAATAGAAAAAAATTTTGTAACATTGTTGTTACTCAACCTCGCCGCATAGCTGCTATATCTGTGTGCAAGCAAGTTAACAATGAGCGTAAATGGAGAAATGGACTGCTTGTTGGCTATCAAGTTGGGCGTAAAAAAGATTATGATCCAAATACAACAAAAGTGTTATTTTGTACAACAGGAATATTATTGCAGAAAATTATTTCAGCAAAAAATCTCAGTGATTTTACTCATATTATTTTGGACGAAGTCCATGAAAGAACACTGGAAATGGATTTTTTATTGTTGATTATTAAGAAATTGTTAAAAACTAATTCTCCATCAACTCGGGTAAGTGATTAAAATTGTACATAATAAGTTATTATTTAATGTTGAAAATTGAATAATGTCCTTTTTTGTTTAGTACACCAATTTTATGTTGTCGGTTTTAATATTATAGTGAATTAGCTTACTACCAAACTTAAGGGTAAGAATATTGTTGATTTTTTTCAATATTTTAATTTTTAAGCGAGATACAAAGTTTTTGTAATTGTAATACTTTACATGCTCGTATCTTGTTAAAAAATTAAATATTGTTAAACATCCACATTCACTTATAAATACAAATTGTTCTTATATTTACTAACATTACAAAATTGGTTTATCGAAACAAAAAGTTTATTGAATGTTCAATATTAGCTATAATATATATATACTCTTATATATATATATATTATTTAAATAATAATAATAATATTATTGCCATATTATAAATACATAATTATTAGGTGATTTTGATGTCTGCTACTGCCCAAGACTTTAAGTTATGTGACTATTTTAGTGATTATTATGGTGCCCCTTATAATTGTTATGTTAGAGCTCAACAGATTTCTATCACTAAAAATCCTCAATTTAATGTTAGTTTACATTATTTGGATGAATTATATGGATTGATACCATCTGTGAGTATACACTTTTAGTATTAATATGTATATGTTATTCCAAAATCTAATCAATTATCACTTCTAACCAATATCATTGTATATATGGTTAATTTTATGTAATTAAACAATATATATTTCAATAGTTTTGTGTTTTTCAGTTGAATAGAATGTGTAAATTGCTAAGTGATAGTTTTATTTTCTAGGCCAGGGCAATGGAATTTGATCGACCTCAAATAACCAAAACTGGGTATGATACTGCTATTCATTTAATAAAGGGATTTGATGATTTAGACAAATGTTCTAACGTCAAAGCTTCTGTATTGATTTTTCTACCTGGTATTTTTGAAATTGAAGAAATGCATAGATTTATGGAATATACAATGGCTTCTGAGTAATTATTAATATTTTTAATCATCATATTTATTTTATTTATATATTTATTAAGTTTTTCAATTTCAGAAATTTTAAATGGAAACTTTTACCATTGCATTCATCAATTACAAGTGAAGAACAGGATCGTGTTTTTGAGCAACCAAGTGTAAATTACCGTAAAATTATTTTGGCCACAAATATTGCAGAAAGTTCGATAACTGTTCCCGATGTTTCATATGGTAAGAACTAATGAGTAGTTTCTAAAAAAATTAAAATGTTATTTTAATTGATTATTCTATTTTTAGTGGTAGACTTTTGTTTAATGAAGCAATTGCATAATGAACTAAAGTCAAACTATTCTATGTTGGTTTTGAATTGGGCTTCAAAAAGTAATTGTATTCAACGATCAGGAAGAGTGGGACGAGTTGCGGATGGCAGAGTTTATAGACTTGTTCCTGAACAAATGTTTGTGGTAAATATTCAATGCTTACACTTTTATTTTGTGTTAACATATTGATAATAGAAAATTATCTTTTTTAGGATGATTTTGTTAAAGAAGAACTACCAGAAATGAGTCGTTGTTCTCTTAGTCGCATTGTATTAATGTCTAAAATATTAGACATGGGATCACCAAAGTTACTTCTGTCAGGTGCAATGGATCCACCAAATTTAAAAAATATTGTTCTTACAATAACGACTCTTAAACAGGTTGCTTTTTTCATTTCAGTTATATTTAACATAATAATATTAAATACTATTTCCTATCCTTGATATATAAATTGTTAAGACACTAAATTAACTTATTATAGTGGTAAGTTATTACAAAGAAAATAAATGTGATCTTAAATAATGATAATTATAAGATTATTCTATTAAAATAAGATAAGTAATAATTAATAATAGTTTTGTTTTCAATAAATTTTGTTTAGGTAGGGGCTTTATTACCAACAGTAAATGGAGCTATTTCATTTATGGATGGTGACATAACATTTATGGGAAAAGTGATGGCACAACTACCTTTAGATCCTCCCATGTCAAAATTGATTTATTTTGGATATATTTTTAATGTATTTAATGAGGCTATAATTATGGGTAATTTATTTTATTTTATTAATAGTTAATTAAATTGTATGTGTGTTATGCTCAGAGCCGTAACTAGGAATTGGTGAGTAAAGAGTGAGGGGAGGAATCCAGAATCTCAATATAAAATTGTATTAATGCAGATTAATAGAATTTATTGTTTGGTCAACTAAGGCACTGAAAAACATTGTTATGGCTCTGGTAATAGTAGTTGTTAATTTATATTATATTCACTGAAGTTAATCATTAATTTTAATAATTTTCAAAAAGTATTATCTTCAAGATGGTTATTAAAATGTTAAAAATAATTTTATCATTTTACAAAATTGGATAAATTGTATAAAATTAGCAAAAGGTTTCAAATTATGTGCTATTAAAGATATTAATTCATTAGATTAGCTGTTTTTTTTTCCAGCGTGTGGTTTATCTATAAAAAGTATATTTAGTCAACCTTTCAATAAACGTTTAGATGCATATACACAAAAATTATCTTGGGCTAATTTTTCTTGTAGTGATCCAATAGCATTTATTGCTCCATATGAAGTAAATTGTCATGAATAATAGATTATTATTGATTTGATTTTCTTAATTTATTAACAATTATATTTTTTCAGATCTGGCTTCAACATAAACCTGAATTTGATCGTAATCATTATGATGAAACACGGTGGGCTCAAAAAAACTATATACAACTGTCAGCAATACGAGAATTGCATGATTTAATTGATGATGTAGTCTTTAGATTGAAACACAATTTGAACATTTTACCAAATTCTAGTAACATTCAATGGGTTAACCTAGAAGAAAAATCCATGGCTTGTAAAGTAAAATATCAATTTTATATTATGTAATAGGTATCCAAAAGTTCTTTTTTATGTAAATAAAATCATATTTTTTATTTAAATAAATAAATCACTGTACAGAGTGATGCACTAAGCTTTCACACCTCATTTTTTTTTTCTTGGTTAAATTTTACATATATTCAAATTCTGATTTTTGGAATTTTTAAGTGTAGTTAAAGCCGGTATTTTTGAATACGTTAATTTTTCATAACATTTAAGGAGTATCCTGTGGTGATACCAACTTCGGTTTTTCAAATAAGAACCTATATTAAAAATTTCATAAATAGTACCGCCACACCAATAATATTCTCTACACTTAAACTTAAAATTGGAATATCTCGTTAACGGATTGACAGAAATCAATTTTTGATTTCTGATTTGATATTTTGATACCAAAATTAATTTAAAGTAATACTGCGTCTATTTTTTTTATTCGACATTACTAACTTAATTATCTGTATTTAAATACATCCTTTTACCAGATTAAGCTCCTATTTTTTCTGATTTTTTTTATACCAAAGATGTACTTTTCAATTTTTAGTGGTATACGCCCTTTATAACAAAACGACATTGATATTTATTATTATTAAAGGTAATATTAGCAGGAGCGTTTTATCCTAATTACTTCATACGTGGAAAATCTACTGCAGCCATGGATGATCATGAGTTACATAAACTATTAGATAACCATGATCCAAATCAAACGGTTTATTTTTCGGGTTTTCCAAGTGATCAACCCAAAGAATTATATAAAGAAGCTATTGAAAATTTGTTTCCACACAATTTGGTTGGAAAACCAACTGCTCATTTTGGTCATTCAAAGTAAGACAATATATACTTGTGTTGTATAATTATAGAGATTTTTAATTTATTTATTAAAACCTACTCTAATTATCAACAAAAAGTGGTTTCTCGTTATTCAATTTTGTCTATACTGCCTTTTACAAAATTTGAGACTTCTGTAGCATAACGCCTATGCTACCATTTATAAACTCATTTTTTTCTCCTTAGTACAACATAATATGTACAAATAATTATTTTTATACTTGCAGCAAAATATTTATTAAATTTCCAGTGTCAAATACTGTAAACACCAATACATATAATTCTAATTATAATGAAAACAATGGAAAAAAGTTGATACCAGGGAATATATGCTTTGGGGTATATGTAGCTTTAAAAATGCATCAATTAAGATTTGAATTTAATATACCTTTATTGAAGTAAGTAATTTATTACTTATTATGTTACATAGTAAATAAATACATATATTTTTTATTTATACATTTATTTACAAGTATTAACCATTTTAATAGTTTTGTTTTTATTTTATTATTTTGTTATTTATTATGTTATAGTATAATATTCTGACTAAATAATATGCATAAAATATAAAGATCACAAATACACATAAACATTTTACTGATTAATAGGGCTCCGATTTTAAAGCATATGCTTCTTTTTTTATATATGAGATAGAAATTTAATTTTTATACATACATTTGTTTCATGCTATTGAGTGGATGTAGAGTGTTCGTTTTCAATGAATAAAAACATTTTGTCTAACAATAGAGTCAGTTTGACAAATGAAAATTTAGAAAAATACATGGTAGTTAATTTAGTTTTAAAATAAAAATAAATTTTTCAATTTTATACCTAGTGTAGGTTAATTTTGGTCTTTTTTTTATTAATAAATGTGCTTCATTTTTTTCAAACAATTTTATGATTTTCTTGTTATTAACTTAGTTTGAAAATCCGATCCCTACTTATAGAGATATTAACTACATAATATTTATATTTTTTAAATTTGGTTTTCAAATTGCACAAATTACTTAGTTTAAACAAGAATCAAATGGTACATCATAATTATAAATAACAAATTCGAATAGCATTTTCTATTTACTGTTAAAATATTAGTTAATTTATCATTATTAGGCCTTTAGATGCAAAGAGAAGAGTAGAATTAATATTCAAACAAATGGCTGCTCAGAATATGTCTATACAAAAAATAACTCCAATTCAAAAATCTATTGAACAAGTAAATACAAAAACACCAATAACGTTACAGTATTATATGCAAGTATCATATAATTTTATTTTTTGTATTTTTTAATCATAACTTGTATATTGTAAATTAGACCATTTATTCTTGAGTATAACTAAAGATACTTGATTTTACTTACTAAAAAATTGATTACAATTATTAATAATCATTGGGTAATAATGTTAAGTGTTTTTTTGTTAATGCTTTCAACATTATATTATGGTTTAGGTGGTTATCAAAAAAAGCTTGTTCTTTTGATTGTACCTATGTGAATAATAAAATAGTTTTTAGCCAAACCAACATAGAAATATTTGAAAATTAAACACTAGGTTAGGTTTGTAACTATAAGAATCAAAATTCAATTTTTCCAAAAGAAAAAAACATTTTTCAAAAAACAAAAACATGAAGAATTTTGTACATTAAATAAATTTAAAATACATTTTTTTTTATATAATTTAGACTAAAAAATGTATACTGATATTAAAATTTTTCACAGGGGAAAATGTAAACTAATATATAAGTATACTATCATATTATATATGATAATGGACTTCATGAAATATCTTTTACAACTCTTAGTTTAAATCCTTCTGTTAGATACAAAGAAATAATTTAATTTAAGGTGTAACATAAAATTATAAAATTAATACAGATTTAAAAATCAAACCAAATTAATTTTAAAGTTTTTCATTTATACATAAATAATTCACTTAGAATATTGTAATAGTAATAAGCAACAAAATATTTGCATAATCAGCGTGGGTACACGTTGTCCAGCATTTACCGCCTTCAAATTCTAATTATCAGTTATTTTGTGGGAGTTGTCAATATCGCATTTAATTTTTTTTTTCCTTGACTGGTCCTAAATCTCAACTACACCTATTTAATATAATAAATAAAGTTGATTTAATAGATAATTGTTATTATTTTTTCATTGTATGACATTTGTATACTTTTTATTTTTAGATTGATCGTGTAAAAGGATCTAATACCATTAAGGACTCAAGCGTCATAAGCAATGCACTTAATCTAGAATCTAATAATGTGTGTCTTAACATAAAAAGTCCTACATATGATGAATCAGATAAACAGGTATTTTGTTATGCAGACTATAGTTTACACCATAGAAACATTTTTAACACTTTTAAACAAATATTTAATTTATTATTATAAAGACAGTTTTTAATTTTTATATTTGAAATACCTTAGAAGTGTATGTTGTTATACAATAATTAGTTATTTAATTTAGTAAAATTTTATCCTGTACCATTGAATTTATATTAGTTAGGCAAGAAGTACTCACATAATAATATGAAAACTAAATATACAAATAAAAAAAAATTTAAAAATTTAAAAAAAAAAAAGCTGATACTTAAGATGGGTGTGCCACTGTTGTAGGTAGGAAGTTGGGAAGGTAGGATACATAAAGTTATGTAATTTATGTCTGTATGCAGCGATAAATGATTGCTAACAAAAAACATTGGTTATCTATGTTTATGAATCTTATCAATATCTTAACAATTTTATTTATAGAATACCTATCAAATAAAAATGTACATAAAAATATCTGTCAAAAATTAAAATGTTTATAAATAGTTCAAAAATGATATACAAGTTTTTGTTAACATTTCAAGTCTCCATTATTTTCGTAAATTTTGTTCAAGTATTAAAAAAAATTCAGGGAAAATCAAGTAAAGCCTTTTAAGAACTACAATCATTAAAATATAGTAATAGTTATTTTACTTATTTTATTTTAAGTGTTATTTATTACTTTTACAAAAAAAAAATGATCATTAGAATTATTTCAACATGTAAACTGAATGGTCTGAATAAGTATGGCACTTATTATATAGTATTATATTTATTTTAAAGTTTTTAACTTTTGTATTACTTGTTTTATTTTACAAAAAGATAGAAAAAATATAATTTTTTTTTACTAATATAATGATATATTTAGTTTACATGTTATATTAATTCTTTTGATCTTATTTTTTTGTAAAAGTAATAAATTACCCTTAAAAAAAAAAAAATAAGTAAAATGGTTGTTACTGTATTATAATGATTGTAGTTCTTAAAAGGCCTAACTACTATTAGTCTGTATGCAACAAACCTAAAAAACAGTAAGCCGTTTAGAAAAATAATAAGTAGTTGTCAAACAGGCTACCTCATTGCAAAGAGCCTAGTCTTTTTGCAAAAAGACTAATTTTCCATATGGCCTACGACAGATATATTTCTAATAAATTAACTATTTTTATTATAATTTAAAATTATATAGTTTTAAAAAATAAGTTATTTTTTTATTAATTATAGATTGCTTATTCCCCATTGCACTGAATTTATTGAAATATAGTGACTTATACTTATTTTCATTATTATAAATGTATATACTTTTGAAAAAAATTCATTGTGAAAAAAAGGCAATTCTTAAACAATATAAAAATTAAAAACAATATTATTTTATTAGAAATTTTTTTTAAAAATCAGAAAATTACCTTTTTAATGCATGCACCAACTAGATTTATTTTATTTTATTCAGAAGAGTGCCACTTGTTAAATTATAAAAAGTTTTCTTTTTGATTATTTGCTTACAGATAGAAAAAAAAAACACATAATAAAACTAGTAGATCCTTTGTTACGTCCTAAATTGAATACAATTATAACGGCGTAATAGCGAATAGCTTGTAGAATTAAGACTAGGGGAGGCTACTTCAATGTAAGCTTTTATGAAGCATTAGAACTTGATTTCCTGCATTTCTTATTTAATACTGGTAGGCTACATCTCAAGGTTTTAAATTAGAAGTGGTAAAGGAGATTTGTTATCATTAGCTTTAATTGTCTATTACTAGTTTACGCTGATATATGTTTAAAGTAATTTTGACAAATTCTGGAATAATAGAGAAGTTAGTTAAACAGAAATTAATAACTCGTATACCAAATGAACTGTTTTTTTATATATGAGAAAATAGTACCAAACTATAATTTGTATTGTAATTTGTTAAGACCAACTTTTATACTTCTTATTCTTGCAATATATTATTTATCTATTCATGGTTTTTTTTTTTTCATTTAATATGAATTATTGGTACTATTTATTTTTATTGTTTATAAAATTCCAATCAAATAATAATTAATTAATTAAGTTTTATTTTTAAAATTTAGTATTGTTTAAAAGGACCATTTAGTCCGCTCAAAATTTCAATTCATGGAATCAGTCGTAGTAATCATAATAAAGCTGTGAAAATTGAAAGTCAGTCTGTTAATTCAGTTTTATTAGATACTAATCCAAATGATTATCATGAAAGGTAAGGAAACCTATGTTCTTATTTCAATGTATTAATTATTTATATTTTGTATTAAATATTTTATTACTAGATTGTTTGTTGCTGGAAAAGTGTGTATGAATGAAAATGAAAAACTAACTCTTTGGGATTCAACAGTAATGCCGAATATTCCTGGAATGCCTGCTATAATTTGTCTCTTGTTTTCACCATGTGTAGAAATCAGGTATGTTCCATTTAAATTGAATAATTAGGGTTTACGTTTTGAAAAAAGACTAGGAAACTATGGTTTGAAAAGTTACAAAAAATCAAAGGCATCTTGTTTCTTTATTGATCAATATTATTCTACCATAACATTATTATTTATTAGTTATTACCAATCCTCGAAACTTAAAAGACTTAATCTTTGTCTATAATTATTTAAATTTATTTTTATTTTTGTCAACAGATATAATAGTTCTTATACAAAGATGACAGGTGCACTTTGTGGATTAGGCTATGATCCAGACACTTTAAGACCGTTGTTTGAAGACAATGATATTGAATTAACATTCGATATTGCAATGGATCATAATTTGTTGAATAAAGTGAATTTGACTATAGAGTTTTTAATTTTAAGTTTTCACATTGATTTTTTTTTTTCACATTAGATAAATGTTTTAAGATTGCTGTTAAATAAATGTGTTAACCCAGAAGATAAAGAAGGTCCTGGTGATATTTTTCAAATACAGCACAGTTTACAAACTTCCTTGATAGAGTATGTTATTTTAAACTAACATACTATGAATAAATTGAGTTATTTACTCAATTTAAATTTGTTGTATATAGAATACTGAGCATTCCTGTCAAATTTAAAATACCAGAGACTGCGCCAAGAAAGTATAGGTGGGGAATTATTCCAAAATCAAGATTGCAGTCACCATATCAAGAAGACAGTCCTATAAATAATCCAATGGCTGGTTCTGATGTTTATAAACTTTTATGGGGAGTTGTTTTATCACCATTTATGTCTTCTGTAGAGTGTAAAGAGTTACTACATAACTTATGCAGAATCAAAAGATTAGAAGAGATGTATGTAAAAGAGTTAAAATAATTTATAATTTATAATATATATAAAAATATTTTTTTAGCTTTAGGACGAACTACTATTGTTCCGAGCCTTGTGTGGAAGAACTATTTTGTCCACTATGTCACTTAACATTTTCTAGCAACTCATCAATGCAAATGCACTTCAATAATTATCAGCATAAGGAACGTTATAAAACTTGTAAAGAAGAATTAGAATTTTTCTATAAAGGACCATCCACTGACATTGAACATTTATAAACTTTTATTAATAGCAATAAATAACCTTCAGTTTTTAATTTTTTAATTTTGTTTCATTGAATAACATTGTTTAAAACTATTATTAAGAATATAATAGTATAATAAGAGTTAATTAAATTTTTATTTTCATTTTATTTTTAGTGAATAAATATTACATTTTTACAAATTACAATAATTGTAATCTAGAAGTTTGATAATTTATTGACAATGTCATAGATTGTAACACTGGGTAATTAAAAAGTTTTACCAACCAAAACACTAACTCGCCATTAGCATTTTTTGTTTTGGTATCCAATTGTAACTCCATTTTTTGATATCGCTCCTAATTAAAACACATTCAAATACATGCTAAATTTTTGGTAAAAAATTTTTTTTGAAAATTACAATGTGGGAAGGATGGGCTCACGTATATCAATATTGAATTATTTAACATAATATAATTTCTGCATAATACCTATGAGAACTTCAAAAAGCTATAATTTTGAAACTTAGTCCGTTCAATTTGGACTTTACCCTCATTCTTAAATCGGCATTAAACCGAAAAATTGTTCAAAACAAGATTGAAAAATGAGATTTGTTCCACATAATTTTTTTATTCAAACTATGTTCGTTAAAATATAATATTAAAATTACTTTAGAAAAAATACATTGAGCTCATTTTTTTTTAGCACAAAGTATGACTTTATGAACCTCCTGTTAAATTTTCAAGCATTTCAGTTTAGTCTAGTGAAAATTTAGTTAAATCTGTTTTCATATACTGTATGTTCCTTAATTCATCAGATTGATCATCCGCTGGATTTGGATGTTCATAATTACAGTAAATCTGTTGGACGGGAGTTAGTTAATCGGAGGGTCGTTATAAATACTACTTATTACTGCCATTGGTGCACACAGAGGGGAGTTAGGGGATCAACCTACTCTCCTTCAAAATGTCTTCCTTCAATGCATTTTTTTTTTAAATCAAGTTTTACATTTAACAGCCTCTAAATTTAAAATAAAATTTGATTTTATCAAAAATCATTTATTCATTAATTATAATGATGGTACTGTAGTGATAAAATGTGCTATTCTCTCTATAATAAAATGACTATAAACAACACATACGTGAACTACTGATTATGGCGTACAATAGTATAATAGTGTGTGTCATTATCAACCTATGAAATAATGTTAAAAATCATGGCTATATCTTTAATATGATAATGATTCACATGCTAATCTTTAAATTTAAAAAAGAGATATTAACCATTACAAAAAAAACACGTTATTGTATTAAATTTATTGTTTATAAAGTATGTGTTTACTTTTATGATAATAGTTTGGTTTTTACATTAACTACGCCTTTACACTTGTATACATTTTATTTTATTTTACCTTTTTTTTTGATTTTTGGATCTAGTTAGTGAATAGTTTCTTGATCGTGTTTTGATATTCCGTGTAGTTGACTTATTAATTGAGCAAAATCGGAAAAAAGGTAGAAAGAAGGGGAAAGTTTAAGAAAATAATTTTTTTATTATTTTCAATTTTCATTTTGTTTTTCGTAATTCAGATAAAAGTATTCGTAGAGGGTTGACATTTTCACAATATATATTAGTTCTTTTGTAGCCGACGTAGTATTTTTTCAATTTTGAGCTATTTATAGGTATTTTATAATTGCAAGTTTTTTCACGTAGTTTTTATTTAGTAGTTACTTTGTGGTATGTAGATATAACTTGTTAACCACACACTATACTTGAAAATTTAACAGTAAGTTCATTATAAGTTGTACTTAGTGGTCAATTAAAACAAAGTGAGTAGTGTAGATTTTTTTTATAAGAATTTTAGTAACAATTTTTGACAAAAATCGTAAATATTGGCCCGACAGTGGCCCAACCATTGAGCGAAGTTGCCTGGCTTTTTTTAAATTGTATTCAACAATTAAATTTATTGAACTCACTCTACGTTTTTCACCTACTAAATAACTGTACTGGAAATTATAATTCTGATGTTGATACATGCTCATTTATAACAGTTATTATTGGACCATCAATGGATTTTGACGAAAAATAGCAACTGTAATGCAGTCGATCAAAAACCTTCCAAATATCTTATCTACAACAATAGCCAATCGTGCGAAATAAATCCATCGTTTTAAAAGACTGTCAGTTTGGAAAAAAATCACGAGAAATTACAAAGTATTCAATGTTGTAGTTGGGTGATCTTTTTCTAGTACAATTTTCAATTTAGCTACTCATATTTTGATTTTTGCGTCAAATGTTTCAGAACGTTGTAGAATATTCTTTTAAAAATGGGATATTTCTTGTAAATCTTTTAAATAATTTATTAAATATAATTTAAATTTCATGGTGACCTACCCATCGTATTTTACACATTGTTATTAGAGTTTTTTTTTTTTGATCGTGGAAGACATATTCATAAATGCATTAAATTAATGTCCATGTGCTTTGTGAAGAAGCTCGGAAAAATGTTATTACTAAAGAAACTGTTCCAACTCAGTTTCTAATGGATATAATTTTATATGCCACTATGCAACAGCCAAATTTAATAAATGAGATGTACTATTTTCAATAATTCTTAATGATTGATATAAATAAAGTACATACGGTGCATTTTATTAGAACAGTATAAAACTTGTATAGGTACCTTAACTTATAAAATCATTTATTATATTATAATTATATGGTCTTTATTTTCCCCTGCGGACAACTTATCAACTAGGAATTTTGCTATAATTTACAATTATATGACTTTTTCTAAAAGTAAATTTGACTGAGGTGGTACTTTAGGGAGGTAATTTTTTAAATATACCAGGAGTTTTCCCAATAAATGGAAAAAACATGGGAAAAGCGGAAAATAGATAGAATATTAGACAAATATTATTAAATAAATTGCTTAATGATTATTTAATTATTTTATTATTATATGACATATGTGTTGACGAAGCAACTCTATCAACCGAACTCCGTCCAGAATCGTTTTTTCGTAAGCAATGGTTAATAGTTGCGTACATATACATTAAATGTCCCCTCTACTACCTTCCAACTTCTCATCTACAACAGTGGTCAACCCACGTGCAAAGTATGTCCGTTATTTTTTTAAACAGTTTTTGGTACCTATAATATTTTTTAATTTTTAGTTTAGTGATTCTACACTAATAATATTATCTAAAATATACACAATGTCGGTGAATTTAAAGTACCTATCTGCAAATATATATAAAAACCTGCTTATATTAAACGAACACAGATTTCGATAGTCTTATCAAACTACAGTATTACTGAATAAGACAATATTAAACACGATTTAAACATTATAATCCACATAATATATTACCACAAATTCGAGGGTGACTAGATGAGGACAATGAGGTCTGTGAATGTGACCTACGATATCCAGTGGCTGTAAATGATCGTTCCTCGTCGGGGTGATTACTGATGTTCCCTGGGCTTAAGAATACAATATTCATTTGTTTTATAATAACAACACACCAAGAATGTAATAATAGTATGAGCACATTAATTTTACAATGTTGTTTTTATTTTTATAACAATTATAATGTTTTTACATTTGTTAACATTTTGTTTTTAAAAACAAGTAATATTCCTTTTTTTTCTTTTTATTTTGATAATTATGCAGAAGTTTTACTGTCTATACATCGATAGATATTTTGTTAAATAATTAATTTGTAATAATTACGAATAAAATGCACAACATTAATTTATTATAAGTTTTCTTTTGTTAATCAACAAATAGTTTAATGATTATAGGTACTTAAGTGTAAAACTAATGATACAAAAATGCCAAAAGGCCATGGCTCGAATAAAATTATTCTGGCCTGATTCTCTTTTGATATAAGAATTGTTTGTTTGATTCTTTGTTCATTTGTACGTTGTACCGTTGTCCGTCTCGTACACTTATTATTATTTTATCTTTCGGAAACTGTTTTAAATTATAATTATATATTAAACACAGTGGCATACCTAGGCTTCTCTTACGGGAGGGGGGGGGGGCGAAATATATTTTCACCCATTCTTAAAAATTTACGTCACAGCTAACTTAATCTAATGGGGATTTTATACTTGTAAAATATTAAATAGAACATTTTAGTAGGTACATAAAAAAGAAATTGTTGTTCAATAAAATATAATGTATATTATAACACAAAGTCTAACCTCCGGTTTTTAATACGGGAAAATCGTTTAATGTTGAGTGTTGACTATAATATTACACATTAGGTATACGTACAATTATTTCGTAGCTAGAAATTAACAGTGTTGAATCTAGACAATTTTTATAGGGAGAGCGTTATTAAAGTTATAGTTATGACCTTTCTTTTTTTTCTTATTTATTCCTCTTACTAAAACCAGTCAAATTTGTTTAATTATTAATTTAACGTGGGGGGGGGAGGATAAACAAAATTCCAGGGGGCTATTGCTTTTCCTGTCATATATCTGGATTCAATACAAGAAATTGGAAATTAATGATAAGAGCCGAGACCGAACCGGAATGTTATTAAAAAGTCACGTGACTAAAATGACAAACCTGTCATGCCATCTACGGTATTTAATAGAACTTGTACCACGGCTATAGATATAAGGCAGATCATTATGACCATTACAACTAGCATTCCCACGCGAATTAACATATTAAATACCAATTGAAATAGCAATAGTAGTATTTCATTTAATTCTTGAAATTGGCTAATTTTTGTGTGAAATATCCTCATTAAGTTTCAAAAACTACTTTCGGAGTCCATAAAAACGAATATAACGAGACATTCCACTTTTAAGTTTGAGTTGGGGGAGAGTAGTAGTTCATTATTCAAACTCCGCACGCTGTGCTACCACAAAAATGATGCTCCACTACTTTCCCCCGACCCAAACTTTAAAGTGGAATATCTCGTCAAAGGATTGACAGAAATTAAAAAAAGACTTCCTAGGGTAATTAATGGTCACTGTTATAGGTAATTTAATGTATACCTGTAAGCAACGATAAACCATTGCTTACGAATAAAACGATTTTGAGAGGAGTTCAGTTGATAGTGATATTGATTGATACTTTGTTAACAACATATATGCTATATTATAGTAAAATAATTAAATATCCTCTATATTAGGGTTGCCAGATTTTCAAATCTCCAAACAGGGACACGAATATTTTATTTTTTTTTATGCATCG